CGACAGACTTAAATGCATTGATCGCCATCGCTGCACGCCGGCTGATCGCGTGTGATCGCATTGGTTTGACTGAACCTTATGTAAGTAAGTAAAACTGATGTCATGTAGTCTAAGGATTTTGAACTAAATAAAAAAAATCTTTCTATTCTTTCTTTCAAATATACGAACGTTGTGAGCATCAGCTGTAGGAACTATGTAGGCGTCGACCCCGTTCTCCTGAAGTACACTGCGCACCGCTGTCAGCCGCTCCAAGCTGTTGTCATTGGTATTTCTGGGGTAGGAGCTGGACACTGAAATTGATAAAATATCATAATCAAATCATTTATTCAGCCTTAGGCCCTTTCCAAATATTATAGCTTGCCCTACCACCACTTCGGGACAACATATAGGCTGGTGCTGAGACTAGAAGTGGCGAAAAAAAATGTCAATTTCAGATCGTCGTCAGGGCATTTAGATGGAGGATTTGGGCTACTATCTCCACGCTGGCCAGAAGGACTGGGGAGGGCTGATCGCATATTTGTTCCTTAGTCGCCTCTTATTGTTCCAATATACTGAACTGTCCTATCCATGACATTGACAGCGGGGCGCCACCGTCAATACCGAATCGCTGGTTCCGATTTTTGCCATGATGGAAACCATAGTTGAACGATGGTAGCGCCCCCCTGTCATTGAGTTTTGTGGGACAGTTCAGCGTGGGTCATCTCATAAAAGTACTACCTACATCCATGGGAAGAGTGGAGGTCGGTCGGTCCTTATGGCTCCGTGCACGATTACAGCGCCAACTAGCGTCCACAACTTTGTGGGCTCTGTCACATTGACATTTAGGTCGTATATTTGTGAAAAAATATCGAAATGAAAAAATAACAAATATTTTCAACTAATAAATTGTTGTGATACCACGATTTGGGTGGAAAAAAGGTTTTGAAATCATTTTGGTCATTCAAATCAAATGAGGTAAGTCCAAAAAGTGTGTTTAATTTTGATTGTGTCAGGGTTTGTTTACTTCATTTATAGTTGTAGTTTTACAGTAAAACAAAAAGAAAAAGCTACTTTAACGGTTTCATTATATAACAGTAAATATATTTAAATGTTTCTGTATCGCTAGTAATAAATTAAATATCGTTTTCAGATCGAAATGAGTATCGTTTTGAAGACCGGGTTTGTGAGAGTTACAATATCAAATTCCAACCACAAACCGTATTTAAAGGAAAGTTGTTGGTATTGGCTGGACAAGTCCGAGATGTAGAAGAATTAAGAACAAAACAAGGGCAGAGTTCAATAATTCACGCTCTCATCATAAGGCAAACATCTGTGCACAACAACTACTGTGACTCATTTTTGTACTACCACGTTGTATAGTTTAGTTATTTCCAAATTGTAAACGGCTATTAAAACAGCCCTATCGAAATACAGTCCACTCTTTTATTTAAGTTCCCAGTAGGACCCTTTTCATGCGATTAATTAATGATATTAAAATGTATTATGTAGAATCGCTTTGCCATTGACAGATACATCTGATGATAGAGCTAACATTATTTCTACTTTTGACCACCATGAGCGCTGCGATAGATTATGTCCCCCCCACCTAGTACTTCGCACCCAGCGAATACAGAATCATTATTATGTCATGTAATAAGTATGTATGTAAAATATAAGATTCTCCATTCTTCTACTAGAAAATTACAAATGCCCGAAGTTTGTTCCATACAGCTTCAACCACACCATGGTGACGCGACGCGCGGACTGTCATGGGTCGCGCGACCTGTCACTGGCTTTTGTTCGCGCCAGCGATGGAGATCTGCACGCGTTGGTGTGATTGAAGATTTATGGAACGAACGCACACAAAATATAGTGCACTAGACCCCCAGTAACCCATGGTCTCTACCATCTAATGGTGCGAAAATAATAGCTCTTCTTACCATAGTATTGTGCAGCGTCAGGCTCTGCTAAGTTGTACTCGTTGTAGGGAATATGGCCAAGGACTGCATTTGCTGTGAATCTTTTTTAATAAAAGAGTTTAGTAAACTTTTTAGAAATTATACTTTTTGCGGTGATCACAATAAATCGATGATCATCATCATAATTTCAGCCACAGGACGTCCACTGCTGAACATAGGCCTCAACCAATGATTTCCACATCGCCCGGTTGGTAGGCCTGCATCCAGCGCCTTCCTGCTACCCTTATAAGGTCGTCGGTCCACCTTGGTGGACGTCCCACGCTTAGTTTTGTACGACACAATGCACAACTTAGTATCTACTAAGTACTAAATTTATTAATAAAAATAAATACAAACAAATATTAGTACTTACGCGAAAATTAAGCACAACACATTTCGGGCGGCCATCTTGCCCAAATAAAACAATAAAGTGCTGTTATCACTTAAGTGCGTTATCAATCTAATGATATTGGATTTAGATTGCCTCAATAATGATATCAGTTCAATAACTTAGAACAAAGCGGCATAAGCCGTTGAAGATAAGCCAGCTCATTTCTATGTTGAGTAGTTTGATTAAATAACGTCCATTAGAGCAGGGGTTCTCAAACTTATTTGAGACGCGCCCCCTTTCGACCATAAAAAACATCCGCGCTCCCCCCCCTCTAGTCCAGATTATTTATTGGTCGTATCGAGCAGTCTGGAATGCATTCTCTCAGCGGTCACAGGTTTTTTAATACCTACATAACTACACAGGTATTTGCGCCTTCCCTGGGGAGCGCGCCTCCTACTTTGGGAACCCCTGCATTAGAGATTAGATGTCTTCAAAGTGTAGTTACAGAGTTAACTTAGGTATATCTTGAGAGTGCAGGATACTAGGTGATACAATAAGGCAGGGAGAAAATAATCTTCAATGCGATGCAGAGTAGAGATAGCGCCATCTATTGATACCTTCAGGAACCTTATTACTTATTTAAAATGCGGATCATATTCAGCCACAGGGCGTCCATTGTAAAAAATTTGACGGCCCCAAGGATTTCCAGATTATAAATAATAAATAAATATCCTTGGACATTTTTACACTGCGCCTCTAGTCCCAAACTAAGCAAAGCTTATACTATGGGTACTAGACGACGGGATAAACATACTTAAATACTTTTTTTTTTCTATGTATAATATGTATGTACTTAACATACATATTATACATAGAAAACACCCAGACCCGTAACAGAAATTAAAATTCATCATTTCAATTTCTGCCCGGCCGGGAATCGAACCCGGGACCTCTCGGCATAGTCATAGTAGCCGACAAATTGGCCAGTTGGAAACGATTTATCCGAAATCTAAATATATTTATAACTCAAAAGTGACTGACTGACTGACATAGTGATCTATCAACGCACAGCCCAAACCACTGGACGGATCGGGCTGATATTTGGCATGCAGGTAGATGTTATGACGTAATCATCCGCTAAGAAAGGATTTTACGAAACTCCACCTCTAAGGGGGTAAAACGAAGTTGCGGGCGGCAGCTAGTTTGGAAATAAGCGACTTCGGCATTTTTTTTCTCAAATATAACTTTTTGTAACTTGTCTAAGGGGGGTAGCACCGTTGGCTGGTTGTTCTATTTGGTACATGACAGTGAAAATTTAATGGTATCATTGCGTCATAATATTGCCGTTATTAGATATCAATATAATATTAACAACTACAGGTAAAATTGGGAAGTTATCTACTCTTAGTCCGTGACTCACATAGCGGCCTACTAATGTCCGTTTTCATCATCAATACCTAATTTTAAGAGACCCCTATGGTAACACAGGCATATTATTTTCATAGGGTTAGAAAACTGGCATAAGTATGGTATCGGGACTATTCCCACCTCTCGTTCCCACCGCTGCAACTCCTGGGTAGCCAGGATCTACAGCTTGACCGCCAATAACCCAACCAGTGAAGGTCAAGTGTGTCCCGGGGAAAGAAAAAACTGTCATTGGACCCGCAACGAAATTAATCAGAAGAACATAGGAGTTCGAAGTAAAGTTTCACCTTCCCTCCATTGCAAAGCGGATGACAGGTGACAAACAAAGGTTTAGTCCTACTATGCTACAGAATACATACATTTTTGTGCATGAACATGTCTGTATTATACGTCTAGTCTGGTCCGCGAGCACGTAGAATTTTGTCCAGTGACCCCAAGCTACCCATCCTTATCGCTCGCGCATAATATACAGGGTGGAAACGATAAGTGATCTCACTCGATTATTTCTAAACCATACAAGATATCGAAAAACTGGTTCCTGATCCTGAAAGTGCTTTACGAGCTCTTTCAAACGGCACCAATAACAAGTTACAGAATAAACTGGATCTATCCGAAAATTCAATGTTTCCGGCTTCCATACTTTTGGTACAGCCTCATAATATTAAAAACTACAGAAGGTATCGTAAAACTGGTTACTGATCTTAAAAGTGCTTCACGAGCTCTATCCAACGGTATCAATATTAAGTTACAGAATAAACTGGATCTATCCAAAAATCCATTGTTTCCATCCCCCATACATTTAGTACTACCACAGTCATGACACTCATCTCTTGATACTTGATACAACACTTTATAGCAAGTAAAGCCTAAAACTAATTTTTTCCTTGAATAATTTTAAATAAAAATGCAATTTACGCGTTTTTTTTAGGTTCATTATTTAATTTTAAAAAATTACACTTAATATTGTGTGGTTGGCATACATTTAGTATGGAAGCTGGAAACATTGAATTTTCAGATACTTCCAGTTTATTCTGTAACCTGTTATTGGTACCGTTTGAAAGAGTTCGTAAAGTACTTTCAGGGTCAGTAACCAGTTTTTCGATATCTTGTATGGTTTAGAAATTATCGAGTGAGATCACTAACTTATCGTTTCCACCCTGTATTGCTGTCGCGACTGTGTGACGGGCGCCCGCAGTGAGTGTGCGAGCGCGACAGCAACATAATTACGCGCGAGCGATAAGGATGCTCATAGACCAGACTATATAAGACTATAACATTTTTCCAGAACTTATAAATAAAACAAATTATAATGAATAAGTAGTTATTATTTATTAATATTTGTTACAAAATTTACATAACTTATGTATTGTTATTCATATGCACAATTACATACATTGTTTAATAATGGGATACAATAAAAAATATTCAACTGTGCATTACCAATGTACCTGTAACAAAAATACGAATGTCATAAAGCTGGAGAGATTTTTTTGTTTGCTTGACCGCGCTAATTAATCTCAGGAACTACTGAACCTCTAGCATGAACAACTTTCATCTTCAAATCGTTTGCGTATTCGACAAAATTCGATACTCAACCTTCGAATTAAACGATAACGTGACAATTTTGATTCCCATAATAAGTTTTGTACAACCATTTCTCATACTAAGTTCACTTTACGACACGTTCACAAGGGCGCTGATGTAGTTTTCGTACTAAATCTTTTGATGGCGATTCAAATACGCAAACGATTCGAACTCGAAAAGTTTTCGTGCTAGCCGTACTGATCCGATTTGAAAAAATATTTTATATCGAATGTTTTAGGCTATTTCATTGTTTTGTACAATAATCAATCACTGAACCAGTCACCACGTTTCTGAAGCACTATTTCAAACCAAGCAATATGTAAAATCTGAAAATATCTCATAGTTCATCATCGTGCCACTGAGTGCCTCTGAACTGTCAAATAGTTGCAAAAAAAAAAACGGTTCTGTTTGACGCGACGGCGACGGCATCGCATCTTTGTTTAACACACAGTGTTGCTGCTAGTGACATCTCGCTTGCTCAGTCCTTTGTTGCTCTATTCCGCTAGGTAACTATATTAATTTTATGGGACTTACCTATTTCCTATGGATAGGCTCGCATTCCCTCTGTAGCCATTGCAGGTCTTCAGTCAACCCGCGGCTCTCAAGTATTGGACCTAGAGTATGTAATACTCTCTGGTGGTACTGGTTTATGTAGGCCAACTGAAAAAAAGACCATTGCATTAAGAAACATAGTTTTACAGCATCCTACTAATATCTTCGTTAACGCCTTCAGCCAGGCAAAAACAAGCGCCTTGGTAAAATGTTAGACGATTTTATACGATAAATGTATGGGCTTATCGTGCAAATCGATAAAATTTTATCACTGATTGTCGAGATTTTTTTTTGTATTTTTAAAAAATTGCCACCTGCGAGACAACGAATACATTTTCTTTTTTTTTCTATTTTCTAAAAATACAACTAAAAATCTGAAAATTATTAAATTTTTTCAGTTTTATTTACTACTAGCTGACCCGGCGAACTTTGTTCCGCCTTAATGGCAATAAATAAGCAGACTTTTTTTTTAATTTCGAACGGGATAAAAAGTATCCTATGTCCTTCTCCTGGCTCTAAACTACCTCCCTGACAATTTTCAGCTAAATCCGTTCAGCCGTTCTTGAGTTATAAGTGGTGTAACTAACACGACTTTCTTTTATATATATAGAAGAAGAAGGTGAAAATTTGATATTGGAGAGATCATGAAGAGGCTTATTGATAGCTGCAGGGTTATCCATTGTTTTCGGGACAGTCTGTATTTTGCTTATTGCGTTTAGTTTAGCTGGAGACACAAGAGTTAACGGGATATTTAGTAACATGCAACACATCCTTATAAAAATAAAAAAAATGTCCAAGGATATTTAATGATCACCTCAAAGTCATCCAGTAGAGACACGTCGATGCTTTCTCTTTGGTTGGGGACCATCGTCAGCGTATTGAATCCAAGCACGCCTCGGCCATCGTAATCGCCTACTAGGTACTTCGCCTGTTGAAAGAAAGAAAGAAAAAATTAAATACACAGTCTTCATCATCATCATTCAGTTTAGATAGCCTGTTCGTCGTTTCAGCCAAATGACGTCCACGGCTGGACAAAGGCCTCCCCCAAAGTTTTCCATAATGAACGGTCCTGCGCTGCCCGCATCAAGGCTCAAGGTCACCCAAAGGGCGATGGAGCGGGCTATGCTCGGAGTTTCCCTGCGTGATCGAATCAGAAATGAGGAGATCCGCAGGAGAACCAAAGTGACCGACATAGCACGCAGAATTGCTATTGCCTGTTCATATAAAGTGTATTAATTACCTTATTTAAAGCACATTATGTTATTTATTGACATATTTTTTGAAAAAAAAAATAAGGCAAATTAGTTCGACATAAAGAATTTGAATAATCATGAGAATTTTGTTTTGTTCAAGAGTGCCAAAAATCACGTTTTCTAATTTTTTTTAAACTTCTTTTAATTTTTTTCTTCTTTTCATTAACTTTTTTACATTTGTATTTTTATGTTTGTTTTAGATTAATATCTCAGAAATAAAGACTGATAAAAATCTCACCCTAGGATGGTCAGAGTCCTTTGTGATCTTCACGATCTCAACCAAGTCCTCATGGCGAATGCCGAACTCGCCCACTTTGTAGTATCCAGGTTCTGAAAGAAAACCTCGAGCTGTATGTCATAGGACTTATGGTTCAACTTCATTTAGCGTTTGCTGAGAATTCTTTCCAGGTTAAAACTATATTTCATGGAGCATAGAGTTCAATTTTGCCTATCGTAGCCTTGGCACTAAGTGGTATTGCACAAATAAGATTTAATATCGCCCGTCGATATGTCAGAAGGCATTATTACACAAAAAGCACGATGGTAGCGCTCCATAATGACTAAAAAATTCATAAAATTGTGCACAGCTTCCCATCACGATGCGAGAAATCAAGCATTGCTATTTGCAAACATTTTTGGCCCATCCTGTACATACCATAAAGTTAATAATACTAGACTAGAGCAACAAAGAACTGAGCGAGCGAGATGTCACTAGCAGCAACACTGTGATAGAAAGAGATGCAAGATGCGACGTAACAGAACCGTTTTTGCAACTATTTGACACTGAGATTTTTCAGGTTTTACGTGAGTGAAATCGTGGACGTTTATGATAACTAGTGCTTTAGAAACGTGGTGACTGGTTCAGTGATTGTTTGTACAAACCAGTGAAATAATCCAACACACAAATGACATCCAGTGACATCTCAAAATCGGTTTCGTTTGACAGCTCGCGGTTGTTGCTCTATTCCGAAGGAATATTCAATTTTGCTCCAAGCACTTTTCAGATCATGTTTCGCTAACTCACTATCCCAGCCACATGTGAATAAGGTCTAATTCCGCTTACCATTGCTAAGCACCTGTCCCGGCTTGAGTCCCGGGTCGCGTGGGTAGGGCCACCAAGACACGCCGGATGGCCCCTCGAGTCAAATGTCCTAGCCTTGACCTCTATGTTACACATCATAAGGTTCAAATTATCTTACCATTGCTAAGCACAATATTTTTCTATTCTTTCTGGGGTTCTGCACTGCTCTATGTCATAGAGCATAATGTCTAAATTCCCTTACCATTGCTAAGCACCTGTCCCGGCTTGAGTCCCGGGTCGCGTGGGTAGGGCCGCCAAGACACGCCGGATGGCCCCTCGAGTCAAATGTCCTAGCCTTGACCTCTATGTTACATATCATACGATTCGAATTAACCGAATTTAAGATCATTGACTGCCAGGACATTTCGGATCGGCTTGACCCCTTGGCGCTGCGTAGAGATGTATCCTCACTGTGCATCTTCTATCGCATGTATATTATTTTATTTTATTTATTTGGTTCACCAACAGTTAATTACACCAATACAATTGTATAAATCTTAAGAAGAATAGGTACATGTTCAATGTATTAACTTACTAGCGGCCGCCCGCGATATCAGTACGCGTGAATCCCGTTTTTCCCGCTAATTCCCGTTCCCGTGGGAATTTCGGGAATTCCTTTCTTAGTGCACCTCTACGGTACCTAAGCTACGTCCCTTCCAAATTTCAAGTGCCTACGTTTAGCCGTTTAGGCTGTGCGTTGATCTGTCAGTCAGTCAGTCAGTTTCGCCTTTTATACAGTGTGAGTCACGTTAAAGTGTACATATGAAAATAGATGAAACTAGACCTATTTTTATCGACAAAAAAGAGGTCAAAAAATTTTTGAGATTTTTTTTTAATTTTTTATAGAATTTTTTTTCTTCCAATTACTTATTGTAAAGAAAACGTAATAACTTTTAAACTAAGCGGTATATCCTGATAAAATAAAAACAGTAATAATGCTAAATAACAGGCGATACTAAAAAAATACATAAAATACACAAAAAATGCCAACAAATAATAAAAAATGATACTTTTTGAAAAAAATCTGCTTAAAAATTCGTGTTTTTTTGGTTATTTGATAAATTTCTCCAAAAAATGCCCCTATAACCGGTAGTTTTTATTACTTTGTATTATTCTCTATCGTATTACCTTCGTAAAACCAAAAATCGCATGTCTCTATCCCTATCACAACGTTTGCAATGATCGTTTGAACTAAGCCTCTCCGGGCGCGCCATTCAACGCTTCGTTAACAACAAAACTGAAAATGGCTCTAGATTTGTAATTTTGATAAAGACAAGTTAGATTTCAAATAAAAACAAAAGATTTCGAAGTAAAATAAGCATTTGAGTTAAAATTAAAATTGTCTCTACCTGTAGCGGAGAATAATGTTGTGGCGGGCCTTTGTTCAAACGATCATAGCAAATGTTGTGATAGGGATAGAGACATGCGATTTTTGGTTTTACAAAGATAATACGATAGAGAACAATAAAAAGTAATAAAAACTACCGGTTATAGGGGCATTTTTTGGAGAAATTTATCAAATAACCAAAAAAACACGAATTTTTAAGCAGATTTTTTTCAAAAAGTATCATTTTTTATTATTTGTTGGCCTTTTTTGTGTATTTTATGTATTTTTTTAGTATCGCCTATTATTTAGCATTATTACTGTTTTTATTTTATCAGGATATACCGCTTAGTTTAAAAGTTATTACGTTTTCTTTACAATAAGTAATTGGAAGAAAAAAAATTCTATAAAAAATTAAAAAAAAATCTCAAAAAATTTTTGACCTCTTTTTTGTCGATAAAAACAGGTCTAGTTTCATCTATTTTCATATGTACACTTTAACGTGACTCACACTGTATATTTAGATTACAGGCAAACACAGCATTAACTTATTACAGGCAAACACAGCATGCATGCATGTATCACGGGGAATGCTCCGAAGAATTGATCGGACTTATTCCTGCCGCCATTTTTCGCCACCGATCTACCTGACAGCACTTCCACCCCCATCACTTAGATGGTTGGCAGTCCACAACAGTACGTTTCTCTAGAAACTTCCTGCCCAGTACAACCAAACTGTGGAATGGACTGTCGTCTGCGGTGTTTCCGAACGGATGCGACCTGCAAGCTTTCAAGAGGAGAGCGTATCTTCACCTTAAAGGCCGGCAACGCACTTGTATCGCCCCTGGGTCTGCGGGTGTCTATGGGAGACGGTAATCACTTACCATCAGGTGATCCGTCTGCTTGTTTGCCTCCTGTCACATAAAAAAAAACTTACCATTGCTAAGCACCTGTCCCGGCTTAAGTCCCGGATCGCGTGGGTAGGGCCGCCAGGACACGCCAGATGGCCCTTCGTGCACGTTTAAAAAGTGTCCCACGCCGTGGCCCGTCCCGTGCGCGTAGTCCAAACCTACGTCCCAGAGGGCTTTGCGCGCGAAACTGTCTAGTACGTTGCCCTGGGGAAGTCAAAGTCAAAGTCAAAATTCCTTTATTTCCATGGACTATAAAAATAGTGCTTACAAATCGTTAAAAACATTTATTTTTTCAAATTTATTTATTTACTTCACAATGTCACAGAAGCTTTACGGGCGTTTTCAAGGCGAGAATAGGCACTTAAAGGGCACATATGTACCATCCTAGACTGCATCTCACTTAACACCAGGTGCGATTGCGGTCAAATACATGCGTTGTCTTGAATAAAAAATTAAAAAAAAAGTTCATTTTATCTATGATCGCGTAGATAGGTCTACATTTCGCGCGACCCTTGGTAGTTTTTTGCAACCGGTTGAAAAATTAATACTCTAAAAATTAAGGGGGGATTACTGTTCTTGTTTCCTAGTTTGTTTTTGGGCCATCTTTGACCATCGGTTATATCTGCCATATTTTATACGTTTTCAAGTCTTGCTCATAACCTTTTTTTGACTCACCTTGACTCCCATAGGGAACAGCGCGTTCCCAACCATCATCTGTCCCTTCAGTACTCGCGTGAAGGCACTCTTCTGTTCGTCCGTAGGCGAGTAGCTCATGTGCCGTGTGCGAGTAATATCTGTAGTCCCGTCCCTGTAGAAATTAAGCAAAAAATAGGATAGTTTGTCCCAGTTTTTGATACGAAAACACTAAATACTCAATACTCAATCGTTTATTGCATAACCACATTAGCATTCACATTACATAGGTCTTACAATTTAGGCAGTTATACAATGTGGACCCAGTTAGGGCACAGCAACTTGAGGAAGGAGACAGAACGACGATCTTAATAGTTTCAAAAGAAATTAATGACACGCGCGAGATACTAATGCCCGTTTTCACCATCAATCTCTAATTTTTAAGTGACCCCTATGAAAACAAAATTAGGGATTGCCAAATTTTTTAGTGACCATCCTTATTTATTTTATTATAATTTCGTGACGTCACATTTCAGAATCTAAAGTTTTCATATTAGGTTTTTGTAGAGTTAAGTTTTCTTAGAGTTAGGTTTTCATGAAGTTAGGTTACGTAGAGTTAGGTTTTCGTGAGGTTTCCGCAAAGTTATTTTTTCGTTAATAAAATTAAGATTTCGTGAAGTTAGGTTACGTGGAGTTAAGTTTTCGTAAAGTTAGATTACTTGAAGTTAGGTTAAAGTTAAGAAGTAAAGTTAGGGTTTTCAGAAACCAACGCAAGCTAGGTAAAAAAATGAAAAATTCACATAACGTAATTTTTGAATAGTTCTTTCTGCAACATAACCGAAACCAAATGCAAAACCTAGTGTACTTACTTGTACTGTCCTCCAGAGTCCAGTAGAAACATGTTCCCTCTCTGTATGACCGTTTGGGCCCCCTCTCTGGACGGGTTGTAATGTATAATGGCCCCATTGGGTCCCGCGCCCGGGATGGTGGCAAACGATGGACCCATGAAGTCCTTTTCATCCCTGGAAAGGCCAAAAGTGTGTCAATGATAACTAATTTTTCTGCATAACCCAAAGGTAAACTGGATGAGAATGCCTTATGGCATTAAGTACACACACACACACACACACACACACACACACACACACACAAACACACACAAGCACACACACACACACACCAAACGCAACCTAAATATGTGGTGATTTTGTTACTTTTTGGTTATGATAAAAAAAAAATGTTACTGTTAATTTGTTAAGGGAGAGCGACTCCTTCTGGCACAGGTGCCATTGCACTTACAAGAAAGAGTCCACCTCAAATTCCATTAATTGTTGTTGTTAACGAAATAAACATTTTTCATTTTCATTTTCATTAAGTTCGCCTAATGTTAATATTTTGGGCATTGAAGTATAAATAAATAAATGATGATGATAAAGTATGCTGATGGTGACCATGTTATTTTGTAACGCGACGGTGTAGTTTTGGGATGAAAGGATGGTGTGGTCATCATTCATCAATGAGGGTGATGATTGACATATGATGATGATGAGTTATAATGCCGTTAATAAATGGTGTCGATGAACAATGGTATTGATGATGATGAATGATGATTGTTAATGACTTACTTCTAAAACTAAAAATTCAATAAACGGTTCTCTCTCGGTGTATGATGATGATGATGATGACGTACAATGATGATGAAGTGCTGTGATGATTGAGGAATCGTGATGGATAAGTCTGGATAACGTATGATCATGATGATTACGTATGGTAATGATGAATGGTGATAAAGATGAAGTAAAGTTATGATGATGACATATGGTGATGAAGCTAAATGGTGAAGATAGTGAAGTATGGTGCTGATATTGAATGGTCATCATAATCTTAATTTGTTACTACTAAAGCTCGGTGTGTGAGCACGTAGAATTTTGTCCAAAGACCCCAAGCTACCCATCCTTATCGTTCGCGCGTAATTATATTGCTGTCGCGACTGTGCGACGGACGCCCGCAGTGAGTGTGCGAGCGCGACAGCAACATAATTACGCGCGAGCGATAAGGATGGGTAGATTGGGGTCATTGGACAAAATTCTACGTGCTCGCAGACCAGACTATAGTGATGATGGATGAAGCATGATGATGATGATGATGATGACTTACTTGCGGAACTCCAGCAGTTTATCAGATGCCTGTATTTCAGTCACCTCTGCACCGGAGTCGATCCGGTCGTGCAACCACTTGAAGAAGCGGACAACCGCTATGCCATCGCGAATGTGGCATTGGCGGAAACCCTAGAAAACACATTTTATAGGTATAGATAGATCGCTTCATCCAGCGGTTCCCAAACTTATTTAGTCTACTGCCCACTTTGAGAATAAATTATTTTTTAGCGCCCCCCATTTTTGTAGTCAAGAGTCGAGCTCAGTCGGTGTCTAAGAGTCCTCCTAGTAGATGACGCCTCCCAAGCCTTTACACAACGTCCCGGTTTTTTTTCTGGGTCTCTTACAGCCCCCCTTTAAGCCTGCAGCGCCCACAAGGGGGCGTTATCACCCACTTTGGGAAAGACTGGCTTCATCCACGAAGACGCGCCCCATCAATGTTTGGTATCGGTCGCGCGGGGTGCGGGGAGTTTGATCCGAGCAATCCGTAAGGCATTATTGTAGTGTGCGTGTGCACTCATGGATGTTTTTTTTTATCCACAACGAGGAAGCTCTAGGCCTGTATCTCACCTGATGGTAAGTGATGATCAGGCCGAAGGTGGAAGCGAGCTTAACCCGGAATCCTCAATCACGGAGGAACTGGCTATCTTACCTCTAACTGCCGGAACACAACAATGCTGTTAACATTGTTGTTATGGCGACAGACTTAGGTAAGATGGTGGTAGCTAGCCAGGCGGACTTAGGACAAGCCCTACCACCAACCAAACCGAACAGAAAAATCTGCCCCCATTGGGAATCGAACTCCCGGGTTCGATTCCCAATGGGGGCATCCTCTGTGTCTGAAGCAGGTGATCTTACCACTAGGCCACAGAGGCGGATTTAGCGTGTACCGATAACATTGAGTGTCAAACATTAGCGGAAGAATGGTGCCGCTTCCAGGCCTCCAGGCTGAGATCCAGAGGTTCGATTCCCAAAGGAGGCAAAATTTTGTGCTACCTGTTTCTCGTGTGGTTCCGGCAGAGTACGAGAAGAACAAATAAATTAAAAAAGTTTATTCTGTACCTTCATAGGCGGGCCTTTCCTGAGCACTTTAAATACACGTCCCAAATATAGCTAGCCCTACCACCACTTCGGGACAACTTAAGGGCTGGTGCTGAGAAGAAGTGGCGGAAGAAACTTATGCCCGTTTTCACCATTAATCCTTAATTTTTAAATGACCCCTATGGTAACACTTATCAAGAATTTTGTTTTCAAAGGGTCACTTAAAAATTAGAGATTGATGATGAAAACAGGCATCAGTCACCTTGGTCAGCCCCTTTTTAATCAAATACAGTAATTTTGTAAAAAAATCCACGCACTCTTGTCAATACTAATCCCCATTCCTTCCTTGGATGTCGTAAGAGGCGACTAAGAGACAAATATACGAACATCAGGCCTCCCCAACCCGTCTGGCCAGCGTGGGGAGTGTAGGACAAATCCTCCATTTGCCTCTGGTACATTAGAGGGCCGTGCTCCTGAAGTGGAGACTAAATATAATGATCTGATGATGATGACAATCTAGTATCATCATCATCATTTCAGCCATAGAACGTCCACTGCTGAACATAGGCCTCCCCCAAAGATCTCCACAATGGCCGGTGGTGGCGGCCTGTATCCAGCGCCTTCCCGCTTTGTGAAGTCGTCGGTCCACCTAGTGGGTGAACGTCGCACGCTGCGCTTTTCGGTACGTGGTCTCCACTCCAGAACCTTGCTACTTCAGCTTGCTAATCCGTTGGGCTATGTATACAACTTAGTATACATACCTCCAATTCCACTTCGTTTTTGATCAGCTTCATGAGAGCTATCGGCGACACTTCGGAAGTCAAGTTTAATGGCTTCTCCAATACGTCACGCTGTAATAAATAAAAATTAAAACAATGAAATAAGGGATTTTAAATACTTTTATCTTTCTTTATTAATAATCAAAAGATTTATTAAATGAAAAAATAATTCAAAATTGTATAATAAGACGTAGGCATCTACTAAGAAAGGGTTTTCCAAAATTGAATCCCCTAAGGGATGAAACGGGGGTTCAAATATAAATTAGAGTTTTCACTGTGTTACCTACTATCTCTTAGTTCTTATATTTGCAACTGTCCACATTGCATGCCGTGGCAGCCTTTAATTAAGACAGCACTTAGTTTTAAGCACTTTTAGTTATAGTAATTTCATGTATGCGTGTTTGTCTTGTTGGTTGTCCTAATAAATAAAATAAAATAAATAAATAAATAAATAGAGCGAAGCTCGGGTATCAAGGAAAATCTAGCTTCAAACCTCCTCCAGTTACTTAAGACTGTGCCCTAATTCAGCCCCTAAGGGGATGAAACGTGAGTATAAAGTGAAGACTTGGCTAAAAACTAGTAATATTATATTTTTTTTCCCTATTACTAGTAGTTTAAAGTACTTACCCCAGCGGCCGCCCTGTGTATAGCTTCACTTGCATCACTGGAGAGCCAGATACAGCTGTGGCCATCACCAACTTCTGACAACTGAAAGGGGTCAAATAAACCACCGTTAGACAACAGTACATCAAGTTTAATATTGTGGCATCTATGTAGTTGAAATAGGTATAGTCTGGTCTCCGAGCACGTAGAATTTTGTCCAATGACCCCAAGCTACCCATCCTTATCGCTCGCGCGTAATGATATTGCTGTCGCGACTGTGCGACGGGCGCCCGCAGTGAGTGTGCGAGCGCGACAGCAACATAATTACGCGCGAGCGATAAGGATGGGTAGCTAGGGGTCATTGGACAAAATTCTACGTGCTCGGAGACCAGGCTTTACCAATTTTCAACAAAAATGTATAGTTTGATGTGCTCTTGACTGGCAAAGGAGGTAAGTTTTTGAAGTCAAAATAGCACTAAGAGAAAACACATTAGATAATTGCAATAGAGGTAAATAAATCCTACTAAAGTCCGGTCAAGTCAGAAGTTCTTTTCCACGCATTTCCTACATCGTCCATAAAGCATTCATAGACTGGACTACATGTATAAATGTTAAAAAAAAGGTATTACATATTTCTTTCCTTTTAGGTATATGTATTAAAAAAATATTTTTCATCTATCGGTTTAGCTAACTACAAGATGGCAGATACTTACCGCAAACTGTTGCAAGAAAGCCACAATATCCCCATACGGGCGGCCTTCAACTACCGCCCCCTCTGCCTTCAACTGATCCTGGGCCGCCTGGGGGATTCCCCCGTCCCCCCAGAATAGGTAGACAGAAGAGGGGGTGATGACCAGGTAAGAGAAAAACACAGGGTTGTACTCTATGTCACTACCGCGGAGGTTTAACGCGTCTGTGGGAAAAAAGTTTAAATAACAGTCAAATATGGCTGACATTAGATATAGTCAAACGATTCTGAAACGTCAAGTTTATTTATCAGACACTCATTCTAGTACATTAAAAAACAAATTTAGAAGATAGAAGTAGCAAAAATTAGAACTAATTAACCTCCTCACATCACCCCTACCCCTTGCCTAAGCCTCCTCACACCCCCTCTACCCCTAAGCTTCCTCACACCCCCTTAACTTCCTCAGACCCCCTTTAATCCTTATACCTCCTGACCCTACAATTTAACCTCCTCACACCCCCTTAACTTCCTAGACCCCCTTTACTCCTTAAGCCTCCTCCCCCCTACCCTTTGACCTCCTCCCACCCCTTCTACCCCCTAAGCCTCCTCACACCCCCTTAACTTCCTAGACACCCTCTACTCCTTAAACCTCCTCCCCCTACCCTTTAACCTCCTCCCACCCCTTCTACCTTCTAAGACTCCTCACACCCCCTTAACTACCTAGACCCCCTTCACTCCTTAAACCTCCTCCCCCCTCTACCCCTAAGCCTCCTCACACCCCCTTAACTTCCTAGACCCCCTTCACTCCTTAAACCTCCTCCCCCCTCCTTAAATTTCTCAACCCCCTACCCGTTAACCTCCTCCCACCTCCTCTACCCCTAAGCCTCCTCACACCCCTTCTACCCGCTAATCTTCCCCACACCCCCTCTAACACAGGAACCTACTCAAATAAGCGCTATACCTGTATTCCGAAAACCAATGAAGGTACTAATTTTAATTTCAAAGCAGGTAAAAATCTATTTTATTATTTTATTATTTTTGTTTACGCAGACACTGTATGTTGGATGTTTTTAATAAATTATGTAGAACAAGCAATATTATGTAGCACATTGTATTGATTTTAAATCTTAAATGTAACTTGTGTAGATTTTAATTCTCAATATAAATATTAGATTATATATTTTGCTAGAAATAGTTCTATTAATAAAGTAATGTAAGCCTCTTTTTTGCCTGAGATACAGGAATTATAATTCTTAGTTCAGGCACGTATGTACTTTTACCTATTATAGTTTAATATTAGCCTATTGTTAAAAACTATCAATAAGTTATTCAATAAAGAATTTATTTATTTATTATTTATTTATTTATTTATTTATTGCTAAAAATATTGTTTTGTGTTCCGGCAGCTGGAGGTAAGATAGCCAGTTTCTCTGTGGTTGAGGATTCCGAGTGAAGCTCGCTTCCACCTTCAGCCTGATCATCACTTACCATCAGGTAAGAAGCAGGCCAAGACCTTCCCCTTTGTGATAAACAAAGTAAAGCTGTGTTGGTAAGCATATTTGAAACTAGCTTTCCGCCCGCGACTTCGCGCGCGTGGACTACATTATCTACATATTTTACGGAACCCGTACCGTGGATAATGTAGCTTTCGAATTGGGAAAGAATTTTTAAAAACGGTCCAGGTGTTTTTGAGCCTATTCATTACAACCAAACAAACAAACAAAGTTTTCCTCTTTATATTATTATATATAATATACAGGGTGTTAGGTAAATGGGTATATGAGCCGACATTAGCCCATGTTAACATGGGCATATAAATGGTATGGTGAAGTCAGAAAATTGATAACATAATTTTATTTTTTTAAATTTTCATACAAAATAAATTTTATAAAATCCGATTTGTATGAAAATTAAAATAATTAAAATGAATATATCAATTTTCTGACTTNGAAAATTGATAACATAATTTTATTTTTTTAAATTTTCATACAAAATAAATTTTATAAAATCCGATTTGTATGAAAATTAAAATAATTAAAATGAATATATCAATTTTCTGACTTCACCATACCATTTATATGCCCATGTTAACATGGGCTAGTGTCGGCTCATATACCCATTTACCTAACACCCTGTATAGTGTAGATAGTGTAGATAAGTTTTAAAAAGAGGGAGATCGTGCTCTATGGCGTTCTTTGTCTAGAAATGGACTTTAAATGACTGGCATGATAATGATGATGTAACAAGGCTTATACTCACAAGCGATTTCATCCAGCGCAGTGACAACCAAAGCGGCTGCTTTCTTCTCTGCCATCTTCTCTCTTAGCTCTTGTATCTTCTCTCCTGCAGGTTTACCTGTAAAATAATTACAGAATATTAAAAAGACGTGACCTTCTTTTCAACTATACTTCTTGCAACTCATGAAGGCAAGTGAGCTTTACATGCACATAACGATAGTGTAATGTCTGAAGTACGGTCGCCGAGCACGTAGAATTTCGTCCAATGACCCCGAGCTACCCATCCTTATCGTTCGCGCGTTATTATATTGCTGTCGCGCTCGCACACTCCCTGCAGCCGCCCTTCGGACAGTCGCGACAGCAACATAATTACGCGCGAGCGATAAGGATGGGTAGCTTGGGGTCATTGGACAAAATTCTACGTGTCGTAGACCAGACTATAGACATTGTATACAGCCTGTTTAGCGACTCGTGGTTCAAACAAACTACAAGGGTAGCTTGGGGTCATTGGACAAAATAAATAACTTTATGGATTCAGGTATTATGGTTTCTTACCAGTATAGTTGACAGGCAGGGGTATGATGGCGTTATGGGGCCTAGGTGGGGGCGGGTCAGCTAGTTGGACCCTGGCTTCGTCCACTAGGTTTGTTGACACTGCCACCAGGTTCATATTGGCTTTTGTTAGCGCCGTCTGTGGATGAAAGGGAGTTTAAACGGATAGGTTAGTTTAGGTTAGAATTTTTGCATTTTTATCAACCCGGAAAGGGATCGTAACCGTATCAACTCGAGATGGTCAGTATTCTTTGTATGAAACACCATACTGCAACGCACACTTATCCGCACCGTAACGTAAACGCCTCGCCTCGCGGTTGACAGTGCGGCGATACGGCGTTGATCCCTTTCGGGTTGATAAGTGTGCTTATGACCGTAAAGCGGAATAATTACATCAATATTAATGTCATTCGAAATCAAGGCAAGGATAAAGCTTAAATGTTACTTTGTCAAGGGGGGCAAGACGGGAATGTTACTCTGTCGAGAGGGGCAAAACAAGAATGTTACTTTGTTGAGGGTGGCAAGGCAGAAGTCTTGCTCTGTTGAGGGGGGCAATAAATAAATGTTGCTTGTCGAGGGGGGCAATACTGGAACGCTACTTTATCCAGGGGGGGCAAGACGGAAATGTGACTCTATTCGAGCGAGAGAGGCAAGAAAGGAATTTTGATCTAATGAGGGGTGGCAAGGTACGAATGTTATCTGTCGAGGGGGCAAGGCAATAATCTTGCTTTATTGAGGGAGGCAAGACAAGAATGCTACTTTATCGAGGGGGGGTTTTTATTGGCGGTCAAGCTGTAGATCCTGGCTACACAGGAGTTGCAGCGGTGGGAACTAAAGGTGGGAATAGTACCGTACCGGTCGGCCGTAGTAAGGACAATCTGTTCAGGTGGGGATTCTTGGATGGCTCAAACTTGGAGTGCAAGTGTGGTTTTGTTCCCCAGTCGACGAAGCACATGATGCCGTGCCCTGCTTGCCCAAACAACTGCACGCAGGAAGATTAAATGAAGGCTACTGACAACGCCACTCTTGTGGCGGAGTTTTGGGCTGACGTTGTGTAGGTTTGTTGTCGACACGACAAGAAGCACCGTACATACGCAAAGTGAAACATTTTGTATATTCTCCTCAGGGTTCGAAAATATCCGATATTTATTATAAATATCAAAATATCGGATATTTATGATATATATCGGATATATATCAACTTTGATATATATCAATTTTGTATGAAAGCCATACTATTATTTTGTTGTATTATTCATGAATACTATTGCATAAGTGTTACATAAACATGTTTTTAATGTTTTTAAAACTTAAAATCAGAGAAATAAAGCAAAAACATAAAATTTCTTTGAAATACGGCAAATTGAACTAAAAAAATAAAAATCTTATGTCAAAAAGTACAAATACAGTAACAAATTTTAAAAGTTGATATATATCATTAAAACCGGCTTGATATATATCGGATATATATCCGATATATATCAAGATATATATCCCTTGATATATATCCTCGAACCCTGATTCTCCTACCTGCAAAGGAGTCCACTCGTCCCTGGTCATGGTGTGAGGATCGGCTCCGACGGTGGCGCCCTCTGGAAGGTTGCAAGCCAACCACTTTTCCATGGTCGGCGTGTCTGGGAGCGCTGCAAGTATAATAGTCATAGTCATTGTTAACATTCTTTATTGCATGTTGGCATATTACCTACAGTACGTACAAAAATGCTCTTCGATTCGAAAAGAGATGATTTTGCTAAGTATTTTTACACTTTTGGGATTGGGCACACGTCGAAGACTAAAAAAAATACTTTCCATAGCAAATTGTGCAATTAGTGGAATGCAAGTTGTAGAGAAAGTGTTTTATTTTGAAACCAGGTAGTCTGCCAACAGCGGGAGATGGCGGGAGATCATATGAAGAGCTTTATTCGCCTCTACAACCGACATGAACATCTCAACGTGACCACGACCGCTCTGCCAAAAGCGAAACGACTATAGTCTGGTCTGCGAGCACGTAGAATTTTGTCCAATGACCCCAAGCTACAATCGCGACAGCAATATAATTACGCGCGAGCGATAAGGATGGTTAGCTTGGGGTCATTGGACAAAATTCTACGTGCTCACAGACCGGGCTTTAGGTAAGAATTTTCCTCCGTCAGTTGACTGCTCCTTCTTTGATCAGAAGCTGGATACGCCGTATCTTCATTACTTGCGTGCAAGGTTCAAAACAAAGGCGTGTTGCTAGTTTTTAAGCAACTCACACTGCTTCATCAAGGTCCACAGCGTCAGGTCGGCTTCCTTCTCGAACTGCGTGTAGTATCTGCCATCAGTCCAGACCAGCGCATGCGATGATGTCACCACAGCTGTCCCAGCTGAACCTGTGAACGCTGAGATCCATTCGCGGCGCGCGTCCACTGGTGCTATGTACTCAGACTGGAAGGAAAATCTAAATATTAAAAGGAGAAACTGACTGACTGGCATATCAACGCACAGCCTAAACGGCTAAACGTAGGCACTTGAAATTTGGAAGGGACGTAGCTTTGGTACCGTAGAGGTGCACTAAGAAAGGAATTCCCGAAATTCCCACGGGAACGGGAGTTAGCGGGAAAAAACATTTGTATGAAAAAATCTAAACCGCGTAAGATAGATGAAGGGGATAAAACGGGATCCACGCGTACGAAGTCGCGGGCGGCCGCTAGTAGATAAATACATATAAATCAGGGGTGGCTAACTTGATTAGACATAAGATCTACTGTTTACTATCAAAACCCTGGGCGATCTACCACTTACATACTTCTTGAAATCTTAAATGAAACAGCATATTTTAGTACACAATCATGCAGTATTTTTTGCCTTGCCACGATCGAATGGACTAATATCGCGATCGACCGGTTGGCCACCCCTGATATAAATTGTTCCATCCACGAACCCACCTTGGTCGAGGGAAGCGCAGGTTGCGGGGAGTTTGATCCGAGCAATCCGAGCGTCATTATTGTAGTGTGCGTGTGCACTCATGGATCATTTAGCGTGTACCGATAACACTCAAACATTAGCGGAAGAATGGAGGGGCGCGTCTTCGTGGATGAAACGATCTATACCTTGCGACTTTGTCTATAGCGCAGACATACGAAACAGACACGGCATACTAAAAACACTCTAAATGCCAATAGTCTGGTCTGGGAGCACGTAGAATTTTGTCCAATGACCCCAAGCTACCCATCCTTATCGCTCGCGTGTAATTATGTTGCTATCGCGCTCGCACACTCACTGCGGGCGCCCGTCGCACAGTCGCGACAGCAATTTAACTACGCGCGAGCGATAAGGATGGGTAGCTAGGGGTCATTGGACAAAACTCTACGTGCTCACAGACCGGGCTTTAGGAAGGTAGACTTACGTTGTGAGCATCGGCCGTGGGTATGATGTAGGCTGACAACGCAGTCGGCTGACTGGCCATCAGCGCCCGCAGCGCTGTCAAACGCTGCAGCGACATTTTGTGATGATCTGAAAGAAAATCAACATCATCATCATGCCTTATGGCAATAAATTTGCCATAAGTATAAATTCTTTATTCTATTCTTATTGTGATTGAATCAGAAATGAGGAGATGCGCAGGAGAACCAAAGTGACTGACATAAAATATCCCGCAGAATCGCTAAAATCAAGTGGCAGTGGGCGGGGCACATAGCTCGCAGAGCTGATGGCCGCTGGGGCAGAAAGTTCTCGAGTGGCGACCACGAGCCGGAAGACAGACAGAAGAACGTAGTGTGGGCAGGCCCCCCACTAGGTGGACCGACGATCTAGTGAAGGTCGCGGGAGGTGCTTGGATGCGAGCGGCACAGGACCGGTCTTTGTGGAAAACCTTGGGGGAGGCCTTTGTCCAGCTGTGGACGTCTTTCGCCTGAAACGAACGATGTATCAATTTAAGGCATTGAAGAATAAATAAATTAATGTAGTCTCCAGTAGGAGCATTTAAGATTTGTCACTGTGCCACTACGCTAACATGCGGTAATATTAATTAAATACTACATAAACGTTTATTGCTTTTTAACACAAAAAAGGAATTACAAAAAACAAAATTACAATAGAACGGTAAAAAAAGCAAATCTTTTTTGTTAACTAACCTGCAGGTTTCGATAAGATGTTCCTGCCTACAACTGCATTTATTGTAAACCTGTAACAAAATATATTATTTTGATTTAAAATTCATAGAATTCTAAATGTTTAAAATACCTACTTAGAAAATAAACATTATGTAGGCTACGTTTATTTACTTACATTAGAAATAACGGCGTTTTAAATGTATCCCAAAGCCGTAACATTTTTTTGTATTAAAATTAAAAATTATAAAAGCCACCAAAATTTTCAGTCAATCTGTCACCATATTTTGTTTTTTTATTTTTTAAATAAACACATTTAAATTTCGAACACCATTGAAGCTAATCCTAATGTTTTAAAGAAGGTTGCAACCAAATTTTAATTAAAAACAAAATCTTGTTTTCCAACACTTTTTCTTTATTTTATTCGAATGTCAGAGCCACAACTAAAAAAAAGGAAAATTTACGAGAAGGTTAATTTAAAAATAGAACGTCAAACTTCTCAGATCACTTTTTTATTTCACATTTTTTCCTATGGCTTGCACAGTCAGTATAACGAACTGAATCGAATTTTCAAGAATGTTTATTATTCACTTTTAAATTAAATCAACTTCACGGCGGTCAATCGGTCACTCTTTGGCCATTGTGTGATCATGAACTAAATTTCTTATGCCTGACAATTGAAAGTAATTTATGTAGGTATTCAACATACGTTACGAATTTACAATAGCCTATAAACGAGAGGACCTCGATTTATTTTCCTTGAAGGTTTTCTTTTGGTCAATTCTGACTATTAGGTACTTATAGCTATAGAAAATTATGGGAATATTGAATATTCCATAGCATAGAACGACCGAGAGGTGGGAATATTCAATATTCCCACCTCTCGGTCGTTCTATGCTATGGGCCTTAAGGCGATAGGTGAGGCAAAACTGCAAAATAGACCTCTCTTTGAATCCCTACTCCTCCTAAATGGATGATCCAAACAAGAAAAAAAAATATGTGTGAGATGTATAATATCTTGAACTAAAAAATTGTTGTTCGTTTTTTTTGATACAACAATTAGTTTTGACAGAAAAAAATCTTAACTTTCTTCTAATTTCAACAATAAAATTTCCTACTACTCCTAAACGGCTGAAGCGATTTTAATGATTCTTTCACTAAATGATAGAAAATTTTATGGTCTAAAAAATTGTTGTTCATTTTTTTTCAAAAATAATGTATTACGTGTCATACATTCAAAATACCCTGTAATTTCCACACGCGGGCCGCGCGAATGCGGGAGCTCAGTCTTTCACTAGCGTTCGCACGGGGAGGCTGTGTCGCATGTCGGCCCGCTCCGCTCCTTTGTTTTTCTATAAAGAATTTATAGCGCAGTTCGTACACTCGGTACTTATAGTAGTTCGGCCGCTGAATAAGTGATCTGAGTACTTATGTCATTTTAAATAAGTAAAGGCTTTATTTAAATTTTAAGATAATTTAAATACATAGGTACACAAGATGCTGATTACCTATTTTTTCTAGATTTATTTGTCTGATTATTTATCTATTTATTCTAGACAACAATACATAATATATTTTTCTTATGTATTAGTAGGTAATAATAATAAAACAATGCACTTAGATATAGGAAATCACAAGACAACAAAAAATACCTACAAAGGATTATTTAAATTTTGTAATTAGCAGAAACGTATTTTATTAATTTCTTGGAAACAGTCACATCACTTTTGTGCATTTTTCGTTTCGACTGGTAATTTACAAGGTACCTCGTTGGTCCATTGGTTTTGGTTGGTATGAATTTTTTTTATCTCATTGGTCCCCACAAAAAATCGGAATTATTCCTAGGGAATTTCCAATTCATCCAGCTTAATCGTCTCGTCGCAATAAGGTTAGGTAAATTGATACCACCTATTTCGATCCCTGATAATAATATTATAAAAAAAATATTATTGAATAAACAAAAAACCCGACTGCGTAAAAATGAACTGAAAAGATAAAAACAAGCCTTAGTGTTCACAAATGCAGTCGGAGGCATCAATGACTAATTATTTTGTTGGTGATAGGTATTTGATGCCTCCGATTTTACTGACATTTATGATTTTTTTTCCGAAATTTGACCTAAAACTACTTTGTTTTTTCTCGCGTGTTTTCAACCGATATTTTTATTTGGTATGAATATCCAAATGTCTTTAGTCTAATAAAAACATTTTATATCCAGATAATGATTGGATAGCTAATTCCGAGCCGCCAAAGTGTAACAAAAGTACAAAACACGATAAAAATCTTAACTAAGAAATTGGTTGAAAAATGAAATGTGTTAGTGGATTGTTTTTAAGATAATTTAAAAACATCTCTAGCTTCTAATTATCTCTTCTTTCCAATGATAATAACTATATCACTTGTAGTAATTAGATATTGGATTTTGCCTAAAATTTAAAGTTTAATGAAGAAAATGGGAAAATAATACAAAAATTATAAAAATACTTCCTTAATGCTTTCCATAGTTTTTTTATATGATTTATTTCAAAATCAAATCAAAAATAATAACCGCATAGAAAAGAAATACTTTTTTTGTATGCGGCTTGATTTTTCGGCTGCCTATGATGCAGCCGTAATCACAAGCAGACTGGCAGCTGACGGAATCGTCGGTTCGGGTGGGCTTAAATATTTTAAACTACCCTCATATTGTCATAATGTTACACTGTAGTGGCGGTACCTCGACACACAGTATTCGTATCCGTACTTGACATGTAACTCATATAAAAATGTCGCGTTGAGATCCGTGTTTATCTATTTTAGTTGAAATGGAACCCGAAAATTTAAAATCTTGTATTTCATCATAATAGCCGAACATCGATGTTACTAAAAACAATAACAGAGAAAGTATAGTCTAAAATTGTGTTCAATGATCAAAAATATTTTATTCAATGTTGATCAATATTTTACCAATATTTTGAATACCTGCACAGACAGACATTCACATTTAGGTAGGTACTCGGACACACACTTAAAAAACTGTTTATAAGCTTACTTAGACACACGAATATCGTCAGCCTAATTTTCAAACTGCTTTATGTCCTTTTGTGCAAACTTTACAAGAGGAAATAAAAGTTTATTTTTCATAGTTATGGTACTAATAATTGAAGTATAATGATGTACTAATTGAAATATAATCATTATATTTCGATCTGCGTAAATTAAAATCGAGTCAACATTCCCGTAGGCAGTTATGTTAGAATTGGCAGCGCTTCGCATCTGTATTCTGAGCGCTCTTTGATATCGGGCAGAAGCGCGGGCGCGCGGCGGGAGGCGCGTTGTCTCGCTCTAATGCTCAAGGTCGTTCGGCCATGTAATCGCCTTAAAGGTACCTATTTTGCCAGAGGTCGCGAGTTCGTTTCCCGCACTGTACAAACTATCATCGCACTCTACATGAAAAAGGCATGGACATCAATCAACATGGAAAAAATTGGGGGAGGCCTATGTTCAGCAGTGGACGTCCTGTACCTGAAAATAAATGATGATGATGACATGAAAAAGACCTTGCTTACCTCTTCAAAAGCCAATAACTTTGCACACACAATAGGCAAAGCCTTCAACTCGTTAAAACAATTACATAGAAACAAAACTAATATATTGAAGTGTGATTCAGACAAAGAGTAATCTTTAACTGATAAAATATATCTATTTACTGTTGATTTTCGCGTGACAACAGGCTTTATCTTATATTGTTCATCTTCACCAGTGATTCTCAAACTGGGGTTTCCAAATCCCCAAGAGATCATAGTCCAACTCCAACGTATAGAAAATAGTATTGGCACCAATGTTGGGACAAGCAATTTTCAATGAGGGGTGACGTTGGTACCAACGTTGGGGACAACGTGTGGACTTCGTTTGTTTGTTTCAGCCAAATGACGTCCACTGCTGGACAAAGGCATTCCCCAAGGATTTCCACAACAACCGGTCCTACGCCGCCTGCATCCACGCACCTCCCGCGACACTCAGCAGATCGTCGGTCCACCTAGTGGTCTGCCCAATTTACGTCTTCTGTTCTGTGGTTGCCATTTCATGTGGCCTGCCTAAAGGGTTTGTAGGGCCGTCTTTGGCTAACCTACTGGATGAAACATTGTAGAGTGTAGAACAATAAAAAAATTGATAAGGCAAAATCTAGAAAAAAAACTAGTTAAAAGTCGACCAAACTATCGGCCGATACTAGTCAATAGTCCGCAGGGCGACTTAATATGGGTAACGTAAGATTACAGGTTTTAGAAACGCTGAGCTATACTGATTGATTGAACTATTTATGTCCGTAGAAATAAACGTGGCTGTCTTTTTTATTCACGTCGAAACCACAACCGAAACGCTGAACCGATTTCGATGAATTTTAGTGTAGAAATAAGTAACGCCAATGGGAAGGAAGAACTCCGGCTGCATTTAAAGGCGGTGAAAAAGAAATGAAATTAGTTATTTCACATTTATTTAAGTACCTAAGTAAGCATATTTTTCGTGTTTCTAAAATTAACATAATAAGCTTATTGAACCGTGAAATACTGTAAAAGGTTGGCTTTGCAAAGACGGCCCTTTCCTTGGAAGGTTGACCGACCTAATGTGCGTAAGCATCCCTAACGACATGGAAAAAGGGTAAGAAGATGAAAAACTTCATTTAGGTCCACGAGCAATTCAAAAACAAAAGGTAACTACTTACATTCCAAGACATTGATTTGTTAGTAGATTTCGTTACTTCACTCCGAAAAGGACGCCCACAGCTGGACAGACTCCCCGAAAGATTTCCACGACTGGTCCTCAATTAATCAAAGGACTAAGGTGAAAGGAGGATTTAATTCAGAAATGATATCGTAGAACCTAAAGACACATCGCAGATTACAGACTTTTAGTTGGCCGATACTTAGTTGGGACGGCTTCGAATTTGTATGAGGAATCGGCAGAATCGGCTGATATCAAATAGGTGTAATGTGCACACTTTCATATAGACTAAAGAGTTAGTGAACGCCACACCTACGTCATTTTATAAAAGCTGAAAGTTTGTCAGCGTATGGTCCCAATATAGGATAGAATGTTGGTGAATCATGAAGTTTGGGTCATTGTGGCTTTGGGAGCTACCCTAAAAAAACTGTCTGGCAAGGAGTTGGAACTGTCAAAACTGTCTGGCTGTTGGGGAAAATACTTCTAATTATTGCCCAAATATTATACATAAAAATTAGATTTTATGGTATAGCGTAGGTAAGTCTAACTTTTACGGTGGCTTTTTCTGTATTCAATAGACTGTAATTCTACTAACGTTCACTAGCTCTTAATCTAATACTGATTTACAGCCCGAAAAGTTTGTAGTCTTCGGGGTGACTAAGTACTTAATTAAGTAACTGATATAGCCCGGGGCACATAGCATCCCGATTGTTGCGATATTGATTGAAACACAACTCTGATACTTATAAATACAATCTGACCTTTCCTGACCTCAAACAAGAAATAGAACTGCGTGTCCACCCAAGGATATCATGACCTTCCCGCGCCCCGCAAAATGGCGAGGAAAAAGGTCAGATTGGTTATCCATTGTAGGAGGATGTGACTTTCATAGTTTTCTGCCCCAGCGGCCATCAGCTCAGTGAGCTATGTGCCCCGCCCACTGACATTTGATTTTAGCGGGCTATTTAGCTCGCAGAGCTAATGGCCGTTGGGGCAGAAAAGTTCTCAAGTGGCGACCACGAGCCGGAAGACGTAGTGACCTTTGTCCAGCAGTGGACGTCATTCAGCTAAAACGAACGAACGAACGAAGAGTTTTCTATTAATAAGTTACAATGTTTGCTATTATTAGGACAGACGACGACCGCATAAAGGTAGCAGAAAGGCGCTGGATGCAGGCCGCTACCAACCAACCAATCTGGAAAACATTGGGGGAGGCCTATGTTCAGCAGTGGACGTCCTGTTGCTGAAATGATGTAGTATAATATGTATAAGTATGATAGGAATACCTCTACTTTGCTTTATAGGTTCTAGCGCTTAGCTCGGTCAGTACCAGAGGTATGAGAGCGGCACAGGAGGGGTGACTCAGCGTTGCTAGTTTTTTATTTCGCCAAGTCGGGACTTTGGTACTTTTTGAGTGAAAATAGCGGGATTCTTCCGTCAGAAGCGGGACATAGTAAAAAAAAACGTATATAGGTAATCAAAGGTTTTTTAAATATTTATCTTTTTATTTGACTTAAAATTACGTTTACGTGACAATAGATAGCAAAAGTAGCCATAGAAAATGTATTTTAACAAAAAAATAATATTTTAAATCAGATTTACTCTATCGTTAAATTCGTCCTTACAATAAAAAAAGAAAAATCGGTATTAAAAGTTTTATTCTTTAGAATAATATGGCGTTTCAAACAATAGTCTGGTGAAGTGAGTGTCTCTCTCCGAAAAGCGGGACCGAGACTGTCCCGCGCGGGACATTTACATTTGATTTAAAAATCGGGACGTCCCGCCAAAATCGGGACGTCTGGCAACGCTGGGCGACATTGACATAATATGACGTGACAGAACATACCATTTTTTTGGACTATACCCAGAGCATCTGAAGTCCTCGCTAACGTTTGACGTTACATAAACACCCTCCCGTGCCACCAGTGCCTCCAAGAATTATAAAGAAAACAAAGTGTTCACATACTGCCAGCAGTTTATTAGTCGAAATTTTGTTCTGTCAAATTAATAACGGTATTGACCATAATGATTGACATAAATTCAGTGTAACATGAACTTTGTACCTTATGTCGAGCACAGTAAGCTTTAAAATTGCTTGCACTTGACCATTGATAAATTATTTAACAAAACTACGCGAAATTTTACTATAAAAATCACCATGGTTAGTAACGAAAGCATACAAGTTATACCACAGAATAATAATATGGTTATACCCTCATAAGTTAACTTCGCACCAGGCTGCCGTGACGTCACATCGTCGCTCTGAGTGCGAGGGAGACGCATTCCAGCTAGTTGCGCAGTTAGCTCGATAGAGTTGTAACCCCAATGATGTAAAAAATGTAGAGTGTACAAAAATACAGTTTTTGAGACACTTTTTTTTAATCATTTTTACTGGAAATAATATGGCTAGATGTTTTTACACATAAGAAAGAAAATAAAATAAATTAAAATACCTTGATCGTCATAATTTTGTGTTATAATCAGTAAGTGTTAAAATACATAAATATTTACAGTTTTTCTCAGTTGTTGGTGAACCAAAATATTTTTATTCCACGGAAATCTTCACTAATATACATTAAAGCAATATTGAAACATTGTCACCTGTATGTTAAGTGCTTCTTTATAGATCGTTTCATCCACGAAGACGCGCCCCACCAATTTTTGGTCTCGGTCGCGCGGGGTGCGGGGAGTTTGATCCGAGCAATCCGTAAGGCATTATTGTAGTGTGCGTGTGCACTCATGGATCATTTAGCGTGTACCGATAACACTCAAACATTAGCGGAAGAATGGAGGGGCGCGTCTTCGTGGATGAAACGATCTATCTATCCAAATTATAAATATGTATATGTCGAAATGTGTGTTATGCTAATTTACAGTTGGGTTGAATTCGACATGTATTCAGATCCTGAATTAGATTCCAATATGGGTCATACAAATTAGAAAATGATTATGCATGGTTTTTATCAAAATTAATTTGATCCTCTGTTCTAACGTCCGTATTCCCAAACATTACTATGAGGTCTCACAGTACACGTGAACGCAAGCAGGGTCACACACGAACCAATCACAGAGGTCCATTCAACTCTGTGCGTTCGATTTGCTGCTTCACTTAAGCAAGCATCGTTTGTGAATACGTGTAAGCCTAGGCGCAGACCACCGACTTTTAGTTGGCCGATAGGTCGGACTGTTAATCAGATAAACGGGACTATTCCCACCTCTCGTTCCCACCACTGCAACTCCTGTGTAGCCAGGATCTACAGCTTGACCGCCACAAAAACCCAACCAATGAAGGTCAAGTTTGTCCCGGGGGAAAGTTAAACTGTCATTGGACCCGCAACGAAATTAATCAGAAGAACATAGGAGGAGTTCGGACTGTTAATCAGTATGAACATGTATGAAAGTGCGCACACTACACCGATTTGGTATCGGCCGATTTTTCATACAAATTAGAATCGGGCCCAACTGTCGGCCGATTAAAAATCTGTAATCTGCGGGGAGTCTAATCATTGATATATTAGGCTAGAATCAACCTGATTGTAGGTAAAATTTTAGCAGTGGCTTTAACTCCAATAGGCTAGTTTCCTAAAAAAAACTTTTAGTCCGACAATTTGTATTATCAAAAAATATTGGACACGTACATTTTTATTTGTCAACTAGCGGCCGCCCGCGACTTCGTACACGTAGATCCCGTTTTACACCCTTAGGGGTTGAATTTTGCAAAATCCCGTCTAAGTGAGCACCTACGTTTTAAAAGGAACCCCCATGCAAAATTTGAGACTCCTAGCACTTGTAGTTGCTGAGATTGCGTGATGAGTGAGTCAGTCATCATGAGTCTACATTTTTAACCACGCCTTGACGTCACGGGCCTCTTCTTTTGAACTTTGGCGTGCTTAATCTCATTAGTTTAAAAAAGTGAAAAATGCGTGTCGAATATTTTTGATAAGTTAACTGATGGACTAATTTACATTTTTGCTTCTTTAACCACCCCTTTAGGTTACTTTTATAAATACTAAAAGCCACAAAACAAGATGTTTTTCTTATACAAAAATTAACTATTTACAAACTTTTCAATACTCTTGAACATTTTTACCATGGTTATGAAAATTTCATTGAAAGGTGTCAATTTGATCTTAATAACTAAATCAATTATACTGAAAAGCAATGAAGGCATTGTATTGAAGTGTTTGTGTGAAATGGAAGTCCTTATTAGTAAAGAATCAACAATGTAGTGTGTGTTCTCTCTCTTTCATTATAAAAGAGAAACAAAACACAGTATCACTATTCATGCTTTAGTACACTGACTTTGTTAGGGTAATGAAAAATGACACTTGTGGACTGATAGCTCAGATCTGGTTATAAACAAAAGATGCGACACAGTAACCTTGATAGGGCTCTTACAAATAAGATGTTTTTGAGGTCATCTGTAAGCAGAATCGCACCAAGAAAATTTTAAAATGACTTTGTTGGAACAAAAATTACAATAGGGATGTAGACTGGGTAATGAAATCGAAATTGTATTTAGTCCATCAGACAGATAATAAAAACATATTGGACACATATTTTTTCATAATTGAATAATTAAGGTATTAACATTGAGTGATGTCACTTCTACACACACCGGCAGATTTAGAGGAACGGAAAAAAAAGCATCAATATCATCATTATTTTAGGAAAAAAATGCCTAATTATGACATTATTTTTTAATTTAATTCTAAATATGAAAAAAATAATTGCCAACAGTATATTTTTTTAATTATTTTGTTTAAATTACCCCATCAACAGTTTCGTTGAGTGTTTTGAATTGAATGAAGCTTTTGCTAATTTGGATTTCTTTTACGTGAAAGATGTTTTTTTCTGAGAATTTTGTTGTGTAAGCATTCAGTTACTTATAAGGGTTTATTATACCCAGCTTAGCACCGTCAGAAATCATTAAGGCAGATGAAATGAGAAGTAACGGCCATGCATACAAATCGGCTGCCGTAAGACGTCGTTGATCAGTATCGACCACCCATGCCAGTAACCAACGGTACAGATTGATCATTTCTGTCGTTAGGAGGAGGGTTCAAGTCAGAAAAAGGCGTACTTCGCGACGGGATGACCGTTTTTTACAACTTCGAGTTTTCAGAAAGTCGCGGTTACCTGCTGTTCAAGCCAGAAATAACCTTAAAGACACTCGAGGAGTAAGAGTGACTGAGCCCACAGTTCACAGGAGATTTACTGAAGTTGGTATAGGGTCGTGCATACCCGAGAAAGCTCCAACTTGTGACACAGCACCGAAAAAACATATTGAACTTTTCACGTGAATATCGTGATTGGGTCTTGAACGACTGGAGGCATGATCTCTTCACTTATGAGTGCAGAGTTCTCTTAAACCAGATCGATGGAAGATAGCGAATATGGAGACACAAAGAGAACGTAACATTTAGTCTTAATTTTGAAAATATCGTGGTTTATGGAGGTAGCTTAATTCTGGTGTGGGGAAGGATTTTTTTGGGAGCTCGCACGGAGTTAGTGGTGGGTGATGGAGGAAATACGACTTCTGAATGGTACACTAGGAACATTTTAGAAGAACATGATGTGCCATTTACTCCATTTATTGTGGACTCCTTTAGTTTAATTCACGATAATGTTCGTTTTCACAGTGCTCGCTCAGTACAGGCACATCTAAACCATTTGGATATACCCATGATGCAGTGGCTGGCAAGATCCCTAGACAAGAATCCTATAGAGCATGTCTTGGACTTTCTTAAAAGATGTGTTAAACTCAGAATACCACCGGTGGTGTTGAGAAACGCGTTACTAGAGGAATGGCAGACATTGCCCCAAAATACCCTTCATATCATTAACTGCAGCATGCTCAGATGAATGGAAACCATCATCAGAGCAAGAGGGGGAAATACCCATCATTAATTCATTCATTTGGATAGTGATAAGCTACCCTAATTTTTAATCTGGCCACAATTTCTAATTTTTGTTCAAAACTGAAAAATTGAAATTTCGTTTCGATGATTTTTTATTAAATAAAAACGACTAAATATTTAAAAAATATATGTTATTTTATTTTATTTTAATTATCTCTTTATTTTGTATAATAAATATTTCATAGATCAGTAGTAATTTTCCTTATTTTCATACTTTTTTTTGCGTTCCGCTAAATCTGCCGGTGTGTGTATGTAAAAAATCTACTTAGGAGTGACGTCATGCGCCATTTATCCCTTTCGGACCCGCGCTTAAACTAGCAAGAAATTTGTAATTTTAAAAATGAATTTTAGGTAATTTGGGGCCGCAGATTACGAATCTGCTATAATTTTCCAGATTTTCCGCCGCCATCTTGGAAAATTCATATACCAACAATTGTATCAAACTGGGCCCTTCACTTCCCACGTACAATTGTGAGGGTCAAAATTGTAAGGGTTTTGGAAATTTTATCAATGGCATGTATTCCGAAAAACGTATTTATAACCCATAAGGAATAAAGAGGTTTCAATTTTATGCCAGTATTTGCCATTTAATATTGATTTGTGGGCAAAACCATCTGTTCCATGAGCTCAACAGTAAATATAGCGCTCGAAATATTCCTATGGAGTTTTAATATCTCCTGGATCATGAACAGCATCTCCTGGAAGAATTTAATATTGATTTGTGGGCAAAACCATCTGTTCCATGAGCTCAACAGTAAATATAGCGCTCGAAATATTCCTATGGAGTTTTAATATCTCCTGGATCATGAACAGCATCTCCTGGAAGATGTTGACGATTGAAGGGCTTCGTCTGCTATGCCGCTTGCATACTCAGAGGTATGTATCGTCATGAATGTCTGAGCCTTCATCTGAAGAAGAGGAGTAGTTCATCTGAAGTAGCCGAAACTAGCTTTTGTCGTTGTCATCGCTCTCATCCCCAGATGCATTGAGCATCTCTGCGATAGTAGCGTCGTTTAAAATCGGAAACATGGTGCGGAAACCATGAAAAATTAATAATTAAGAGAAACTTAAAATACGCATAAGGTATTGTAGGGCCCACGTCGATACAATTGTGTCAGTAAAGTTCCTTAAGCCGTTACGCCAAAGTCTTTGCTTACAAGTAGTCACTGTTATCACAAAAAGGTGCTATTTTTATCTATTTGTCTAATCAATAACTTGTATATTACAACAATTACAAAATAAAACCACACTAGGTACTTTCTTTCGCCAAGTCGGGGAGCGCAATCAGTCATGAACTGTACAGGTTGTAACCTGCTCACCAACTGCGCTTCGGACAAAATTTGCACGGGAGGTGAAAGAACGCATCCCGCACAATCGTACGATACTCAGCCCATTCACTTCCGATGTAAAACTAATAGAGATGAAACGGATAGTGGTTTGGCCGGATACCGGATACCGGATATCCGGCCAGCTGCTAGGCCGGATAGCCGGATATCCGGCGGCCGGATAGTTGGCCCATTGTCTTGTTGCATGTCGTGACAAGTTTAGCGCCGCACAACAGGTGCTTCGAACGCGACCAGTGCNGCGATCAGTGGGTCTATTAGTAGACTAGACTAGTCACACTTTTCAAAAATCGAATCAGTCCGAATAGAATGTCATATTTTGCCACTTGTCTAGGGGGCAGATCAATTCGGGCGATTTCGGTTGCCATCGTGAGTGTGTGATTGAATAGCGAAAATTAAATTACACTCGCGAGCAAAAGTATGGAATCACATACATGAAGTTGTTTCGACGCGATCTTGTGTATCAAAATAAGTGCGAGCTAATTGAAAGCGTATTTATCAGTGACCTGCCGTCAGTTTCGAGCCTGTGGCAGGCCTTTTTGGAGTCAAATTCTATTGATTATATCTTAGACAAACTGTCCACTTGCTAACAGCTATCCTACAAACATTTCTGAGCTCTTGCTGGACNCATCTCTAGTGTATGGTATCAACGTGTGAAAGCAAAAATCCGAAAACACGTGCTTTTATAGGGGGTAAATAGGCCGCAATCGCGACGTATCAAACAGTTGATACATGTCTTTTTCGTTACTTCTTCACATCAGCCGGGATATCTTTTTAAATACTGGTCTGATTTAAATGAATTTGGTATCAATTTGAAAGTTAGTAAAGTTGAAAGTTTAATCTTTAAAATGATGTGACTTTTTTTATTACTAACAAATTCGTTAGTACACAAGATCGCGTGGAAACAACTTCATGTAAGTGATTCCATACTTTTCCTCGCGAGTGTAGTTTACTTGCTGCGTAATCTGACCCAGCTGCATCATGATGACATCAGACCATCAGTGAAAAAAATTTTGTTGGCAATATTTCGACTTAACAGATATTTACTATTTATGTATTCGTCATTACAGTGAATAGCCCAGAAAAAGAAATTAGTTTTTTTAAAGGCCTTAATATGGCTTTTTCTAACTTTTTGGACTTTAAATAATAGCCGTCATTATTATAAGCCATTTTATTGATGTTTACCTCAAAGATTAAAGTATTTCATTTTATTAATAGGAAATTGTCGTAGTTTTTTAATATCCGGTATCCGGCCGGATAGTGAGTTACTATCCGGTATCCGGCCGGATAGTAAATTTAGGCCGGATATCCGGCCTACCGGATAGTTACCGGATATCCGTTTCATCTCTAAAAACTAATGAGATAATCTCGATTTTGTAACCCGCACAATTGTATTGGAGCGGTCCGAAAGGGTTATAATTTAATTATGACAAATAATTGAAATGTCCACTAGCATATCACCAATAGTCAGTGCCTTTTCCTGTGATTCAGTTTTCAGCACCCATGAGTGTAAGAGCAGAACAAAGAATAAATAGGAATACCAATCCAATATAATGCATCGTCCATGGCTTATCAGTTTTACAAACTAACCTATATTACACTATATTAACAAAACCATTCATCAGTCGTTATTATTCTATCACTAATTTTGCTGTTGTCCGTACAAACAACTTGTTAACACCATCCGCGTCATTTCACTAAGTTTCGGTAATCTGAAACAAAAAGTTGCCTGAATTATTGATGAGAAATCACAAAGATTCAAAGGTCATATTGACAGAGGTGGCACAGTCAGCACCAAATGCTTTGTGACACCCAAAGCGGTCAAAAAGTTTAACACAACCTTATTCCAATAGCACAGGGTTTCCCAATTTTTTTTTGCCAAGGAACCCTAATTGATTATACTTTTCCTAGCGGAACCCCCGTACTACTCCGCCCGCACGCCCTGCCCCTCCCTTGTGCGTAAACAAGTCGGTGCGAGCGAACAACGTCGGTCACGAAACGTGGGATAATATTTTTTACGGAACCCTGCGCCATTCACCATTCGGGACAAACTATTTGACGAAGACTGCAAAAGTGGTGTTACAATAACAGTTGTGCAGCTTATTTTACCAGCACATTTAGGATGTGAATTTGTGCATAAATACAATTAACTCACACAGGTAGTAAAGTTTTAAGACAAGTTTGGGTAAGACAACACTATTTTCCACCAACTCTCTTAGGTTTCAAATTGTACAAGGATTATAGGAAACAGGTTAATTGACGGTCATATAATTCATTTGTATAGTAGAGGAGTTTAGCATTAAGGAAAATCTTACTTAACATAACCTAACATTATACTGTAGAAAAAAATGCAAAAAGTTAACTCACCTCAGCATTCCATAGGAGCGATCGAATTTGAATTGTCACCGTAACCACTTAGACTACCCTGGAACTCTATACCACTGATTTGACTGTCCGCATTGAACGATGCACCGTAAGAATCATTGCTCGGAGCATGTGACGTTTCCAAATTACCATCACCGGAGTCCGTGCCAGTTGCTGCATCAGGCTCGGCCCAGTTTATCTTAAATCTGGTCACTCTAGGCTCTGATGCTAGAATATTTCTCACTACTTTGTCAAACTGGGGCTTCGCCGGCGGATTTTCCCGTAATTCCGGCTCGTTTTCACTGTACTCGTTGTTTATGAAGTAACCAACTCTGACGAACTCCTGTTTTCTGTATGAACATGTTAGTAAGACGACTGTGACTCCTAAAGCGTCGTTTTCAGGTATGCGGTTGACGTCAGGCGGAGGCGCCTGGAAGACAAACATATGCCGACCCTCTGGTATTGGACCTACGTATATCGTGTCCAAAACCTGATCGTGCTCTTCTGTTTCCGCCGATCCGACGTAGATCATCTTCCATTCGAGGTCCTCTTTAAGTTCTTCTATGCATTCGAATGTTAATTCGAATTGGAAAGGGTTGAGAAACGGACTGGGGTTGTCGAGCACAACCACATTGGTTATGTGCACCTTTGCCATTGTTTTTGAGATTTACACGCGTCTTTGGTCTTACAACACTGTTAGTACACTAGAATAGAGTTTATTTATTTGTATTTTATACGTTTGGCACGAAAAAGAAAACAAATTTGCGATTGCACAGCAGAAAATTACGGTTGGTGTCCGTAAAAAAGTGACAAACTGACGTCTATTTTGGCGGTTCAAATGGTCACGTGATCAAAATAACTATCGACGCTAGCGAATTTACGGGAAAATACTGAACTAAAATTAAAAAGTTGAGGTCATTGACAGCTGAGATGATGAAAAATATGTTTGCTGAATTTTCATGAAATCATGATGCAATAATAAAGCAAAAATTGTAGGAACATTCAGAATGGTTATCCGTATTATATTCAAGTTGAATAAACTCACCTTGTGGCTTTTTCACGTTTTTCACACCAAAACACTACAACAAAACGTCAAATATTATCATAGACAAATTGATTTCATAGTGATGTCCCATGCACAGGGATATAGATGACCCACGCTGAACTGTCCCGCCAAACTCAATGACAGGGGGGCGCTACCATCGTTCAACTATATGGTTTCCAACATGGCAAAAATCTGAACCAGCGATCCGGTATTGACGGTGGCGCCCCACTGTCAATGTCATCGACAGGACAGTCCAGTATTTTGGAACTATAAGCACAATGTTTTAGCATAAACAATATTCAGTTATTGTAATGGATAACGTTACTTGTTATTTCAAATTCAAATTCAGAAAGACATTGGAGAAATCAATTCATCAGCAAGCATACCTAAATTCCTTTTATCTTCTACTTAGAAATCATTGTGTAAAACTTTTTTATTTCATTATCACATTTTTATTTAGCAAGGTGTGCGCCAACCTTAATTTTCATTTTTACTACTCCCCAGTAGATGGCGCTACTTGTAATATAAAGTAATATAATTCTATTACCACTAGATGGCGCTACCCAGAATAAAAAGTAATTCTATTCTCCACTAGATGGCAATATACAGTGTGTCCGGGCTTGTAGTGATCAAACTTTAAGGGCAAAATCTAGGGACAATTTTATCGATAAAAATACTTTAAATTTGGGGCCTGACCCATTTCTCGAAAAATTACATCGATTTAAGTTTTTAATTTTTAGTTTACACCTCTTCTTTAAAAAACAAGTGAAAGCGTGGGTAGCTTAACATTAATAGGCAAATATTTTATATCATGCGATAGCCAATAAAATTATCTATTAGTTGAAGAAGAAAGCAGACACAAGTTTCATACATTTTATAGGAGTAAGAATGGATTGAATTAGAAAAATACATTACTTTTTTCACTTCTTTTTCAGTTATTTTCCAACACAAGGAAAACCAGGTCGTTAAAGTATGTTTTATTTGCATTGTATTTTTAGTATTTGAGCTATTCTACAAAACGAATGTAAATTTATTAGTCTGCGTCTATTAGTTTCGACGTAATTGTTGAACAAAGATACCCCTTCCCAGCGGTTTCCATAGTAATCGGAATAGGTTGTGTGATTCTTTCAGGCAGTGCATTTTCGCATGTCGCGTGCGCTATGGAAACCGCTGGGAAGGGGTATCTTTGTTCAACAATTACGTCGAAACTAATAGACGTAGACTAATAAATTTACATTCGTTTTGTAGAATAGCTCAAATACTAATAATACAATGCAAATAAAACATACCTTAACGACCCGGTTTTTCTTGTGTTGGAAAATAACTGAAAAAGAAGTGAAAAAAGTAATTTATTTTTCTAATTCAATCCATTCTTACTCCCATAAAATGTATGAAATTTGTGTCTCTTTTCTTCTTCTACTAATAGATAATTTTATTGGCTATCGCATGATATAAAATATTTGCCTATTAATGTTAAGCTACCCACGCTTTCACTTGTTTTTTAAAGAAGAGGTGTAAACTAAAAATTAAAAACTTAAATCGATGTAACTTTTCGAGAAATGGGTCAAGCCCCAAATTTGAAGTATTTTCATCGATAAAATTGTTCATAGATTACGCCTTTAAAGTTTGATCACTACATGCCCGGACACACTGTATATGAAAAGTAGTAAGTTTTACTACTTACTAGATGGCGCTACTTAAAATAAGAAGTAATTTCTACTCCCACTAGATGACACTACTCAGCTTGTTAGTTACGGGGTTCTATCCATATCCAAAACTTCATTTTATCCCTCAGTATTATCCTCATCCCTTTTATAAACATCGCTGATCGGTAGCACTTTATGGATGAAAACTTTAGGATGAAAAATTTTAGGAATAATAATCATTTGGATTACAAATAGGTCCATGGATTACAAATCATAGGAAGAACAATTTCGGGTAAATAACTTTAGGTGAACCAATATGGACCCATACTTGTACCTAAAATTTTAATACTTAGACAAGAGATCCGTACATGCATGATCTCTTTACAAAAATTCACATTGCGAAGTACCTAAGTAGCTAAATTACAACAGGCAATAAGGTAAGAAAAACAAGGTAAGTAGCGAAGCGTTGCTGGTGTCATCCAGGTATTTATTTGGAAAAAATCAAATGATATTGCGAGCTTAATCAGCACAGCGCCATCTCTGTTATGAACTTTGAGTTATCTTCTCGTCATATTCGGGTTCACGGCATTCACGGTCAGTCGCCAAACGAATGTATTAAGGCGCAGGTACACTATGCACGAAATTGATCGAGACAGTGTAAGCACGCGTTTCAGTTAGTGTTAGTGGTCGCCCATACTTCGAAGTGCGTGTTCGCGCTTCTTCTCGATCAATTCCCGCGTAATGTAACTGCGCCATTACACAAATATCTTGATAACTTTCTGTATTTTGTGTTTGTGAAAATGTAATGTTACCTATTTTACGAAGTTATTAAGCTGGTGATAATAAGTGTTCTTGTAAACAAAAAACTAATGATTTTATTATTTTTTAGTGTTTTTGTAGTCGGTCTCAGGAACTACTGGTCCGAGTTGAAAAAATATTTTTGTGTTGGATAGCCTATTTATCGAGGAAGGATTTAGGCTACACAACATCACCCTACAGCCAATAGGGGCGGAGCAGTAAAGAAAAATGTTACTAAAACGGGTAATATTCGCGGGCTTAGCTAGTAAATAATACAAAAACTTCAGAGCAAAGCATTTCTTTATTTATTCCTTAGTTAGAAGCTTAATAAATAACTAATTGAACGAAGCTTAGCCCTGGGAGAAGGGGGGAGAGGCGTTGGTGCCAACCCAGTAGACACCCTTGGATCTGTAAAGAAGAGAACAGAATAAGCAAAATATGTAGATCCTGACTACACAGGAGTTACGGGACCATTCCCACCTCTCGTTCCCACCGCTGCAACTCCTGTGTAGCCAGGATCTACAGCTTGACCGCTAATAACACAACCAGTGAAGGTCAAGTTTGTCCCGAGGGAAAGTTAAACTGTCATTGGACCCGCAACTAAATAAATCAGAAGAACATAGGAGGAGTTCGAAGTTAAGGTTCGACTTCCCTCCATTGCAAAGCGGATGACAGGTGACAAACAAAGGTTTAGTAACCTACACAGGAGTTGCAGCGGTGGGAAAGAGAGGTGGGAATAGTCAAATTTTAGCAAAGGCTAACTATGATTCTGGATCAGTCAGTCAGACAGCCCAAATCAGAATAAACATATTCCCAGCATTGTTTCGGCAGTTGAACGTAAGATAGCCAGTTCCTCTGTGAAGCTAAACAGTTCGCAGCTGGACAAAGTAAGAATTTGCCCAATTCCAGATGACCATCGAAAGCCCACCTAAAGTACGGCCAACGAGAAGCGATACCAAATGTAAAAAACCCAATGTCATGGTCATTTGGAATATAGTTCCAAAATACTGGACTGTCCTGTCGATGACATTGACAGTGGGGCGCCACCGTCAATACCGGATCGCTGGTTCAGATTTTTGCCATGTTGGAAACCATATAGTTGAACGATGGTAGCGCCCCCCTGTCATTGAGTTTGGCGGGACAGTTCAGCGTGGGTCATCTATAGCAGGGGTTTGACTTTGACATATTTTGGCGGGAGAACGAGACATTACGACAAATACACACGATGTGAAGAGACAGAATAGATTGTCAGTTCGACAGTCGAATCGACCTTTTGTATCGCTGCTAGTTGGCCGTACTTTAGTTACTAAGTTTTCCAGTCCAGGAACGAGATAGTCCTAGACCAGGGTTACCCAATTTTTTTTGCCAAGGAACCCTAATTGATTATACTTTTCCTAGCGGAACCCCCGTACTACTCCGCCCGCACGCCCTGCCCCTCCCTTGTGCGTAAACAAGTCGGTGCGAGCGAACGTCGGTCACCACGAAACCCCAGGGTTCCGTGGACCACCATTCGGTCGGGAACCGCTGTCCTAGACAACTGGTTGGATGATGACATACCCAGTCTTAGGAGCAAGTCCACCAAGGTTCAGTCTGCCGGCTCCGTTGCAGCTGCTGCTAAGAGCTTCCTGGTGGGAGGCGCACTCAATCCCGGTGAAGCCACCGGTCTGGATAGACTCAGCGAAGTAGTAAACGGCCCTGAAAAAAAGGCACAGGTTAGAAGAAGAATAAATCAATTTTCTTCAAGTTCTAGAGCTGCAGAAAGATAGCGAATAAAAGTTGATGACACTACTGTGGCGTCATTCAAAAATTTGTCAAGGCTAATGAGTATACTGTGGAAGGTATTAAGGTAGTAGACAGGCCTGGAAAAAGGACACAGGTCAGAAGAAGAATAAACCTATTTTCTTCAAGTTTTAGAGCTTAGAATACTGCCGAAAAAGCTGATGACACGACTTTGGAGTCATGTAAAAGGTATTAAGGAATGCTTGTGACACCGATGTGACACCACTACTATGGCGTCATTCAAAGTTAGCAAGCAGTTAGTGTAAAGGTAAACTAAGGTTAATTATTTTGCTCTTATATCATATCATTCAAGGGATTGAAGACTACTTTGACATTTATATTGTTTGCAGTATGCATCAGCCAAGGTTAGAGAGACTAAACCATCTACTAAGGCTAACGAGTCTATGACACTATACATATATTATACTCCCAAGCCGCTTTCGGCTACGGTAACTACGACAAAATTCCCTTAGTCCGCAATAAGAGGGCTACGCTGGGCTGCCCTATCATGTGCCCTCACATGGCTACAGTAATCAATCTATGACACTACTGTGGCGTCAAAAGGAATCGACCAAAGCTGATGACTCTACTCTGTTGCCAAACAATCTTACCTGTTGCGGTTGCATTCACTGTCGCCGCCACATCCAGGCATGTAGCCTCCCCCATTGGGGTAGAAGTCGACATCCCCCAAGGGGTTGCGGTAGCCTTGGCCCTGCACGTCGGTGTGGATCACTTCGGTATACTGCGCGACTGTGGGGTTGAGGGCGGGCAGCAATCCGCTGAATCTTTGAACTCCGGAGGGGTCCAGGGCTGGAAAAAGTCGGTTGGTTATAACAGAGCTGTAGAGCTTGTGGCGACGCCACTACAAACTAGTGACCAACATATGGCGCTGTTACTACTTCACTATGGCACACTCCGCCGCTCATACAAACCTGCATCGCGGTGACGGAGTTTTATATCCTGCCAAGTATATATATTATATAGACAAACCAAGATGGTGTACATTGGACCTTGGTCCCCGAGCATAACACCCGCTCGGAAGGAAGCACTAACATCTAGCTTCCTTATTGTGGTTGAGCATCATATCCCACAAGCTGAATAATGACTTCATATGCTTCTTATTAGAAGGCTCAAGGTCACCCAAAGGGCGAGGGAGCGTGATGTTTATCAGAGAGCGCTGCTGCCCGTTCTCTGTTAAATGTGTAGTCCCTAAGTTAGATCCTCTATTTGCCTTTGGTAAATACAAATATAATAATGATAATAATGAAAACCATAATAATAATTAACCTTATACAGAAGCTCTAAGTTGCACAGCGTGCTATGGAGAGGGCTATGCTCGGTGTTTCTTTACGAGATTGAATCAGAAATGAGGAGATCCGTAAACGAACTATAGTTGCTGACATAGCCCGAGGGATTAGCACGCTGACGTGGCAATTGGTAGGGCACATTGACGACATCAGAAATGTAGCAGGAAGGCGCTGGACGCAGGCCGCTACCAATCGATCAACTTGGAAATCATTGGGGGAGGCCTATGTTCAGCAGTGGACGTCCTATGGCTGAAATGATGATGATGATAAATCTTACCGGTGACGTATCCAACTTCGCTGTTCAGACGTCTGGAGATGAAGCCAGCGTTAAGACCTCCGAGACCGAGCCCCACGATGTGGAAGTCAGCCAGGTTGGCGCCAGACTGCTGCGTCAGCCATCTTGTGAAGCGCGCGACGAAGTTTCCTGGAAATGTCCAAGATATTATCATTAAACGGTTGAAACGTCTCAATCGTCCAAGAACTTGATATCAAACAGCGTCTTTCTTCCATCGCTCAAAGTGGTATTCTCACTTTCTTTGGCCATATTACTTACACGTGGAAAAGTCGCTTCTGTTGAACGACTTGTCGTGCAAGGGAAGGTTAAAGGCACAAGAGCGCTCGGCAGGTCACCCATGCGCTGGACTGACCAGGTCAAAACCGCACTCAATGGTCCACTCCACGAGTGCACAAGAAAGGCTGCAGTGCGGGAGGAATGACGTCGGATTTTAGGCTTGCCACCGGGCCGAGTGTGATGACCACGACCATTCGGGCAAGAGCGTAGTGACGAAGAAGAAAAAATAGCTTCTGAATGGCGATCGTGAATCAGCAAACGTAGTAAGTGGATCTCCAAGAAAAGCTGGGTGTGGTGGTGGTGGTGGAAAAATGCTAAAGGTACTTTTTGGCAGCAGTCAAGAACTAGCCGATGTTGAAGTTGAAGACATTGCTATTAAAAACATGTTCAATTGATTTTTAACCTACCTACCTAATTCTAATTAAATAATGTTGATTCTCTCGTTCGTATTGGAGTGACTTACCAGACAAAACAGAGTAGAAGGTGGAGAGAGCGACGTGGGAGTTGGCACCCTTGCTCCAGTCAACGATGATCACGTTCACGTCATCAGCGGCGAGGAAAGCTGGAAGAAGAAGAAGAAGAATTTACTAATTTTGAGATAGCTGTAGATCCTGGCTACACAGGAGTTGCAGTGGTGGGAACGAGAGGTGGGAATAGTCCCGTAATTTTGAGAAAGAACCATCGAAGAACCATCCCTATATAGTCTTTATCCCACCAGCTCGCACTAAGCGTTTCGATGACTCTTTTATTATGCAAACAGGGACTGGAATTCGCTGCCTGCTGCTGTTTTTCCCGAAGACTATAATCCGGGCCTTTTCAAGGCGAGAGTGAATAGGCACTTACAGGACAGATATTATGTCCATCCCACTTAACACCTGGTGCGATTGTGGTCAAATGCCTGCCTTGTTATGCATAAAAAAATCCTTCTTTCAAAAGGGATCGTTCGTAATACACATTAAAAGCATCCTTTTTCTAGCAGAACAGAACATACCAGGTACAAGCACAGCATTGAAGGCAGCGGTGGCAGAACCCTGGTAGCCGTGAACGAGGATCACGGTTCTGCGACCGGCGTTGTAGTTTGAAGAGCTAAGGAGGTTAGCATTGTTGATGATAAGAGGCTGGCTCAGGTACTGGTTGTTCCTGGAAGAGAAGGTGGAAATTGTACATTTCTAAAACAACCCATATGCCTAGCATTCGTTCGTTTCATCTGAAAGACGTCCACTGCTGGACAAAAGCCTCCCCTAAGGATTTCCACAAAGACCGGTCCTGCGCCGCCCGCATCCAGGCACCTCCCGCGACCTTCACCAGTTTGTCGTTGCACCTAGTAGGAGACCTACTGCCCACACTACGTCTTCCGGTCTCGTGGTCGCCACTCGAGAACTTTTCTGCCCCAGCGGCCATCAGCTCTACGAGCTATGTATGTACCCCGCCCACTGCCACTTGATTTTAGCGATTCTGCAGGCTAGTGACTGCACTTTGGTCCTAGCTTAGGGAGTGCTAAATCCTCCATATACCTTTGGTAAATTAGAGAGAGTCGTTCTCCTGCAGTGGAGTCTCCATTATTATGACCTGATGATGAAATAATGATGGTTCAAATAGAGTAAATACATTAATAAACAGTTACCTGGTGAAAAGATGGAACTGGTTATCCCTGGAGGGAATGTAAGGGATCCTGTCGGTGTCGACGCCTGGTGGGGGCCATGGGATGTCCTCAGGGAGAGCAGGGGGCCAGGGGAGCGCTTCGGGCCACCATTGGGGCCTGTCGGGCCACTGGTCAGGTAGCGCTGGAGGCCAGGGGAGCGCATCAGGCCACCAAGAGGGTTGGTCGGGCCATTGCTCGGGTAGCGCCGGGGGCCAGGGCCAGTGTTCGGGCCAGCAGTTGGGAGGGAGTTGCTCGGGCACCGCAGGAGGCCAGGAGGCGCAGTCGGGCCACCATTCAGGCCTGTCAGGCCACTGGTCTGGGATCGCCGGGGGCCAGGCGAGGGAGTCGGGCCACCATTCAGGCCTGTCAGGCCACTGGTCTGGGAGCGCTGGGGGCCACGGGAAGGAGTCAGGCCACCATGAGGGCTGGTCGCCCCACCTTTCGTCAGCGGGCTGAGGAAGGGCTGTAAATATAAAAATTAAGAAGATTACACTCTTGTTTATGATCAGTTACAAACCACTTCACTTTACTTCACACACGTTTTCAAGGCGAGAGTGAATAGGTACTTACAGATATGTACCATCTTAGACTGCATCTCACTTAACACCAGGTGCGATTGCGGTCAAATACCTGCCTTGTCTAGCATAAAAAAAAACTTCAAAAACTGAGGACTTTCATACAAACTTCCAACCCCCTTTTTACCCCCTTGGGAGTTGATTTTTGCAAAATACCGTCTAGGCTCACTAGACGTTCTAAAAGGAACACCCATGCAAAATTCGAGATTGCTAGCACTTGTAGTTTCTGAAATATGGTGATGAGTGAGTGAAAAGACCGCGCGCATGCTACACAGGAGTTGCAGCGGCGGGAACGACAGGGGACAGTCCTGTTACTCTTTTCCTAATAGACCATAGAAACGTCCATGTAATGTAATGGAAGAGACCACAAAATCAGATAGATAGATAGACAGAATAACGGGACTATTCCCACCTCTCGTTCCCACCGCTGCAACTCCTGGGTAGCCAGGATCTACAACTTGACCGCCAATAACCCAACCAGTGAAGGTCAAGTTTGTCCCGAGGGAAAGTCAAACTGTCATTGGACCCGCAACGAATTTAATCAAGAACATAGGAGGAGTTCGAAGAAGGTTCGACTTCCCTCCATTGCAAAGCGGATGACAGGTGACAAGCAAAGGTTTAGTAACCTTTAACAAACATATACATATACAAACGTGCAGGGGAAGGTTGAGGGCACAAGGGCGCGCGGCAGGTCGCCCATGCGCTGGACTGACCAGATCAAAACCGCACTCAATGGTCCACTCCACGAGTGCACAAGAAAGGCTGCAGTGCGGGAGGAATATCGACGAATTGTGAGACTTGCCACCGGACCTAGTGTGACTACCACGACCACTCTGGCAAGAGTGTAGCGACAAAGAAGAAGAATAATCAAACATATGCACCACGGACAATAAACATCAATATTAAGGGGTCCTATCTCAATACTCAATACTTAATTGTCTTACAATTCAAGCAGATCAATGTAGACCCAGTTAGGGCACAGCAACCTTTGAAATCTTATGAGCTTTTAGCTACCTGACAATGATAAGGTAAATAGATAGAATGCTTACCAGAGGCGGATGCCAAGCCGAAGAGTAGAACAGCTACCTTGAAGCCAACCATATTGGATTACTACTACTAATGGTACTGCCCTGTCCACCATTTTATACTAAAAACATCTCCACCATATCAGGGTTCCTAATCCCCTACATAATAATTATCGAGATTAGCGTTGACAACTAAATGTAATTAATAAGCAATTGACGCAATTCAAGATTATTTAGGTGGGGTCTTGGCCATTCATTTATTACGTAAGACGATTAAGGGGGGTCGACTACGTCTTATTTTTCTTACAAAGGGGTGGGAAGTCTCGATAGTTCTTAATATAAAAGCCAAGTGACAACTAACTAGAAAACAGTGTCTAAAATACAAAAAAAAACCTTACCTTCTATATTTATAATTAACTTTTTAAAAAAATAAAACCGACTTCAAATGCGTGAACAAAAAAAAAAACTAAAAATTAAAAATATTGCGTATAAAAAAGTTCATCCCCAATTTTCCACCCTTAGGGGTGAAATATTTTCTTCAAATTCGCATGAAACCACCCTTTTGATAATACCTATTCAACAAAAAAATAATCGTTCAAATTGATTTATAATCGGCGGAGATATTGCGTATAAAAAAGTTCATCCCCAATTTTCCACCCTTGGGGGTTGTTTTTTCTATTATTAAATTTAAATGGGACCACCCTTGAGGTATTACCTATACGCCGAAAAAAGATTTGTTCAAATCGGTTCATAATTGGCGGAGTTATCGCGTAACAAACATAGAAAAAAAAAAACATACGGGTCGAATTGAGAACCTCCTCCTTTTTTGAAGTCGGTTGAAAAGTATGAAAGAAGATTGAAAAGATTTCAAAAAGGCTTCCACTCATCTTAATGCCGCAGTGCGTAGCACCACGCTGCTGGTTTTCAGTGGTCACCTGTGGCTGAAATGATGATGATGATGAGAGGCCTTGTACCCCTTCAAACACTAGAGATGCAGTGGGCGTGTTTGGTGCCCTTACAAGATAGCCTTAAATTGTTGTAAGATACAATATGGTGGATGCATTCCAATCCAACTATAGGTCTAGCTCTTCCAACTGAGTCAGTACCTGAGGCATATAGAGGAGCAGTACAGGAGGGTGTTTTCCCGTGCCACTCCCAATTCCCATATAGGGTTGCCAGGTGTCCGGCTTTTTATGGTCTTGTCCGGCCTGTCCGGCTTTTGTTGTTTTTTTTTTTGCAATGCCCTTGCAGGGCCCATATGTTTATCTTACATATTTTATAAGACCTTACTGTACATACATACATATGTGATGCAATAAATAAATGAATATGAATATGAAAATGAAAATGTCCGGCCAAATGAAGCACAGAGTCCGGCTTTTGTGTTTTTGGACCTGGCAACATACCACCACCGCTGTGAGAGGACATACTGTTATAGATCGTTTCATCCACGAAGACGTGCCCCACCAGTGTTGGTCGAGGGAAGCGCGGGGTGCGGGGAGTTTGATCCGAGCAATCCGAGCGTCATTATTGTAGTGTGCGTGTGCACACATGGATGATTTAGCGTGTACCGAACACTCAAACATTAGCGGAAGAATGGTGGGGCGCGTCTTCGTGGATGAAACGATCTATAATATGAATAATAACCTCAATAATAATATATGAATAATAATAACACACATTTTTATTAGTTTTTCTTTACGTTATTTTATTAATACTTGACTTTATCACCGGATGGAGTTATTATTAGATAATTCAGTCTTGTTTACTTTCACAATCAAATACCTTTTTTAACTGGATTTGGGGTCTTATTAATGGTATTATCTAATCTCAATGTTTTTATGATTAATTAATTCATTCTTTAAGACTAGCACCAGCCCTGACTTTGATCGGGTTGGAATTACCAACCTACTACCTATCTGTCCTTAGTAGACATTATAGGTATACATGGTGGAAATTTCTAATACCACCTGGAGGGAAAGTACTCTTAATATTGTAGATAGAAATTTTTCTCAAAGAAAACATTCCTTTATTTTTGAAATGAAATAGAACTGCATTCAAAGATTTCCAAAAATTTGCTTGCCACACCCGGGAATCGAACCAACTAAAATCTGTTAAAAATTCCACCTTGTACAGCCTATTTAGCGTCCCGTGGTTCAAACAAACTACAAGGGGTGTTCAAAAAGTTATGAGATTTTTACCATTGCGTTTAAGAATTACATTCACCTGACGGAAAGTTCTTATTTTCTGTGGCCAACTCACCCGTACAGAACCCTGTGAAGAGAAGTTGCAATGTGGTGGTAGCAAAAAAAAAAGGGTTTTAATATGCTAAAAAAACCCTTCATAATCTCTATCTGACTCTCAGCTACGTTAATAGCTCTTTTTCCGATTTAGAAAGTTGTTCAGGGATCTGATATTTGAGGATATAGCAAAGGCAATGTCCTTTTCAGGACTTTTTGGAGAGTCAAGAAAATCATCCGACCGGTCGTTTTCAGGTGAATGTAATTCTTAAACGCAATGGTGAAGCCGTGTGGTGACGGCAGAGTAGAATACATTTGTCACCAACCCCTACTCTTCCCACGGGTGTGTCGTAAGAGGCTACTTAGGGACTACACATCAAACAGAGAACTGGCAGCAGCGCTCTCTGAAAAACATCAATCTTTTAAACTGCGATCTCCAACCCGCCTGCCAAGCGTGGAGATTATGGCAAAACCCTCCACTATAGTGGAGGAGGCTCATAGTCCAGCAGTGGACTGTAAAGGGCTGTTGATGATGATAATGATGAATGGTGAACTTAACGTGTGTGGCCTCCACTTCAGAACCTTGCTGCCCCATCGGCCGTCAGTTCTGCGTACTATGTGCCCTGCCTGTTACCACATCAGCTTGCTGATTCGTCGGGCTATGTCAGCGACTTTAGATTTATTAATAGACTTAGTAAATTTAGATAGTAAATAATAATAGATTTTCGTGAATGGAAATTACCTAATCCTAATAGAATAGACTCAGACTATGGATTTGATAACTTTCCTACAGTGATGATAACATGTTTTTGAATGGCTATCTTATCTTAGTAATCAATTATTTTGGCTATTATGGATCACATAATCCGGTCTGTGTGTGGGTATATAAGAACTTAGTCTGGATTATTATGGTAGGTCTAAGATTAATTATCTAAGCCCTATAACCAACAACTGGCTGAGAATGCTCAAATAGCATTAAGTCCACCTTTTGTACTATTTTATTGTGCAATAAAGTTTTATAATAATAATAACGGAACAGTAAAGAAAAAATATGTTGCAAAAACGGGAAATATTATTCCAAATTATTTTTAGGGGTACGAAGAAGTCTAAAGCATAGCTCGTAAATAATACAAAAACATCAGAACAAAGCATTTCTTTATTCCTTAGTTAAAAGTAAAATAAATAACGAACTAAACGAAGTTTTAGCCCTGGGAGAAGGGGGGAGCGGCGTTGGTGCTAACCCAGAAGACTCCCGAAGACCTGTAAAGAAGAGAAGAGAACATTAGCAAAAGATATTAATAAATGTTGATGTACCCAATAAATAAATAAATTATGTCATCCGCTTTGCAATGGAGGGAAGTCGAACCTTAATTTCGAACTCCTCCAATGTTCTTCTGATTAATTTCGTTGCGGTTCCAATGACAGTTTAACTTTCCCCCGGGACAAACTTGACCTTCATTGGTTGGGTTTTTATGGCGGTCAAGCTGTAATAGATCCTGGCTACACAGGAGTTGCAGCGGTGGGAACGATAGGAATAGTCAACTTTTAGCGAAAGATCTCCAATTCATTTGCATTTCATCCCTAGTCCACACTCCACCACGCTCCAATATCATTCCATTTCCAGCTGATGTGCAATTCGGTATCGCGGTAAAGTTCACACGCAAACAAAGACAAAACACCTTATTTTTTCAGTAAAACACAACAAATGATCGTAAAACCTTTGACTTGCGTTTGAGAAAAGTAGTTTTCTGCCAGCTTTTACACAAAGACGCAGTTGCGATCCGTTGACATTACATAATCGTTTGAACTAGCTGTCAAAACGACGCGCGATACGGATTTGTCAAAATAGCTGAAGTTCGTTCGTCGTCCAGTCGCATTGCAGTTGAAAATCTTTAGCACAATCGGGGCCCTGTAGCCTTATTCACGTAACAAAACTTCAACGACAACAAAAAACTGAGTTGCGATCCTATCGAGTAATCGTTCTATCGAAATGACCCTGGTGAATACGGATTTAGAACTGTTTTTTAATGGGACAACTTCTGAACGTCAGCAAGATCTTGACTGTCAAAATACGTGAATTAAGCCACAGGTTTTTTTTATACACAACGAGGAAGCTGTTGGCCTGTATCTCACCTGATGGTAAGTGATGATCAGGCCGAAGGTGGAAGCGAGCTTCACCGGAATCCTCAACCACGGAGGAACTGGCTATCTTACCTCTAACTGCCGGAACACAACAATGCTGCTAACATTGTTGTTATGGCGACAGACTTAGGTAAGATGGTGGTAGCTAGCCAGGCGGACTTGGAACAAGCCCTACCACCAACCAAACCGAACAGAAAAAAAAATCTGCCCCCACTGGGAATCGAACCCGGGACCTCTGCGTCTGAAGCAGGTGGTCTTACCACTAGACCACAGAGGCGGTTAGGTTAGCATAGGCCACCACCACCGTCGGACGGGAACAGCTGTGTGCTCCTAGCTGCTCCCGTCGCCCCCCGTCCTGGGGGGCTTGTAGGGCCCGCCGTGTAGGCGGGCAATCGCCGGGAGGGACTGTGGTAGTGAAGGCTTTGTCCGGAATCCCACAGTTCCTTCACGCTTAAGGCGAATGATGGAGCACCGGGGTCTTTTAGTGGGTATGCCTTGTCCTTCTGACTTGGTGAGCCCCACATAACCTACCCTGTCCCCGTAGGGTAGGTATGGAATTCGATGCATTTTTCCCCGAAAAAAAAGGTATGATTTCTTACCCAGTCTTAGGAGTAAGTCCTCCAAGATTCAGGCTGCCAGCTCCACTGCAGGTGCTGTTAATAGCTTCTTGGTGGGAGGAACACTCAACCCCGGTGAAGCCACCGGTCTGGATAGACTCAGCGAAGTAGTAGACGGCCCTGGAAAGAACACACAAAAGAAAGAATTTTACTGTCTTAAAGCTGTAGAGCTGCTGCAAAATAAAAGTCGATGACACTACTTTGGAATCATGTAAAAGGTATCAACCAATGCTTGTGACACTACTGTAGCGCCATACAAAACATAAATCAACTAAGGCTAATGACAGTGTCAGTCGAAAGTTAAGGCAAGTGAGAATCCTACTGTTATGCAGAGGATCTTTTCCAAAGGTATATATTATTGTTAAGTTCATGGTATAACTCTTATGTCATGCAAAAGGTATCAACTAAGGCTAATGACATCATCATTATGCCATGTAAAAGGTATAAACCAAAGTTAGCGAGACTAAGGCTCAGTTGCATCATCTTGCTTGACAAACGTCAAAAAACTCCATACAAAAAGCACCGGTAAAGTTACTGTTAAAGATGGTGCAACCCTGGCACCCAGCCTAACTCGTCAACTAAGGTTAACGGGTCTACGACACTACCGTGGCGTCACTCAAACTATATCGACCGAAATTGATGACTCTACTCTATTGCCATATCCTCACCTTAAGCGGTTGCATGAACTGTCGCCGCCACATCCAGGCATGTTGGTACCTCCATTGGGGTAGAAGTCAACATCTCCCAAGGGTGGGAGGTAGCCACCGCCATCCACATCGGTATGGATTACCTCGGTGTACTGTGACTGGAGGGCGTACATAGGTGGCAGCAGGTTGGTGATGTTGGAACCTTCCGCGGGGTCCAGGGCTGGAAAGAAGTGGGTTGATTAAAACAATTGTAGATTCGTGATTATGCAGAGAGGACGAAGAGGTGTCGTGAAATGTTATTTATTTTACCAATGGTCCGTGACCCTCACTCGGCATGGAGCACACTGAAAACCAGCGCCGTGGCCTTCGTCACCGTGGGCCACGGCATATGCTGAGTGGGGTCCCGTTGCAGTGGGCATCTTGTTGGTGAATGGGTGGCACTGCTCAGTTTACTCTTGTTTTTATATTTGTCATGTCTATGTAATTGCCTGTATTTGTGTGATGTCCATTGTAATAAATGTATACATCTTTCTTTCTTTCTTTCTTTCGTTCAAATGTAAAAATATACTAAATATAATAACTCAAAGTTGACTGACTGACATAGTGATCTATCAATGCACAGCCCAAACCACTGGACGGATAGGGCTGAAAGGCATGTAGGTAGATGTTATGACTTATTAATATGACGTAGGCATCCGCTAAGAAGGGATTTTACGAAACTCCACCCATAAACCGGGATCCACCCGTACGAAGCCAGGGGCGGCCGCTAAAGCTGTGTTTATGTCGCGGCAGCTTTTGTATGAGTTTTACTTGGTTATTTGTAATTGGAAACCACCAAGCTTTGGCCGCTCTATATCCTTTCTGTCCGGCATTTGAATATGGACCTGATACTATCTATACTTATAATAAATCTGTAGAGAGGTCAATTCTGTACATGAAATATATTTTCAAAATAACTATCAGGGGGTGATTAGTGATCGATACTGATGCCAAAAATGCAATCAGTAAAATTTTTGTCTGTCTGTCTGTCTGTATGTTCCTTATGGAAATAAAAACTGCTCGACGGATTTTAACGAAACTTGGTACAATTATTCTTCATACTCCTGGGCAGGTTATAGTATACTTAGAAACTCCAACGGGAACGGGAATTAGTGGGAAAAACCTTTTGTATGAAAAATCTAAACCGCTTAAGTTAGACGCCTGAAATTTAGCATGCAGGTACCTTAGTAAACTTAAAGCTTAGTTACAACAGGATATTGAAAATTCCCACGGGAACGGGAGTTAGCGGGAAAAAAAATTGTATGAAAAAATCTAAACCGCGTAAGATAGATGAAGGGGGTAAAACGGGATCCATGCGTACGAAGTCGCGGGCGGCCGCTAGTTAGTAATAATCTTAAAAAAACAATGTCAAACGAGAGTGCGTATCGTTTCATGCAAATTTTATTATTTTGTATTGTATGCAATCCCGTAAATCCCCGAATTTCCCGGGACCTGGTGATGACGATGAAGACCATAATATCTTACCGGTGACGTATCCAATTTCGGCGTTCAGGAGGCTGGAGATGTAGCCAGCGTTTAAGGCTCCAATTCCAAAGCCAACGATGTGGAAGTCTGCCAGGCTACCAGCAGTCTGGTCGACCAGAAATGTTATGAAGCGGGACACGAATGCGCCTGTAAATCAAAGTGTTTTCTAAAGCCTGGTCCGTGAGCAAGTAGAATCCCGTCCAATGACCCCAAGCTGCCCATCCTTGTCGCTCGCGCATAATTATATTGCTGTCGCGACTGTGCGACGCGCGCCCGCAGTGAGTGTGCGAGCGCGACAGCAACATAATTACGTGCGAGCGACCAGGCTTTGAACAAGTTTCTGAATGACAATTTGATGTACTTGAATTTGGCTACCCTTCATCATCATCAACAGCCCTTTACAGTCCACTGCTGGACTATGAGCCTCCTCCACTATCTACCCTTACGGCAACATGTGGTGAACTGGTGACTGACGCCCGTATTCGCAAATTATGCTTGCTTAAGCAACTTAAGTGAAGCAGAAAATCGATCGCACAATTAGGGTACTGGTAGGGCCCAAAAGCCCCATCTTAAGACATGTAAAGTGCCTCTTAAGTGCTACATTTTTTTGTTTTGACGTTTAAGTGCCATAAATATTGGTCTAAACTCTATACTGAATAAAATATTTTTGACTTTGATTTTGAATGACGATCGTGAATCAGCAAACACACACTGAAAACCAGCGCCGTGGCCTTCGTCACCGTGGGCCACGGCATATGCTGAGTGGGGTCCCGTTGCAGTGGGCATCTTGTTGGTTTATTTTTTCTTCTTCCATTATTATGTGCCACTCTCATGTCTATGTAATTGCCTGTATTTGTGTGTGATGTCCATTGTAATAAATGTATCTTTCTTTCTTTCAAACGTAGTAAGAGTGGACCTTCAATGGACTCAAGAAAAGGTATAAGTGGTGGTGACCTATTTCAGGCACCAGTCCCTGATTGTAAATATTTTTTGATTTTGAATCTAACACTAAACTAAAAATAATGTCTATTCTTCTCTGCTATGCTATAGAATAGATCCTTTCATCCACGAAGACGCGCCCCACCATTCTTCCGCTAATAAATGATCCATGAGTGCACACGCACACTACAATAATGCCGCTCGGATTGCTCGGTTCAAACTCCCCGCACCCCGCGCGACCGAAACCAAACATTGGTGGGGCGCGTCTTCGAGGATGAAACGATCTATACTCTCTCGTATTAGAGTCCAAGGATATTTATTTATTTATAGAGTTACTTACCAGACAGAACTGAGTAGAAGGTGGTGGTGAAAAACCCGGCGTTGGCACCAGCGCTCCAGTCGACGACGATCACGTTTACATCACCAGCGGCGAGGAAAGCTGGAGGAAGGAGAATCATTTACTAATTTTGAGCCTTTGAGCGAGAATTTACTAAACGTGACCTTCACTGGTTGAGTTTTTATTGGCGGTCAAGCTGTAGATCCTGGCTTCACAGGAGTTGCAGCGGTGGGAACGAGAGGTGGGAATAGTCCCTTAATTTTGAGCCTTTATGTACTTAACGTATAGAAAAATCCAGTGTATCTTAGCCAATGTTCACAATCATCTAGAGATTTCCACCAAACTCGGCCTTCACTGGTAGGATTTTAAATAGCGGTCAAGCTGTAGATCCTGGCTGCACAGGAGAGTTGAGAAATTAGATATTATCCCGTATTCTAGAATTTTATAGGCGTAGAAGACGACCCAGTGTCTTTCTCCTTTCAGAAGGTTACAAAACTTACCAGGTTGGGTACAAACGGGAGTTTTTATAGGCTTAGAAGAAGATTAATTTCAATCTTGTCCTTTTAAAATCATCATCATCATTTCAGCCACAGATTAGATTCAGATTTCCACAATGGCTGGTTGGTGGCGGCCTTTCCGCTACCTTTATGTGGTCATCGGTCCACCTTGTGGGTGGACGTCCTACGCTGCGCTTTCCGGTACCACTCCAGAACCTTGATGGGGATGGGGATTGGCCGTCAGTTCTGCGTACCTACTATATGCCCTGTCCGTCGGGCTATGTCAGCAACTTTAGTTCGTTTACGGATCTCCTCATTTCTGATTCGATCTCGTAAAGAACCCTTTAAATTCGATCTTCCGTAATACACATTAAAAACATCCTTCTAGGTGAGGAACATACCAGGCACCATCACAGAGTTGAATGTATCTGTGGCAGAACCCCGGTTGCCATGGATCAAGATCACGGTTCTGCTGTTAGCGTTGTAGTTTGAAGAGGCGAGGATGTTAGCATTGTCGATGAGAAGAGGCTGGCTCACGACCTGGTTATTCCTGGAAGAGAAGGTGGATTTACAAAGACTTAGATCGAATTATGAACATGTCTGAGACAACAACCCATATATGCCTAGCATAGGAAGTGCCAAATCCTCCATTTCATCATCATCATTTCAGCCATACGACGTCCACTGCTGAACGTAGGCCTCCCCCCAATGATATCCACAATGGCCGGTTGGCGGCCTGCATCCAGTGCCTTACTGCCTTCCTGCTACCTTTGTGAGGTTGTCGGTCCACCTTGTGGATGGACGTCCTAAGCTGCGTTTTGCCTTTGGTAAATAGAGAGTTGTCCTAAAGCAGGACATTTTATGACCTTAAGATGATGATGATGAAGTGGAGTGCACATAAACTGCAATTTATATTTACAGTAAGCCTAGACGCAGACCACCGACTTTTAGTTTGCCAATTGTTGGGTCGGGCTGTTAATCAGTACGGACATGTATGAAAATGCGCACATCGATTTGGTATCGGCCGATTCTTCATACAAATTAGAATGGGTCCCGACTAGTGATGTAAATTGACTGAATCTGACCGGTCACGATGGTCAAATACCAGAAATGACCGGTCAAAAACGGTCAAATTCACTCGATTTGACTCAATATTACTGTACTACCACCAAATAATTTACCCAATTTATATGCAATTTTAAATGAAGGAACGTTAATTTGTAATACATTTATTATTTATTATTATGAGAGAATAAGACGTCATCATAGTTGACGTGCGCAGCGAAGCGACATTGCCATTCGCCTAATAATGCAGTGAGCGGGGTGCGAGGCAATCGCATAGGGAAAGAAAGAGAGCACAATAAATCATTACAAAGCACTTTTTTATTTCAATTATGATGTTGTAGACTTTTATCAATCCGCAAAATCTAAGAAAAACTTAAAAAAGTACTCTACTATTACTGAAATTAAATTGATCGAAATTGACCGTTTTAGTACTCAATACTCAGTTGACAGTTTATGACTTGTTTTTGACCGTTTTTGACCAATTTGACCGTAAATGAAGGTCCGTCAAATTCAGCCGCTTTGGTCATTTTCAACACTAAAATAGTCTCAACTATCGGCCAACTAAAACTCGGTGGTCGCGGTGGCTAAAGGTGTTTCGAAACTAACCTGGTGAAAAGATGGAACTGGTTGTCCCTGGAGGGAATGTATTCGATGCTGTCGGCGTCCACACCTTGTGGGGGCCATGTGAAATCATTGGGGACTGTAGGGGGCCAGGTGAGGGAGTCGGGCCACCACGAGGGCTCGTCAGGCCACTGCATGGGCGGTGCCGGGGGCCAGGGGAAGAAAGAGGGCCACCAGGAAGGCTGATCGGGCCATTGGTCGGTCAATGCCGGTGGCCAGGGGAGCGAAGCAGGCCACCAGTCAGGCTGCTGGTCTGGCCACTGCTCAGGTATCGCCGGGGGCCAGGGAAGGATATCGGGCCAGCAGACGGGAGGGAGTGTCTCGGGTATCACTGGAGGCCAGGAGGCGCAGTCGGGCCACCATTCGGGCTGGTCAGACCACTCTTCAGGGACAGGGGGGTAGGGAATGGAGTTAGGCCACCACACGGGCTGGTCGGGCCACGGGTCGGGAATCGCCGGGGGCCACGGGAAGGCACTGGGCCACCATGAAGGCTGGTCGCCCCAGCCATCGTCGTCTGCGCGTTGTTGAGGAAGGGCTGTAATACACAAAATAAGGAAATTACAATAACGTAATATAAGGAGTTCTTTTAGATTGTCACATGCCCGTTTTCGCCATCAATCCTTTTACTCTTTCTCCAGCCTTTTAGTCCAGAGAGATGTATTTTGATTAGAGAGAGACTATTATTAAGATAGATACAATGCTTACCAGAGGCGGCTGCCAAACCGAATAGTAGAGCTACCTTGAAGCCAACCATATTGGATAGTGGTGGACCAATACTGATGGTACTGCTCTGCCTCACTGTTTTATACTAATTTTCCATCATATCACGGTTCGTAATCCCAAAATATCGAGATTAACCTAAATATGAACATTATCACAATTAAGATCGTCAAGATATGTTTATTTTGGCAGGTCTTAATAACCTACTGAACTAATTATGATAAACTAGCAGCTGCCCGCGACTTCGTACGCGTGTATCCCGTTTTACCCCCTTAGGGTTGAATTTTGTATAATCCTGTCTTATTTAGCACCTACGTTTTAAAAAGAACTCCCATGCAAAATTTGAGACTCCTAGAATTTGTAGTTTATCCAAGTGGCATTACAAAAATCCATCCTGTAACTATAATATAAAAACTAAAGGTGACTGACTGATGGGATTTTGCAAAATTCAACCCCTAAGGGGGTAAAACGAGATCCATACCAATAAGATAAAAGTTCTAAAAAATACTGCTCTCGGAGCCAGCATTTTGCCTTTAAATAATAAGAATAGGAAGAAGAAAGTCTTTATTCAGCACAATATGGTAGACAAAGCAAGAGTAAACATAAAAAAATATGCTGAATAGGAGCCCGCTCAGCAAAAATCTGGTTTTCAGAGGGAACCAATGCGTGATGAGGATGGCGCGCTCTTCTGGTCAAGAACTGTGGTCGAGACGATTTGATCAGACAGTGTCAGACAGGTTTAAAGGCACAATCTAATCTCACAGTGAGCTAGGTCAGTTCGCAGTCTACTGGCCATAAAGATGAGCTTGAGATATGTAAGTAAGCCGTAGCAGCGTCCCACCCATTCAGCAGTGGCGGCGTAACATCAGTGCCGTATTATCCATAAGGCACTTTAGGCCAGTGCCTAGGGGCCCACCATGGCCAGGGGCCCACTCAGTGCCGTATTATCCATGTGACGCGCCCCGCGACGCATCGACAGCCCTAGCACCGAGCGCGGAGGTTTTGACAACCCTACGGCTACGCGGCCGCACGCCGCACGGACCGAGCTAATATAAGAGACGGCGCGCGACCGCGGGCGCCTCCTAGCATTCGCTCGGGAGCCATCGCAACAGCCAGACGATCGCCCGCGCGTCTAACTTTCCCACGGCTAATTGCGCAAGAGTCCCTAGCGAATAGCTGCCCTCACTGTTCCCACTAACCTGGCTCGATAGGACTTTCTGCTCGCGCGGTTTCCGCGACACGAGCGAACCATCGCTGCCTGTATTCACATCCAAATCCCTACCGAGTGCATGCTTTACTCAATCCCGACCTGCGGTAGCAATCCCGCTGCCACCCTTCCTGTAATTCCTCCCCACTCGCCACGTAAGTCCCAAGCCTTTTACCTTCGGTGCACGAATCCCCACTTCGTTGACCTCGGTTACCGATTTGGGAGCGGACCGTCCTACCCCCCTAGTTTATAAATACCCAAACTAACACTCGCTAAACCTCGCACAGGGCGTCACCCCTCTCGCGGATACGTAAACTAGTATCTGGGGACGCGAACCGGACGCGTCGCTATGCCTCTTGTCATTAGTAGATTTGCAATTGTGGAATAACTTGCTCATTATTTAAATAATAGTCATTTAGAGTCAGTGAAACTAGAATAAGTAAACTATTGTGGAACCTGAATTATAAGTGCCATTGTGTTATTGATTGTGCGTTTCCTTGGTCGAATATCCCTGTAGGCATCCTGGATAGGTAGGTACACATCCCTCATCGCAGGTGTCAGACTGAGCTAGCTAAGACGCCCCGTTGCAATGGCGCCCAACTAAATAACCCACGGAACCTACAGGGACCACCAGATCGCTAGAGAAGCGAAAGACCACAAGGAACGCAAAACTTCGCATCAAATTGATAATCACACATGTCAGAACCGACATCTTGGATATACAAACTCAAGAAGACAGAACTTGAGAACGAGTGCAAAAGAAGAAACATAAAAACGGAGAACAGAAGCGTCACATCCATAAGGCACTTTAGGCCAGTGCCTCGGGGCCCACTATGGCCAGGGGCCCATAGCATGGTTTGGCATCCGAGGCAATTGGGATTCCCTGTCCTACGACTTTGTTCTATGGGGATTCCCTCGTTGGTTTGTTCCGTCATGTTTCAAAGCTTGTCCAACAAAACATTATTATAAGAATATTTTTATTTTTTGTGTGAAATTTTGACTTGAAGTTAACGCTATTTTTTCCAAAACGTATCCCTCGCATAAAGCGGTTACAGTCGTACCCCCAAAAAAGATAAACACCTTAAAATACTGCGAGGACCCTTATCTGGAACCAACTATCGCAAAAATTCGTTTTTGGTTAGAGATCCTAATCGATTTTAACTCTGTGATGACTTTAACTGGACTTTTTCAGTATCCCAGTCAACCAGTTTAAAACAAAATGTATGTACTTTAATGTTTTTAACTCTATTTGTAGTGTTAGGCCCAGAACAGACGGTGAAACGCAACTGCAACGAAACTGCAACTTTCTGATGATTCTGATGAATGAAACTGAAACTGAAAGTATCAAACTGGTCGCGTCATGTGTGGTCTCTCAACGGACGCTATGGCAGGAACTTAGATGCAACTCAAAAGTAACTAGCAGTTGCAGTTTTGTTACAGTTGCGTTTCACTGTCTGTTCCGGGCCTTAGTGTATCCGGTTTTACCCCCTTAGGGGTTGAATTTTGCAAAATCCCGTCTTAGTGAGCACCTACGTTGTAAAAGGTACCCAAATTTGAGATTCCTAGCACTTGTAGTTTCTGAGATTACGTGATGAGTGAATCAGTCAGTGGCCTTTCGCTTTGATAGATAAATAGTAATAACATCGTTTTCTGTCCGCATTCAAATTAATTGTCTAACTGAAACTTGTACTTGTAATTTGGCTTTACTTTAATTATAAACACTACTTCATGGTAAGGTAACATATAACTGTAAGTTTTCCTAAAAAATGTAAAATAAAATATATCTTTTTACTTACAAAAAACATCGATATACGTACTAAGTACTCACAAATTTCGCGATTGTGGCATTATCTTTACATTGCATTCGGTAAATACACTCGGCGTCAAATAAAAAGCACCTCCTGAGACAATAGCTTTAAAGATTTTCTTCTGACACAATCATTGTGCATAAAAATTAAAATTCATAAAATTCATTTATTTTTGCAAATAGGCTTTAAAAAAGCGCTTTTACACGTCCCAATATTAACCCTACCACTGCTTCGGGACAATAAATGGGCCAGTGCTGAGAAGAAGCAGCGCAAGAAACTCAGTCACTATTGTTAGCCAAGTGCTCCACTAATATTGGTGAAATTTGAAAGCCCATTAAATAAACAAACAGAAAAACACATTTAATTTCAAAACGGTTTAAGAACTTTATTTCTCATAAGAATTAACAATTATTCACTTCCTGAGAAACAATTTAATTTGAATTATTCAAACATAATGATTGAACTGAATGAACATTTAATTTTTTTTATAAGCAATGAACAGGTACCTACCATATAATGTGACTTGAAGAAAGCCAATGTTAGGGCCTCAGATCATAGTCTATGATCTGAGGTTGTGTCTCACCTATGGGACCAATTAAACCAATGAAGAATGTTCACTAATTTTGTTTTTTAGCTTTCTGTATTCTCTGTTAAAAATAAAAAATACACGTGAAAGAATTATTTCGATACGTTAATTAGTTTCCAAGATATTGAATTTTAAAAGTGCGGGCGGCGGCCGGCCCGCCATTTTATGCGCGTGACGTCATATTACAACGACTGGCTCATATTTGTATGGGTGGAATCTTGCAAACTGAATTAAGACCCACTTCCAGGCAACCGATTAAGCTGAAATTTCGCAAACACATGTGATTTGGATGACCATGCAATATTATGATGACATGGAGCTGATCTGATGATGGAGCTGGAAGGTGGCCATAGGAACTCTATAATAAAACGACTTAAATGCATCGAGTTTGGGCTCGTTCGTTTTGTATTGATGAGTATTTTAATTCTATATAGTAATCGGGGTCTAATGATGGAGCTGGAAGGTAATTCGCAATAAAACGACACAATCGCATCAAGTTTGGGTTTGGTTCAATTTTAATTTCTGTGATGGGTCTGGGTGTTAATATGTATAATAAGTTTGTATTTACAAAAAAAAAATATTTAAGTATGTTTATATCCGTTTTCTAGTGAGCGGACGCTGTGAATGTACGTCACACGGGGTCACGTGACCGTCGGCGGGACTCAATATTTAAGCGAACTTTGAATGCCTATAAAATCATAACTACAGGGTATTTTTGAATGAAATAAAAACTAATGTATTTGTAAATGTAAAAGCTTAACTGTAACATAGGTTTCAAGTGATTTTGCATACCTAGTAACATTCTCAATTTTTGTGCTTATAAAACAACAAAAAATATGATCTCACGTGTCCTCTTTAACAGATGGATAGCGATTAATCCCAATTTAACAGTGGTAAAAACCTTTCCTTTAGTGAAATGAAGTTTAGAACTAGGCTTTCAAATGGTACCAATGTTGGTGGGAAGTGGGGAAGCATACGTTTGAAAGTGCTTGTGGCAGGAGGTGCGATTTATTTAACGCCGAGTGTAGACACATCGGGAACACCTGCTTATAATCAACTCGTCAGTTCATGCAGTTTAAGATTAGGTCCTTAATTATCTACATTACGAGTGTCACATTATTATGACAATCAATTTTTATTAGATTAAAAGATAAATTTACCAATTATCTAAGTATACTGCAGTGTCTGCAGTCGATAAATATTTCGTACTAGCGGAATGACGTCCACAGCTGGACAATGGCCTCCCCCAAGGTTTTCCACAATGAACGGTCCTGCGCTGCAACTGCAACGCACTATAACTTTGTAATTATTTGTTTGATTGACAAAATTAAAAATATGTGTCCAATATTTTTTATATATTAAAATTGACGGACTAAAAAAAATTTTTTAGGAAACTAGCCTATTTCTCCCGTTTTCCCAAAAGCATCTCTGATGAGCATGCTTGCGATCTGCAGCATTCAAATGCATTTTGTCGATCGTAGATTTAAAAATCGCCTGTCATATTTTAGTAATCAATTTGGAGCAGATTATCAAGATTATGGTATCTCATATTTAGCTATATGGTATTTAATATGCAGTGTGCCTGTAGCCCGCGTGATAGGAAAAACATGTAGTTATGTAATAGGCTAGTTGCCTAGAAAAATTTTTTTAGTCCGTAATGTTTAATATCAAAAAATATTGGACACATATATTTTTATTTGTCAATCTAACAAATAATTACATAGTTATGGTGGGTTGAAGTTGCGCACGACGTCACAACGTGCGGCATTTTTAAGCAAGCGTTGACGTCACGGGCCTCTTCTTATGAACTTTGGGGCGCTTTATCTCTTTAAATTTTCATTAGTTTGAAAAAGTGAAAAATACGTGTAGAGTATTTTTTGATAAGTTAACTGACGGACTAATTAAAACTCTTGCTTTTTGACCCAGGCAACATCCCCATTATGAACACTGGGCAAACCCACCATCACCCATGGTTCTTCCTACCTCACGGCGTAGGAACCGAATCTCGGGAGAGCGCGCGGTTACTTGCTCTGGGCTCCTTTCCCCAGGCCCTTTGCTTGACTCCCTACAAACTCTGAACCATGTCCCTTCTCTAAGTCAATTTTCCCCCTTTTGGGGCTGGACACCACAAATACGGCACTTCGCGTCGGGCTGCTATCGTTGATAAATGTCATCTCTTCCTCTCAAAACTTCGCCTGCCAGGAGTGCCAGGAGTGCGCGAACTCGCGCAGCGCGATCCAGTTACTGCGACTACTCGTGAGGTCCAGGTGATAAACAGGTCTTTGCTCGGCTCTCCGTATCGTATCCAGCATATCTGCTGAATAGTGGGCAGTCCGCATGCGGACCAGATCCCGATATCCGCATCGCAGGAAGAAAGCAATAAATTTTATTCAGCAACCGATAACGGCCAAGTGGTTCCGGCAGAAGAGAAAAGACCGCCCCTGCTTTTCCCGTGGATATCGTAAGAGGCGACTAAAAAACACAATGCGAACATCAGGCCTTCCCAAACCGTCTGGCCAGCGTGGGGAGTGTAGGCCGAATCCTACATGTACCTCTGGAGAATTTAGAGAGGGTCTTATTGTTCCTGCAGTGACTAAATAACGTTTATGTGTAAAGCCCGGTCCGTGAGCACGTAGAATTTTGTCCAATGACACCAAGCTACCCATCCTTATCGCTCGCTCGTAATTATATTGCTGTCGCGACTGTGCGACTGGCACCCGCAGTGAGTGTGCGAGCGTGATAGCAACATAATTACACGCGAGCAATAAGGATGGGTAGCTTGGGGTCATTGGTCAAAATTCTACGTGCTCACGGACCAGACTACAGAAGTTTCGATTGGCATAGCTAGACTTCATCATCATTATTTCAGTCATAAGACGTCCACTGCTGAACATAGGCCTTCCCCAATGATATCCATAATGAGCGATTGGTAGCGGCCTGCATCCAGCGCCTTCCTGCTACCTTTGTGATTTCGTCGGTCCACCTTGTGGGTGGACGTCCTACGTTGCACTTTCCTGTACGGCCTCCACTCCAGAACCCTGCTGCCCCATCGGTTAGTTTGGCGTAGTATCTACTAAATATTATGTGCCCGCTGTTATCCGCTTTACACTGGAGGGAAGACGAACAATAACTTTTGATTAATTTCGTTGCGGGTCCAATGACAGTTTACCCCCGGGACAAACTTGACCTTCACTGATGTGGGTTTTTATTGACGGTCAATTAGTTGATCCTGGCTACACAGTAATTGCAAGGGTGATGATGATGATGATAATGATGATGATGTATTAAAAAGTACAAGTTTAATTTCAAATAGGTATATTTATTTGCTCCCACGTTTACGTCGTATAATTTATTAAATAATTTTATAAATAACCATGGATCTTAACCCTGGGAGAAGGGAGAGGCGGCGTTGGTAGTCAGGTGATACACTCCCGAGGATCTGAAAGGGGAGGAAAGTAAATATGAGTAAAAAGATAGTTAAAGTTACTAGACAACGAAAAAATGGGCATTTCGGGACGGTGGACAAAACTGGACTAACGCCCGTACCTATTCACAAACATTACTAAGACCCGTGTCTTACTATTTTAATTGAAATGGAACGCGAAATTTTAAAATAATAAGGTCTCACAGTGCACGTGGACGCACAGGGTGACACACGAACCTAGTGAGCTCTATTCAACGCTGTGCGATCGATTTTCTGCTTCACACAATTTGCTGCATCGTTTGTGAATACGGGCGATAGTTACTGGACAATGTAAAATTGGATATTCCAGTACGGTGGACAAAACTGGACTAAATCTCTGGACACTGCTAGACTCGACTACGTTGGGGACATAATTGGACAGAAGTCTAAAGTATACTGGACATTCTAAAGATCAGAAACTTATCCCTTTATAGTTAAACTAGCTTGCCACCCGCGGCTTCACCCGCCAGGAATTTTGTCTGACACAGAAAAACTTTATCGCGCGCATCTCTGTTTCAAAAACCGGGATAAAAACTATCCTATGTCGTTATAGTTTGAGTCCCGGGAAAGGTCCCGGTACTCAAACTATCTCTACTATGCCAAATTTCATCAAAATCGGTTCTGCGTATGGCCATTGTGGAAATCATTGGGGGAGGCATGTTCAGCAGTGGACGTCCTGTGGCTGAAATGATGATGATGAGTTTAAAGTCCTCACCCAGTCTTAGGATTCAGTCCACCCATGTTGAGGGTTTCAGGTCCTTCACAGTTGCCTTCCAGAGCCTCTTGGAAGTTGCTGCACTGGACACCAGTGAAGCCTCCAGTCCGGACAGACTCGGCGAAGTAGTAGACAGCCCTGGAAGTGGAAAACGTTAGGGTTAGAAAAAGGGTAGGTAGATGTAAAGGGGTTGGTGGGTTGAGGGGGTATGGGGAGAGAGGAAAATGGTAAAAGAGGATAATTGAGGAATATAGGGATAAAAGAAAATTAAGTCTTCTTCTATCTAATATATAATCTACCTAAATTATCTAGACTACGTTGTTATCACTAATAGCCAAAATAATTGATTACTGAGATGAGAAAGCTATCAAATCTATTAATGTTACGAGTATTAGGTAATCCATCATGAAGAAAAATCCAAATATAACTTCTAAAACATCTAAGTATAGCTAAAGTCTAGCTGACATAGCCTGACGGATCAGTAAGCTGAAGTGGCAATGGGCAGGGCACATAATATTTAGTAGATACGCCAAACTAACCGATGGGGCAGCAACGTCCACGTTTACAAGATGGAAGGCGCTGGATGAAGGGCGCTACCAATTGCTCATTATAGAATTTATAGATATCATTGGGGAAGGCCTATGTTCAGCAGTGGACGTCTTACTATTATGGCTGAAATAATGATGATGACGTCTTGTACTTAGGTATACATATTATGTTACACAAACATGGTGAGAGGTGAATATAGGTAGAGAAAGAGCGATATTAGACTAGACGTGGGACGTACTGCAGTGGAGACCAAAATAAACGCCCTTATGAAGTTATGATGATGTAAATTTACCTGAGGCGGTTGCATGCGCTGTCCCCAGCACATCCAGGCATGTTACTACCCCCGTTGGGGTAGAAGTCTACATCCCCCAAGGGCTGAATGTAGCTAGACTGGGTCGTACTGCAGTAGAACTAAATTCCCTGATGATGACGTAAATTTACCTGAGGCGGTTGCATGCGCTGTCCCCAGCACATCCAGGCATGTTACTACCCCCGTTGGGGTAGAAGTCTACATCCCCCAAGGGCTGAATGTAGCTAGACTGGGTCGTACTGCAGTAGAACTAAATTCCCTGATGATGACGTAAATTTACCTGAGGCGGTTGCATGCGCTGTCCCCAGCACATCCAGGCATGTTAACACCCCCGTTAGGGTAGAAGTCGGCATCCCCCAAGGGTTGGGTGTAGCTAGACTGGGCCTTACTGCAGTGGTCTTGTCAACTCGGCGGGCCTGTCGGGCAACCCGTAACCCACCAATTGATTGGGCAGGGGGCCGTCAAGGCATTTGCCCGGGCCACGATGCAGGGGACATCTTTAAAAACCTAGCCTGAGGCGGAGCTGCAGACGAATGTCCAAATAGGACAACAACACGCGGCTCCGTTTCTTTGGGCTCTGGTGGAAACCGTCGGGTTTTAGTGGGTAGGCCCTGCCTTTAGTGGGTAGGCGGGGAGAGTCCCACATAACATACTGACCGTCCCCATCGATCAGTGGGTAAGCGCAAAGCATTTCCCGATGTAAAAAAAGGGCCTTACTGCAGTGGAAACTAAATACCCTGATGATGATAATGTAAATTTACCTGAGGCGGTTGCATGCGCTGTCCCCAGCACATCCAGGCATGTTACTACCCCCGTTAGGGTAGAAGTCGGCATCCCCCAAGGGTTGGGTGTAGCTAGACTGGCCGGCATCGGTGTGAATGACCTCGGTGTACTGCGCCACTTTTGGGTTCAAGGGGGGTAGGATGCTGGTGATGGATGGTCCTTGGGATGGGTCCAGAGCTGGAAGAATAAGAATAAGAATAGATTTATTGATGTAAACACACAGTGGGCCCCCGCTGAAAATCAATTTCAAGACAAGCCCTGGCGGTCTTCATGTACGCTGAGCGGGTTCCTTTTTGTCAGAGGGACACAAGCAGTTAATTGTCCACTTGTATATTTCTCTCTGTTTGAATCTATGTCTTGCCTGCTTGTATACCTTTCTTGCAAATAAAAAGTTTTCTAAAAAGTTATCTATATTCTAATCTAATCAGTAACATTATATTGAAACCCTGACTCCTAAACTAGTGTAAACTGTATTTCAAGAGAAGAACAGGTAGTGTATTATTTGTTATCGTTTAGTCTTGTCGTCAGGTAGTGGGACTATTTTCCATCTCTAGGTCTGCAAATACTGGCTTTGCGGGTCCGATGATAGTTTAACTTTCCCCCGGGACAAACTTGACCTTTACTGGTTGGGGTGTTATAGGGGGTCACGCTTTAGATCCTGGCTACACAGCGGTGGAAGCAATCTACAAATTGACCGCCAATAAAAACCCAAGCAGTGAAGGTCAAATTCCAAGTGTCCCGGGGGAGGTTAAACTGTCATTGGACCCGCAACGGGAAAAAAACGGGAACTGTACTCACCGGTGATGTATCCAACTTTACGGTCCAAGAGACGACCGATGAAACCAACGTTTAGAGCACCAAGACCGACTCCGATGAGGTGGAAGTTGGCCAGATCACCTCGACTTTGGGTCGACAGCCAGGAGATGAATCTGGAGTTGAAGACACCTGGAAACAAAATCATTACAGGTGATCGAGGTGACAATAGTCCAACGGTCAGTGTCGGCCTGCCGATTTGAAGGTCGTTAGTTCGAACCCTGTCATGCATTCGCTGGAAGAAAACAAACACTGAATCCTGAACTGTGTTTTGTCAATGTTCTACTAACATTTAATTTCTGGTAATAAGAGTTTAAGTGCTATAAGAGAATTTTGATTGCCAAAGTTGCTATACAGGCATCAACAATAAATTGGTGTTACAGCGTGCTATAACTCTCTTTAAATCTAATGTTGGTCCACGATTTATAACTTAGGTTGATAAAAAGGTAATATAACAGGACTATGAGTGATAATTTAGAGCAGTCTTTCCCAAAGTGGGCGATAACGCCCCCTTGTGGGCGCTACAGGCTTATAGGGGGGCGGTAAGAGACCCCGGAAAAAAATCGGGGCATTGTGTAGAGGCTTGGTAGGCCATTTGTAATTTCATCTACTTAGGAGGTCTCTTAGACACCAACTGAGCATTTGACTCTTGAAAATTTAATGGGGGCGCTCAAAAGAATTTATTCTCAAAGTGGGCAGTAGACAAAATAAGTTTGGGAACCGCTGATTTAGGGGTACAATAGTGCTATTGGAGTCATTATTTCCACTTGGTATGTTTAGTGGCCCAGTGTTTATTTGGCCCAGCCCAAGGGCCCAGCTCGGCCTTATGCAGAAATTTCTAAAGTCCTCTTAAAAAAAGCCTACAGTGCGTGTCCAATATTATAACGCCTTCAGGGCGCTGTTGCGGCTGCCGCGGTTTTGTAGTGCGTCTGCGATGTTTGCGTTGGCGGGCGTAGATAGCTTTGAAGCTATCATGCGGAAAAAGTGCGCATCATTACTGCACAGAGTGTCCACTGATCGGCCACATGCTCAGCAGGACGAGGTCAGTTTTAGAAATAAGATACTAACATTTCTGCATAACTAATTTTTCTGCATAACCCAAAGGTAAACTGGATGAGAATGCCTTATGGCATTAAGTTCGCCTAATGTTAATATTTTGTGGCATTGAAGTATAAATAAATAAATAAATAAATAAACATTAGCCTAAGTTTTACTAACATTTTATGGATCTATGTTATCTGAATTAAATACTTTTTATTTTTATTTTAGAACAAGAACTGAAGGATGATCTTACCCACAGATATGGATTAGAGTAGATACAGCAAGTTGATTGTCAAAGCGTGCCATTCCGATATGTCCAAATGGACATACATGGTCGAGTGATGTTCATGTAATCCGATTACAACAATCGGTTACGATGATTTTACGAGGACAGTAGTACGAACACGGTAGAAAGAAGAAATTATTTACGGATTGAGAATTGTAATTAACAGCACAAGTAACAAATAATTAATTAGAATAAAGTAGCAGTAGAAGAAGTATAAAGTAGCATTGTTTTTAATACATATCCTGCGATGTACTCTTAAGAGTTAAAACCATGGTCCCTGTATGTGGTGCACTCATACCGATCCCAAGGAACCGTACTTACTGATAACAATAAGACACACACTGATGCATGTATTCATGCACTTGACAAATTTATGTCTTGAAACGCTGGTAGGGTAAAAAAAATAACGAGATTTGACGATTTGTAAGAATTAATTTATTTTAAAAAGGTAAATAAAGATGTTTTTGGTTTTGTATTTAACAAATTATCAGTTTTATCGGAATTAATTAATTTTCGAATCGAGTCACACGATATCATTCGATGACTTTGCAAATACAGTACGATGATACGATTACTTTTACGTTGCGGCAATCACTAAAATTCGCTAAAATGACACTAATGACGTTTAAAAAGTGGCACGCTCGGCTTCATACAATTTTTGACACATGCTGCATCTATCCTTATCTGTGATCTTACCAGAGGCCGCAGAGTAAGCGGTGGAGAGAACTGACGATTCGTTGGCACCTCTGCTCCAGTCAACCACAATGATGTTGACATCAGCAGCGGCGAGGATGGCTGGAATAAAGAAGGGTGAGCTAAGCCAAGTACAGAGGCATTTATGTGGTTTATAATAAGTGCTCAGGGGCACGGAATTTGGCCAAAGCCTAAATAACCAGATATGAGACCAAATAGGTGTTGTATACCTAAGTTTCATGTTAACAGAACTATTGCTTTTGTTAATTTAAGAGGCTAGATTTATAAAAAAATGCGTCTGTTTAAGTTTTGTGTCTCTAGAAACGCATTTCGTAGTTGGGGCGCAAAGAGTACGGGTAAGTTTAAATTCAGTATTAAATGTTGTAAGGATTTGCTTAGAAGTCAAGGGCGTACGCTGCGGGAGATGGCTGAAACTTTAAATTTATCGAGTAAAAACTTAAAATATGCATTAAAAAGGCATGAACAGACCGCCCTTTACACAAGAAGACCAGAGAGTGAGGAATTACTAAGGTGTATGCCAGCCCGCGATGACCGGATTATCGTACTAGCAATATCAAGGAATCGGATTCTCACTACGGTTGAGATACGCTAGCGTTAACAATCAGCAAGCCCTGGCCTACGTCCTGGGAAAAATGTGAACGTCAGGCCTCCCCAACCCATCTGGCCAGCGTGGGAAGTGTAGGCCAAATCCTCAATTTGTCTCTGGTAAATTAGACAGTGTCGTGCTCCTGCAGTGGATACTAAATGACCTGATGATGATGAAGAAGTTATATAACTTACCAGGCACAAGGATAGCGTTGAACTGAGAAGTAGCTGCGCCAGCGATGTCGTGGACCAGGACTTTGGTGGGGCGGGAAGCGTCGTAGTTGGTAGATGCCAGAAGGTTGGCGTTCTGGTAGACAAGAGGCTGGCTCATTTGGGGATTAGCCCTGAAAGTAAAAAAATAATATCATTAGAATAGAATAGAACAGATAACCTTTATCTCTAAATATGTATATATAACTCAAAGGTGACTGACTGACTGACTGAGATAGTGATCAACGCACAGCCCAAACCACTGGACGGATCGGGCTGAAAGGCATGCAGGTAGATGTTATGACGTAGGCATCCGCTAAGAAAGGATTTTATGAAACTCCAGCCCTAAGGGGGTAAAACGGGATCCTCGCGTACGAAGTCGCAGGCGGCCGCTAGTTCACCATATATTTAGGTGCATACATGTGTTTAACTTTATTGAGGCATGCTGAAAAGGACACCTCAAGTCTTTCATAAGTCGTCAAGTCACGAAGCTGGTTTTCAGAGGGTTCCAAACCAACGCACGATGTGTCATTATTGTTTTGTTAGATACACTCTGGGGGTTTGGCTTTTGATTGGTTTCGAACATTTTTGATGATTTCCAATTTATTTTCACTAATCATAACATTGTATGAATTTTGACTGATTGATTGGTAAAATTTAATTAGGCGAAACCTCTTTTGACTAACGCCCTTGGTCAAAACCACTTTAGACCTAATTTAGACTGGAAAAATCAGTCAAAAATAATATTGTCAAAACCACTATTGGCTGATTTTTGCAAATGGTGTCAAATAATGGTTTTGACTGAATTATGAGTTTTGACCATTGAAGTAATATTACTACGTAGTACATTATAACTCAATGGTTTTGACTGTAACAGTTACAATCGTATAAGTGTTTATAAATTATTATAAAATAATTAATAATTTATTATCAAATATATCCTTTACCTGGTGAACAGATGAAACTGGTTGTCACGTATGGGGTTGTACGGCAAACTGGGGATCGTTGGGGGCCATGGGATGCCTTCAGGGTGGGTTGGGGGCCATGGGATCCACTCAGGGATCTGTGGTGGCCAGGGGATCTCAGGGATCTGTGGCGGCCAGGGGATCCATTCAGGGATTTGCGGGGGCCAGGGGATCCATTCGGGGTGACTTGGGGGCCAAGGAATCCATTCTGGGATCTGTGGGGGCCATGGGATCCATTCAGGTTGCGCCGGGGGCCATTCAAAGTCACTGGGCCACCACCAGGGAGCATCTTCGGGGAACCATTCTGTTGGGGGCCACGGAATCCTTTCGGGATGCGATATCTTGCTATCAGAAGTGGCTGAAAAAGCAAACACCGTTTTGGTATTTAAAAGCCCCGTAGAAAAAAAGGAAAATAACACTATTATCTTTTCATTCCTTTAGTTACTAAACACTTGAAAAGTTAATGAACTTTTGAATAGCAATAATCTAAATCTAAAAGAATCCTAACATCATCAACCCCTCATACAGGGTTACCTACGCCATATCGAATGACAAATGATCGAAAATCAAAATATCGAATACGTTTCATCGAACGATCAAAATATCGAACGATCAAAATATCGAATGCTCAAAATATCGAACGTTCAGAATATCGAACCATCAAAATATCGAACGATCAAAATATCGAAAGTCGATATAGACGTTTTTATTAAATTTCATCATGCATCATTTCTTCAAGTTTATACATTTTGAGAATAATGTCCGTGGGGACCTATTATAAGCCTAGCCTGTCCCAAAAAGGAAAGTTCAGAAATGATGCGTGATGAAATTTAATAAAAACGTCTATATCGACTTTCGATATTTTGATCGTTCGATATTTTGATCGTTCGATATTTTCATGGTTCGATATTCTGAACGTTCGATATTTTGAGCATTCGATATTTTGATCGTTCGATATTTTGAGCATTCGATATTTTGATCGTTCGATATTTTGATCGTTCGATGAAACGTATTCGATATTTTGATTTTCGATCATTTGTCATTCGATATGGCGTAGGTAACCCCATCATACAACCCCATCGAGCTAACTGCGCACCTCGCTGGAATGCAACTCTCCCTCGCACTCACCCGCACACCTCCCCGCGTTCGTCCCGTCCGTACCAGAGCGTCGATGTGACGTCACAGCTGCCAGGTGCCCAGTTAACTCGATGTTGTAATTTTACTTGCTTGTGTAACATTCAAATTCATTTAACAGAAATTACCATTCTAATGGACATTCTAAAACATCTATTTTTTTATCCACGAGGAAGCTCTTGGCCTGTATCTCACCTGATGGTAAGTGATGATCAGACCGAAGGTGGAAGCGAGCTTAACCCGGAATCCTCAACCACAGAGGATTCTATGTTTTAAATAATTGGTCAAATCAAATTACCTTCAGCGTTAGAGGGCCAGGGGATGCTTGCGGGCCACCATGAGGGTCTCTCAGGCTTCTCAGGCTTCTGTAGGGGCCAAGGGACGTTCTCTGGCAACCAGGAAGGCCGCTTGTCAGTGAACTTGGCTTCAGCAACTGAAATAAAAATGAAATTATCTTTCTCTATACAAAAGCGAAAGGTCACTAACTCACTCACTCATCACAAAATCTCAGAAACTACAAGTGCTAGGAGTCTCAAATTTTGCATGGAGGTTCCTTTTAGAACATAGGTGCTCACTAAGACGGGATTTTGCAAAATTCAACCCCTAAGGGGATAAAACGGGGTCCACGCGCACGAAGTCGCTACAACAATCATGAATGAAATTCAAAGAGATGTCAAGATGATACTGAATAAACATCTCTTCTTTCTTTATTTTTTTTTTTCATCAATTTGAAATCAGGTCACCTTGCGCAGCAGTAGGCCAGGGAATGTTCTCGGGCCACCAGGAAGGCTTCTGTGGGGGCCAGGGGATCGATTCCGGGTGGCTTGGGGGCCACGGGATCGATTCAGGATGGGTTGGGGGCCACGGGATCGATTCCGGGTGTGTTGGGGGCCAGGGGATCGATTCAGGATGGCTCGGGGGCCATGGTAGCTGTGCGGGCCACCAAGATGGCCGTCTGTCGTCCTTCCCCTGGGGGGGAAAAGCTGGAAACAAGAAATTGTAATTAGCAACATAAAGTTTCCATCCAGGAAAATTCAGAAACAAAAGCCTAGAATTAGGGGGTTAATCAGAATTCAAGGTTAAGTCTATTAAATCAAGACAGAATGAAAACAAAACATCAGATGAAGGCAATGATAATAATGTTGAATGATATCAGATAAATATAATGAATGAATGATAGCAAAGACTGTAAAAATAGTAAACAGGAGTAAAGTAATAGATAATTCTATTATTACATAGTTTGAGTCAATTGATAACAATAATAAGTAATAATAAAATATTGCACCTGTCCAGCTAGCACTTATAATTATTTCAAGAACAGTCAAAACTATACGAACATTTTTTAAATATTATAAAAATGTCCCAGAAACCAGTACGAACCCAAACTTTGTTAATATTTCAGCAAAATATTTAATTTTAAATGTAACGGTTCAAACTGATACAACAATAACGCTAAATCACTCAATTCAAGTTAATAAGCCACATAATATCTTTGCAAATGAGCACAAAAAAAAAAAAAAAATTCAATTCGAAAAATGAAGATTTTGGTTGAATTTCAATAGAGCGATCACAGGACAGACTCTTCAACCTCACTATGATCATGATGATGATGATGATGATGATGATGATGATGATGATGATGATTTACCTAGCACTGCTGCCAGTCCGAAAAGCAGGAGGATGAGTGAACTCCTCGCCATGGTTCTGCTTATGATCATTTGACTCTCTCAATGCTTTATATACAAATTCATTTTGATTTCTAATCTTGATAACGTGTTTAAACTTCTTATCATATTTTCGTAAAAGGATTAATTTTTGCATTTGCAATTACTGAAGATAGCATATCCGGTGTTACGAGGAAAAACTTACGCATAATTTCGATGGGGGTTCCCTTATTTTTACCCATGGATCAACCTGCCTGGCCTGGAACCGAATATTGAGAGAGAGCGTAGGTACTGCTCAAGTCTTTTCTCTCATTGCGCATTGTAATGTTTTATGCATTTAAGTAATCTTCAAGCAAGGACTGATTAATTTCGTTGCGGGTCCAATGACAGTTTAACTTTAAAACTTGACTTTCACTGGTTGGGTTTTTATTGGCGGTTAAGCTGTAGATCCTGGCTACACAGGAGTTGTAGCGGTGGGAACAGATCTATACGATCTAAACGAGGACTTATATTAATAGTAGGTTCGCCACAATAGTCCAGTAGTCAACGAGGATCTCGAATCGACAATCCATGTCGATAATATATTTAGGCTATTAATATTATGCCTCTATATTCATCTGTCCCTTCCCTTCTTTTTCACGCACTTACATTATTCTATGAACAAAATTGAATAAACAAACTCATGTGCCCATAATTCAGGAATAGCTAGTTTAGGAACTGCTAGTAAGTCTAACGTGATCCATGAAAAGTAAACGAACTAAAGTGGCTGACATAGCCCGACGGATTAGCAAGCTGAAGTGGCAATGGGCAAGGCACATAGTAAGTAGAACCGCAGAACTGACGGCCGATGGGGCAGCAAGGTTCTGGAATGGAGGCCGCGTACCGGAAAACGCAGCGTAGACATCCACCCGCAACGTGGACCGACGACATCTTAAAGGTAGCAAGGAAGCGCTGGACGCAGGCCGCTACCAATCGATCAACACGGAAAGCAATGGGGGAGGCCTATGTCCAGCAGTGGACATTCTATGGCTGAAGTGATGATGATGATGATGATGACACCAGTGAAAATGTATTTGTTGTGTACCTTTCGGAAATAAAGTGTATTATCAGATTGTTTTTGGGTAGTATTTAAACGAGTGACTGTAAATTTATGTTGTAAGTGTCAAAAATAATTAATGTGGGCTAAAGAATTACTAAGTGAGCGACTGAGTGCGAGTGACGAAAAATCAAAAGAACAGCAACTTACAAAAAAAATTGAGTTCCTTAAAATACAAAATGAGAAGCTAAATAATATTTGAGCGACCTAATATTTGATTGAGTGTCAACGTTAGGTCCTGCATTTTTTTCAATATTTGGCAAATGCTTTTTTTATACTGAGCGGTATTTTTAACTTTAATGAAGTGTTTCGAATGCAAAAACTACTTTGAAAAATACTATTATGAGCAGCGTATTATGAGTCCACATTTAAATAAAAAATTATCTTATGAAATAAATATTTGACGGAACGCTATTCTAGTAGCGAAAAAAATAAATCATTAGAATTTAAGGGTAGGTAATCAAATGAAACAATTTATTACGAAAAATTAAATAAATTTGTATTTTCTTAAATCGAATCATCAAAAAAATAATAATAAAATAAGTCGCTTCTGTCAACCAAAAAAAAAGTAATCTTATTAATAAAGTTCATTGATTGGCCTACCTATGAGGATTGAGAAGCTCTACCTACTCATCGTCACTGTATGATAAGTGCTGGCTTGGACTTAGCGGGCCGGCCTCGTTTTCTTTTTTGTCCAATAGGTATCAGTTTTGCTTCTAGTGGCGGTGTTGTTAGTTTGAGCTGAATTGCTAGACCCAAAACGTGTTTGCATACATATTTTGTTAAAAATTCGGGACAGTCGCCCCGCCCCCATTCGAATTCGCGCGCTGTAACAATCTGTAGTTTTCATTAAAAAAGCGTATCAAAATAAAAACCATGAGACCTCAAATATAATATCAGTAACCAATAANGTCCAAGGCCTGACCACAAGGTCGGACGGCGCCATCGCGCGCTCACCCGGGATACGGCTGCCTTAAAAAGCGGCTGTGCAACATGGGGTCGAGGGATGATGCGAGCTGCGGGTGCGGGGAGAATCCGACAGGAGTTGCTGCAGGGAGCCGTGCTGGAAACGCACGGCCCTGCTGGGTACCCCGATCTCGTCGCAACAGAAGCGAACTTCAACCGGCTCAAGGCGTTTGCGTACAATTGGCATGAGCGTAGAACAGCCCCAGAACAGGGAGAGTCGCTCCATAGGGACAAGGACTAGAACAAAGAACTTGTAGGGAGTCAAGCATTGCGCGCGGCAGAGTGCAACCTGCCAGGGCAGACGCAGTTTCGCGCGCATCTCCCGCGATTCGGCCAATTAAGCGGAAGGTTGGAATGGCCATGGGTGGTGGTGGGTTGTCTCCTGGTGCCTTGCTCGCCCGGCTGCTCGCTGGACGCTTACTGGGCCTCGACGAATGTCGACATGCAGCCACAATCACCAGATAAAAGTGTCTACTAAGTGAAGAAGCCCGGGTAATGAGCGTTACCTCGACACCCGCACCGGGTAATGGTCGAAGAACCCGGATATATAGATGTCTCGCTCCCCAAGTCCCAGGTAGAAGCTACAGGTCAGTCCGTCGCCAAAGCGACGTCCCACCAACCACCGACTGGCAGTAGCCAGCCGAGAAGCACGGCCGCGTTCAGCCGCGGGCCGAATGCAGCGACCAGTCACCAGCGACCCAACAAGTATAACAAATAAGTATTTTTGCTAAGAATTCGGATTTTTTTAGTGTGCAAAAGGATGATTTTTTGACTTGCAGTTAAATACTACCCAATAAAAAACAACTTTTGTAAACATTATGGAAGCAATAAACTATTGAGTATTGAGTAACTCGAAGAAATACACAACACAGCCAGAAAAAACCAGCACATAGCCTCCGTACAGCAAAAAAGTACTACGATACAAATAAAAGGAACTGGGAACCACAAGTGGGCGAAAGAGTAATGAAAAGAAACTTCACTTTATAAGACGCAAATACACAGTTTTGCTCAAAACTAGCTCCAAAATACAAAGGACCTTATACAATAATATACAAAAAATCACCAGTAATATTTGAACTAAAATGTCCAGAAAACCCGAAGAAAAAAATTACAAGCCACATAAAAGACCTAAAACCATATTACTACGATTAAAACATCAAGATGATCAACACAAGTAGGTAATACCAAAAATAAATTTATTTAGACCCACCCGCAATACAAAATGTAACAAGATCTATGAAAAATCGCAACGCAAGAAACAGAACGAAAGTTACACGCACGGCGTCAACGTCATGTATTCGCAAAAGAAAACGGACGGACAAACAAAGATAACGGTGATCAGAGGACGTGCTAAGGACATAACCCTAACACACGACCGTAAGATGGTACAAACAAAACCGAAACCAGAACCGGAACCGGAAGACGAAGACACGGAGGACTGGACTAACATAAAATCAGACTGGAACGAGATCCTTCAAATCGACATAGAAAATTACATAGATCTGAACCAGAATCTGGACCCGGGACCTGATCGCAGACTGGCCGGAACCGTCCAGGCCAGTAACTTTTAAAATTAAATTTTAATACCTAAGCTAGGTTTCAAGTACAAAGTACCAGTCACTGCCTGGACGTGTCCAGGCGAGAACAAGCACGGGCTATGAGCGTCAGCTCGATGCCCAAACCGGCCAGGAGATCGAAGACCAGATAGATAGATAGCTCTCCCCTCTCTCTCTCTGTCGGCACTCGGTAGTCGCAGTAGTCGTGTGTAGCAGCGTGGCTCCGCGGAAGCGTCGAAGACCCTCTGCCCGGCTTCTACCCGCGCGCGAGCCGATCCGCCGCGATACCCTCCGCCACCTTCGCCCAAGCCACCCACCCAGTCGCGCCGCAGTTCGTCTCCGCAGAAGCGTCGAGACCCGTCGCCGCGCCCTCCAGCTCGGTGCGAAGCAGCACCACCGCGTCGCGCGCCCGTCTCCGCCGTAGGCGTCGAGAGTCCCGCCGTCGCGAGTGCGTGTGCGAGTGTCGAGAGCGATATCGCCATCCCTCTCCCGCGAATTGGACGCATCTACCCGCGACAGAGACGCTTTTGTGTTGTGCCGTGAAAATAACAGTGCAAGTGAGGGTAGGCTGACATCGGAGAGTACCCACCGAATATTTGCAAAAATATCACGGAGGTACTCGTACACCGCGACTACCCTCACAAAAACCTTTTATTCGCCGACCCGCGAATATCACGAATACCGAAATCCTGCAGTCCTGCAAAATGTCGGACGGCGAGGAAGTGCCGCCCCCACAGCGCCAGCCGGCGTAGAGGCCCCTTGCGAGGCCCGCTCAGCCCGCCGCCGCCGCCACGAGCGGCCAACCGAGGCAGCGCCCGGCCGCGCTCAGCCGCGAGCCGACCGCAGCGACCCAGCAAGGGCCCCCCGCCCCCCTCCCCAGCCGCGACAGCCACCGCCGCCCCAGACACCACCCGGACTCCTCGGAGGGGTCGCTCTCCGAGGAGAAGAGACCCAGAGTCGGGCCCTCGCCGAAGCAAAGGGCAACGACACCGGAGCCACAGATATCGCCCATAGAGAGGTATGTCCCGGGATACCGCGGGGAAAACACCCTGCGGACCCCTACCGCATCCCCGGTNGACTCCTCGGAGGGGTCGCTCTCCGAGGAGAAGAGACCCAGAGTCGGGCCCTCGCCGAAGCAAAGGGCAACGACACCGGAGCCACAGATATCGCCCATAGAGAGGTATGTCCCGGGATACCGCGGGGAAAACACCCTGCGGACCCCTACCGCATCCCCGGTCGGGTCCGCCTCAGCGCCCGCATCACCATCCGCCCACGGCTCCTCGGCCCGTTTCTCCTCGGAGGGCCGATCAGGCACGACAGCCGAAGGCAGCCAGCCGAGTGGGACGCTGGCCCCCCAGGTGGTCTCCGACGAGGACTACCTGGACTACGTAGCTCCTCGGCCGGCCTCGTCTAACTCCACGGCCCCAACGTCCTACGCGGCGTTGAACAGCCCCGCGCGGACCTATGACGCCAAACACCCCGTATGTGGATCGCTCATGACGACCTGAACTAAAAATATTGAAAAGATATGGGCCAAATTGATTGATAGTTACTTGGGACAAAGTGTAATCAACCATTGTGTGCACGACAGACGGCCTCCGAATAGAAACATAATCGTACCGTAAAATAGTTGTAAATAGTTGTTTCGTTTTTGTTTAATTTTTGTATCGTTTTTATTTCGTTTTATATAGTTAAATAGTTTAAAATTCGATAATTTCGTAATACAGTCCACTTTCTCTTAGTTGGTTCTCAGTTAGTAATGTGTCTAGTCTTTAATAATTAATTAGTAGGCGTATGTGTGATGTTGGAGGTGTATAAAAAATAGTTTATTTTAGAAAACAGTTAAAATGTATAGTTTAATAGCCCTTTGTTTTATGTATAACGATTAAATAGGTAATTTCACATAGTAATGGTTAACAGATCGTATTTATAATATTCAAATTAGGAGGATAAATATGTATAGATTTAAATAGTAATTTACTTCTAAGTAATAATAGTCTTCATTAGCCATAAAGGCAATTAATGTAAAATAGTGTGGCCAAATGAGCCCTATTTCGTGTACAAATTCTTAATTTGTAATTAACCCTGAACCTGTGTACCTTCATTTACCTATCGAATAATAAGAAGTTTGCCTAAAGATAAATAAACATAGATTCCAAAGAATAGTGGAAGAGCTAATTAGATTCTGATAAGAAATAGTAAAGGTAGTAATGAATAATTAGGTCACTGGATAGATAAAAAACGGGCTCTCTATACGGTATTGCCGCCCTGGGGGGGGGGGTCTAAATTAGAAAGAGAGGGAGATAGATTTGCTGTCTCATTAGAGCGAGAGGCAACGAGGTTTTCTTACTCTAATGAAAGTGAATAAATATCGGGATGCCATCCGGGCACCGACAGTTCCGCGTTTTCTCCTCAACAAGCTACAACACCAAGCTCTCTCCACTGCTCCGAGGAACCGGTCACAGACTCAACCGCCCGAGTTATTATTTCTGCGCTCCCCGCCCCCTTCGTCTCGCTCTCCCGCTCGCGCTGCACCCCGCATCGCGCCGTGTCGGCGTACGGTATCAAGGGTCCGCACAGGGTTGCAACCCCATACCGTCCGGCACACATTGTTTACCTGGTGCTTCCTATTAGTCATTTGTTGGGCAATGTAGGCAAAAAAGACCTACTAAACACTTAATTTATAAAATAATTTTGTTCACATTCCCCTACAGTAGAAGCTTGCCACAGGAGGAAAATAATCTATATATATAAAAATGAAACCCGTTTCGCGTTGTCACGGCATCACGTGTGAACGGCTGAACCGATTTCGATAATTCTTTTTTTTAAATGTTTGTGGAAGTCCAAGGATGGTTCTTACGGAAAAAAATATTAAGAAAATCTCTACGCTAAGGCGGTACGAAGTTCGCCGGGTCAGCTAGTTTTAGATAGAAATGGAACTTGACATTGAATACATTGACATATTATAATAAATGGAAATTCCATTTAATTGACAAACAATTATTTAAAAAATAAATTTATATTGGCAACAGATAAATACTATCTGAATAAATATTGTAAAAGACTTATAGCGAATTCGCTATCATATTAAATAAAATATTTAGCCATTAATTTGGCTAACCAAACTGCTTTTATTGAGCAGAACATGGATGTTCGACCCTTGGAATCTCTTCCAAATCATAATTTAAATTACATCATCAGACTATAGAGGACAACTCTAGCATACAAAATCCGGGTACAAAAACATTTCAATGTTTTAATTTAGTGCATCAAAATATACAAGGCTTCTCCAGCAAAGACTTGGAAAATTGAGTTATTTATCTAAGAATTGAATATTCATGTCTTATGTTTAACGGAACATTGGCTCAGGCAATATGAACTAACCCTTTCGGACCGCTCCAATACAATTGTGCGGGTTACAAAATCGAGATTATCTCATTAGTTTTACATAGGAAGTGGATGTGCTGAGTATCGTACGATTGTGCGGGATGCGTTCTTTCACCTCCCGTGCAAATTTTGTCCGAAGCGCAGTTGGTGAGCAGGTTACAACCTGTACAGTTCATGACTGATTGCGCTCCCCGACTTGGCGAAAGAAAGTACCTACTATGATTTTATTTTGTAATTGTAGTAATATACAAGTTAATGATTAGACAAATAGTTAAAAATATCATCTTTTTGTGATAACAGTGACTACTTGTAAGCAAAGGCTTTGTCGTAATAGCTTAACGAACTTTACTGACACAATTGTATCGACGTGGGCCCTACAATACCTTATGCGTATTTTAAGTTTCTCATAATTATTAATTTTTCATGGTTTCCACACCATGTTTCCGATTTTAAACGACGCTACTATCGCAGAGATGCTCAATGCATCTGGGGATGAGAGCGATGACAACGACAAAAGCTAGTTTCGACTACTTCAGATGAACTACTCCTCTTCTTCTGATGAAGGCTCAGACATTAATGACGATACATACCTCTGAGTATGCAAGCGGCATAGCAGACGAAGCCCTTCAATCGTCAACATCTTCCAGGAGATGCTGTTCATGATCCAGGAGATATTAAAACTCCATAGGAATTATTTCGAGCGCTATGTTTACTGTTGAGCTCATGGAACAGATGTTTTTGCCCACAAATCAATATTAAATGGCAAATACTGGTATAAAAATTAAACCTGTTTATTCCTTACTGGTTATAAATACGTTTTTCGGAATACATGCCATTGATAAAATTTCAAAAACCCTTACAATTTTGACCCTCACAATTGTATGTAGGAAGTGAAGGGCCCAGATTGATACAATTGTTGGTATATGAATTTTCCAAGATGGCGGCGGAAAATCTGGAAAATTATTGCAGATTCGTAATCTGCGGCCCTAAATTACCTGAAATTCATGTCCAAAATTACAAATTTCTTTCTAGTTTAAGCGCGGGTCCGAAAGGGCTAATGATGAGCAGTTTGACTTTAGAGCCAAACACTCTTGCATCCAACAGGTGCATCGCATAGTCGAGCACATGTTAGCTGGCTTTTACAACCACAACAACTAAAATCTTTTACGCCCAACTGCGTTCCCCTTCGACCCGTCCCTTTTTTCACGGCGTCGGCACGTGCCCGGCCGCAGAAACCAGAAGACGTTCAACGGCCAGAAGTTTGAGGACACGACGGTGAATAGTGATCACGACAAAATAGTGAAACAGACAGAAATTGTGTGTTGTGCAGTGGTACGGGCGGGACATAGTTTCGCGGGGTGCAATAAGTAGAAAGACTCGATACGTCGCAACGGTGTGACATAGCGAAGGAAAAAGATGTTTTCAGTGTCTACGCTTCCGCGCGCGTGCACAATTGTAAAAGGAACAAGTGCAATATAGACGGATATGATAGTGTTCACCATCGTACGCTCCATTACGCCAAAAGGAAGTAGCACAGTGAAGTCGTCGGTTCAACATGGACGGTGAAGGGCACGCAAGCTGTCAAGGACAGAATTAAAAAGAAATAAATCTTTCACTTTGCTCTCTTCGTACTATCTTCGTATCGAATTATGTAGAGAATGAAGGAAGGCTTGTCTTCCTCAAGATAGTGCCTGTGCAGATTCGTGGCCCGCGCAAGAAGATCAACACTCACACTCTGCTCGACGACGGGTCGACAATCACGCTCATCGACGAAGGAGAAAAAGAAAGAAGGCGGACCGCGGGAGCCTCTCCAGTAGAAGCCATCGGAAGTGCGCGGGTGGACACCTCCGCCTCCAGGAGACTCAACATCGCCATCAACCGGTCTGGGAAGTGCAAGCTACACCGCATACGAGCGCGCACCATCCAGAATCTTAAGCTGTCGCCGCAAAGTGTCAAAATCGAAGATATAGTGAGATGTGAACATCTGCGTGATATACAAGAAAGTGTAGTGCTACATAGTGCGCGGCCGCAAATATTGATCGGCCAGGACAACTGGCACCTGCTCGTCGCACAGGAGCAGAGAATCGGTAAGCGACACCAACCTATCGCTTCGCTTACACCGCTCGGCTGGGTGCTACACGGCGCGTGCAGTCGCACCGTCGGGCACAGAGTGCACTTTACACAAGAGATTGAGAGCGAGGAACGCCTCAACATGGACCTCAAGCACTTCTTCTCGTTGGAGGCCTTGACGATTGCCCCTAAGCTGCCTCTCAACGACCCCGAAGCCCGAGCACTGAAAATACTGAAAGAAAAAACCACACGGTTAATGGACGGACGCTTCCAAACCGGGTTATGGAAAAACGAAGATATCAAGATGCCTGAGAACAAAGACTACGCCCTCAGGAGGCTGGAAGCCACCGAAAAGAAGATAGAAAAGGACCCAGAAGTCAAGGGCAAGGTCATCGAGCAAATGAAGGCCCTGGTGGAGAAAGGTTACGCAGAACTCGCGCCCGTCAATAGCGACAATGACAAGAAATGGTACCTGCCCTGCTTCCCGGTCTTCAATCCTCAGAAGCGGGGAAAGATCAGGATGGTGCACGACGCGGCGGCGAAAACGAAAGGTATGGCGCTCAACGACGCACTTCTCACCGGGCCCGACCTCCTGCAATCCCTACCCGGTGTGCTGATGAAGATGCGTCAGCACCGGGTAGCGGTGTCTGCAGACATTGCAGAAATGTTTCTTCAGGTCAAGATCATCCCAGAGGACCGGGACGCTCTACGGTACCTCTGGCGGGGGTGCGACAGGACAGCTCCACCCCAAGAATACAGAATGACCTCGTTAATCTTCGGGGCCACATCCTCACCGGCTACTGCAATTTACGTGAAAAACAGAAACGCAGAAGAGTTCGTGGTTGGGCCTATGTCCAACTTTCTTCTCTTCCTTTTCTTCGGTGGCTCCAACTCTCAAATTATCTAGCTGCATGAGATGGTTTCCCACTAATCTGTTTATCGGATTCGGGGCCAGCACCTTCGCAGGAGCCAACCTTCGCGAAAAACCTCTATGGAAAATTAAGAAAAAACTCTGTTGTCTTGAAACGTCTGTCAACTAAGTCAAATATGAAAAATCCGCTGAATATTTGCTGAAGATATTGAAATAATCAAAACCGCAAGAAATATCGACGGGTCGACCCTCGAAGCCTGGTCTCCGTCTTCTGATCCGCAGGTTGGTGGTTTCCGTTTTATGCAGCTGTATTTTTGAGTTGTTTGGAGTCACCAGCCGACCCCCGCATCATCTTTCTTCCCCGCAATTTTTTTTATTCCTGGTGTGGCTATTTACACGCCACATCATAGATCATGTGACAGACAGCACGGATGATCTCTTTACACTCTCATCAAGAGAAGCAAAGGAGATTTGCTGCCTTGAGAATTCCCTTCTGAAGGAAGGAGAAGCCACTGGAAAAATCTAGCCGACTGAAGAAGATCGACGTTTACCTGGATCAACGCCGGATCCTGAAGCTGAGGACGCGCACCAAGAAGAGAGGTTCGGGAGAAGGATGGACCAACCCGATAATACTCGACGGGAAAAGTCAGATTGCCTGCTCGTCATAGGGTATTATTACAAGAAGTTCTACCATTGCAACTCTTCGACGGTGATCAACGAAGTGACGCAGAAATTATTTGGAGACTACTGGTGAGCTGTAAGATATTGGAATTTTTGGTAATGATGGATCACACATGGGTGTCAATGGTGCGAAGTCCACAAAGGGGAGCCTCAAGTACCACCTACCGGAGACTTGCCGGCCGAACGTTTGCAGCATCCCTCCGAAAAATGGCTGCACGCAAGAGGGAGGCTAAAGAATATTCAGCGATAATGGAACCAACTTCGTGGGGGCCAACAGGGAATTAAAAGAGACTGCCTCACAAAGAAGGGAATCACATGGAGATTCATCCAACCTGGATATCCAAACATGGGAGCCTAAGGAGAGATCACCACCAGGAGAAGTCCAGCACACACTCCTCCTCGAAGTGGAGCATATTATAAACTCGCGTCCACCTACCCACATCACCGCAGATCCCAATATGAAGAAAGCCTGACGGCGAACCACTTTCTAATCGGAAGCGATAGCGCCGGAGCATTGCCACTACGTTGTTGAAACCTCTTCTTTACGTGGTTGAGGCGTTCCACTTGGGAGTTGGCAAAAAGGATTCCTGGCTCAACAATCTCCATCGGAGAAGAAAAGAAAGCAAAGATAACAAATAATATGGAGAGCACAAGAATGGACAGGAGTTGCAGCTTTCAGCAGCCAAGGGACTGAAGACGCAACTAAGTGGAATGAGAGTTTGGCCCTCAACAATTTGCCCTCATGCACCATTCTATGTTTCACTCTATGCACAGATTAAGTTTGAATTGTATGAGTACTCCGAAGATAGCTTCTGTCTTTTTGTCAAAAGCTTGGAAATGCCATTTGTTTTTCAAGCATGGAAGCAAGTACAGTTAGGGTCAGGTGTGCTTATTTATAATAAGCAATGACATTTTTTTCTTAAGGATACGATACGGCAAGCTTTGCTTCAGGGAATCGTACCCGAGAGACCCGCCTGGTACTCCGATCTCGTCTCCTCGGAGGCTGCGTGAATTCGCGGCTGGCATAGGAGGAGGACCGCTAGCGCTGCACGTGGTGTGTTGTACAGGCCCCAGAAGGGGGAGAACTGCACAGAAGGGACAAGGACGTAGATTAAATAACTTGTAGGGNCGCAGCGATTTAGATAGAATTGCTGAAGAGTACGCGACAGTGAAACAGTTTGAAACGTTGAGATCTGATATTGAGATGTTGAAAGCAGATCACTCCGATAATATTGGCAGTTATCGTAAAGTCAATATGAAGCGGGGTGCATGTCTGTTGAATAGTTTCGAATATAATAGTGGGCCGGTGGGATTGCCTCATATGTCTTATGTTGATAATGAAAGTCATTCACCGCCATTGATGCAACAAATTACCGAAAAGGTTAACAATTTGCCAGCGGAGGGTAGTACCATAACAAATATCCAAACACAGCAGAATATTCCACCCGCAGTTGATTTATCCGTAACGGTTGTGAGCGAACGCGCCGAGCCCAAACGAACATCAACGATTGCTGCCCGAGAGATGACTCAGACGCAGAGCTCGTTGGCCGCGGCCGTCGTATCACCGAGACACACTGCCGCCTCGCCCGCCTCGCAATGCGTGAATAATGCGGATGGGAAATCTTTTGCAGAAGTCGCTCATGGTGGTGTTTGGAAATCTCAGAACCCGGATGAAAACTGGATTAGAGTACAGAAAAAGAGGTTGCGTAATCGGTTCATCGGAAATAGAGGAAAAGCTATTGTTGATACAGATGTGAAATTCAAAGCGGCAGATATAAAGACACCTATTTATATCTATAATGTTTCTAAGGAGGTGACCGAAAGCGACATAAGCAATTATATAAAAAATAAATCTGGTATCACAATTTCGTTGGAAAAAATGGCTATGAAATTGAATAAAGATTACGATGCTTATAAGATTTATATCCCAAAACATAAATTGGATACATTCCTTACGGATGATTTCTGGCCAGACGGGATAGCCTATCGCCGGTTTGTGAACTTCAATCATAAGACAAGCAAAGGATACCTAGACAAAATAGTATGAGTTACAACAACACTACGAAAATTGCAAGTTTTAATTGCAAAAATATCTATCGTTCTGTTGAGTGCATTAGAAGGCTTTGTCGTGAAGTTGATGTAATAGCACTTCAAGAAACATGGCTGTTACCTGATGATATACCATACTTGGGTACTATCCATACGGAATTTTCGTTCACTGGTAAATCTGCAGTGGACACGTCAACGGGTGTCATCAGAGGGAGGCCGTATGGTGGTGTGGCCTTACTGTGGAGGCGAGCGTCATTCCCGTGTNCTGTGTAGGGAAAAGTAAACCTTAGTTCGTAAGTCCAAAGATGCATTTGTGTTTGGGACTAAATTCACGATTAATACAGGCAACTTTAATGACATTACGCACGCGATATAGACTGACGTGCGCGTGAGGTTTACTCTCTAAGCTAAAGGGTATAAAACTAACGTCACTAATTAGTGCAGGGTTCTCAGGTCGCTCACGCTTTTCTTTTGTTTTTCAGCTAAGGAACTGACGTCACTCACAACTTGGGGCAAGGATAGCCGCTTGCGCGTTGCGAAGTGAACTGATTGAGCCCTCTTAGCTAAACGGTAAGGAACTGATGTCACTCGCCAAGTAGCGCTTAAGCCACTCGCTTAAGAACTAGTTGAACGCGCTGAGCTTAGGGGTATAAAGCTGACATCAGTATTTGGCGAGGCGTAGTAGAGGTAAAGCAGTAGAGCGCGCGTCGTATCAGCTGCTGCTGATTAGTTATGGTAAGTGTCCCAGCGTGACGTGATAATGACGTTACTTACTGAGAGAGTCCCTGGCGCGCTGGGCAGCCGTTACGGCAGTATCATACTGCTGTTGCTCGTGTTGTTGATGCGCGCGCGCCTGCGTGGCGTCGTAGTGCGCAGTATCATAGGTCACTCGAGAAGCCTACACGTTGTGTGGCTAACTGGTGGTGACGTCACTTACTGAGAGAGTCCCAGGCGCGCTGGGCAGCCGTTACAGCAGTATCATACTGCTGTTGCTCGTGTTGTTGATGCGCTTGCGTGTCGTTATGGTGTGCGGTATAGCATAGGTCGCTCGGGCAACCTGCGCTCTCGTAGCTAACTACTCATGACGTCACTCACTGAGCGAGTCCCTGGCGCGCTGGGCAGCCGCGACAGCAGTATCATACTGCTGCTGCACGTGTTGTTGATGGGCGCGCGCCTGCGTGGCGTCGTGGTGCGCGGTGTCATAGGTCACTCGAGAAGCCTACGCGTTGTGTAGCTAACTACTCATGACGTCACTTACTGAGCGAGTCCCTAGCGCGCTGAGAAGCTGCGACGGTGGTGTCATGCTGCTGTTGCACGTGTTGCTGGTGCGCACGCGCCTGCGTGGCGTCGTGGTGTGCGGTGTCATAGTTCGTTCGGAAAGCCTACGCGTTGTGTGGCTAACTACTTATGACGTCACTTACTGAGCGAGTCCCTGGCGCGCTGGGCAGCGGCGACAGCGGTATCATGCTGCTGCTGCACGTGTTGTTGATGAGCACGCGCCTGCGTGGCGTCGTGGTGCGCGGTGTCATAGTTCGTTTGAGAAGCCTACACGTTGTGTGGCTAGCTAATCGTGACGTCACTTACTGAGCGAGTCCCTGGCGCGCTGGGCGGCCTCGACGGCAGTATCATGCTGCTGTTGCACGTGTTGCTGATGGGCGCTTGCGTGTCGTTATGGTGTGCGGTATAGCATAAGTCGCTCGCGTAGTGCGCTTTCGTAGCTAACTACTCATGACGTCACTTACTGAGAGAGTCCCTGGCGCGCTGGGCAGCGGCGACGGCGGTATCATACTGCTGCTGCACGTGTTGTTGGTGCGCGGTGTCATAGTTCGTTCGGGAAGCCTACGCGTTGTGTGGCAAACTGAGGGCCTAGTGCGAGTTTACATCAAATGCGCTCACTAGTGAGCGCGTCAAAAAATGTCATTTAATGTATGACGGATTGTGCAGCGCCCCTAGCGGAAACGTTCAAGAACTAAAATTTTCATACATTTTTCAACGCGCTCACTAGTGGTGACGTCACTTACTGAGAGAGTCCCTGGCACGCTGGGCAGCCGCGACGGCAGTATCGTACTGCTGCTGCACGTGTTGTTGATGAGCACGCGCCTGTGTAGCGTCGTGGTGCGCGGTGTCGTAGCGCGCGCGGGCCGCTTGCGCTTCGCTCGCAGCACGCTCCGCTTTCGCTTCTAGCTGGGCGCGACGGGAAGCCGAGCTGCCAGAGCTAGGAAGAAAGAATATCGTAAGAAAAATTGATCTGCTTGAATTGTAAGAGCTAAATGCTAATGTGGTGAAGCAATAAAGTATTGAGTATTGAAATGACAAGGTGGAGATGTGCACTTGAGCAGCACTGGGTTGCGCGAGGCAGATATTTTTACATTTTTAACGGAGTTTGTTGCATTAGAGCGGCATTACAGCTAGGGTTGCTGCATAGTGCGAATAGGTAGAGTGACGCGCAGCTTAGAGACGCCGGCCTTTCAAATGACAAGTTGATTCAGAGCTTAGCATTCAAAATCCTATCAATGTGTTCAAAAGAAACTGCCACCCTTTTAGCTATCAGTCCAACTATCTAACTACAATACACTCACTCCACGTTGTTGATCTCCCGCTCAATGTCGGCCACCTTCCTCTCTTCCCTAGCCTTAAGTTCTTGATGCTTGGAGGCGGCGTGCTGCTCCACCTACAGCTCACACACCTACGTCTCTAGACCTCACAGCTTTTGTTCAAGATCTGTCCACAATATACTCACTCCACATTGTTGATCTCTCGCTCAATGTCGGCCACCTTTCTCTCTTCCCTAGCCTTGAGTTCTTGATGCTTGGAGGCAGCGTGCTGCTCCACCTACAGCTGGCATACCTGCGTCTCTAGACTTCACAGTTATTGTTCAAGAGCTGTCTACAATATACTCACTCCACATTGTTGATCTCCCGCTTGATATTAGCCACCTTCCGCTCCTCCCGGGTCTTGAACTCTTAGTGCTGGAAGCAGCGTGCTGCCCCACCTACAGCTCGCATACCTGCGACTCTAGACCTCACAGCTTTTGTTAAAAGCTGTCTACAATACTCACTCCACGTTGTTCCATATTACCAAACCGTAGGCTGCCAGTGCTGCCACCGAAATATAAATCATGGTATAAATTTGACCTAGTAAATAAATAACGGAATATATTTTCTACTTTTACTTATCTAGTGCAGTTTGTTTTGGAGTCGATTTTTTTACACTAATAGATTCTATTTAGGTAGATAATAGCGTCCAAGCATGCCTTAATTCAATCGTATCGTCTGACTGAACGTACTCTATGAACAACTCTGACATAAAATATATTGTCAAACAAAGGCTGGGTTGCACCATCTTATTTTAAATTTGACAAAAGTCAAATATCTGTCAAACTCCATACAAAAAAACACCGGTTATCGCCAAAGCTACGGTCAAAGTTAGGTCACGTCAGGTGGTGCAACTCAGCCAAAGAAAAAAATCATTTTGATCGCTAATGTCAGTTTGCAGCGAGTAACACAACCTCCCCGTCTGAAGGCCAGCGGCCGACTGCCGCCCGCACCCCGCGAAGGCCCCCTCAACAGCAAAACGTTCGGAATTTATCAAAAGTAAAATTTATGAATGAAAGTAATGTTCGATTGAAAAACGCAACGTGTCATTTAAAGATTAAAGAATTCTTAATCTGTTCGTGCAAAAATCTTTAAAATTAACGTAGCCGTTTGGGAGGAGTAGGGAATTGAATTAAAAAATCGATGTCCCGTATTTATTTTTTTAATCCACAACAAAGAGACGTAGGAAAAATTCAAACGTGTCAAATGTAGTCCTTGAACTGTTGTATAACATATATTTTTTTCAACTATTTCTGTCCAGCAGTAAAAGAGGAGTAGGCTTTACAAAATGACCATTTCACGCGGATTGAGGACACTAATCGCCTTAATTTATTTAAACCTATAATATAATACGTTTTTGTTAATTTATGAAAATATTAAATAAGCCTATAATCCTGAATCCGGATACATAAAGTTAGCCTATTAATTTAATACAGGTACGACTGTACCCAGTGTTGCACTATCAAATGCAATTGTAGCGCCTCTAAGCCAGGGTTTTTATGTTCCTGGTCAGGCTATAAAATTGAAGGATACTTAAATTTAGGAGCCCGTCAGCTGAGTGACAGATTTAAGTAGTGTTTCAATATTCGGCCGTTAGTGCTGGAAGCAGCGTGCTGCTCCACCTGTAGCTCACACACCTACGTCTCTAGACCTTACACTCTTGTTTGAGGACTGTCTTCAATACACTCACTCCACGTTGTTGATCTCCCGCTCAATGTCGGCGACTTTCCTCTCCTCTCTGGCCTTGAGTTCTTGATGCTTGGAGGCGGCGTGCTGCGCGGTGCGCTGCTCCACCTGTAGTTCTCGCACTTGCGTCTCTAGAGCGCGCAGCTCTTGTTCAAGATCTGTCCACAATATACTCACTCCACATTGTTGATCTCCCGCTCGATATCGGCCACCTTCCTCTCCTCTCTGGCCTTGAGTTCTTGATGCTTGGAGGCGGCGTGCTGCGCGGTGCGCTGCTCCACCTGTAGTTCACGAACTTGCGTCTCTAGAGCGCGCAGCTCTTGTTCAAGGGCTGTCTTTTCGAGGGTCTTCTCGTCCATTTGGGTCCTTAATGCCCTGGTAAAGAGGTAAGGTAGATTGAATATACATCAAGAACATCTTCTTCTTTAGTTTATTATAGCAGATAGCAGAAAAGTTTTTGAGTTGCGCCCACAGGCTGAATGGCGTGTAATAGACCTCCCAGTCGATGGACGAATGATCTAGTAGTGATGATGTATGTAGTCATGAACACATGTGCTTCATAAACCTACCAATGACTACATTGTGGAAATCCTATAGAGTGGTTGACACAGAATTCAGAATATCTTCATCAAAAACAAACATACTTATTTGTGTTTGATAATACAGATTCATAGAAAAAAATATTCGTTACCACCAGCATGAGTAATAAATTGTGAAATCACACATATAACTTCAAAAAAATTACTCACTCCAAGGCCTCATTATTGTTCCCGAAGTTGTCCTTCATCTTCCCCAACTTCTCCACAAGCCTGTCGACCCTCGCCTGCTGCTTGTCATACTGCGCCTGCACCATGGCGGCCTCGCGCTCGAAGTCCGCTATCTCGCTCCAGTAGTACTCATTTTGTAAAGCCTGCTTCTGTGCCTCAATCTCGTCGCGGGACTGTAGTTGTTCGTGACTGGTCTTCCACTTTTTGTACTCCTTTTCCAATTCTTGACAGGCCTAGGTTTGGAAATTAAAAAAAGATGTGGAAAAAAAGTACAGTAGAATCAGATTATATTCACGCTCAAGGCCGATGATATTTTTTTTTATCCACAACGAGGAAGCTCTTGGCCTGTATCTCACTTGATGGTAAGTGATAATATTAAGTTGTACTAAAGAATAATTTTTGCGCCGCACACACATCGCTAAAAGTGGTCGGTCGTTATAAGCGACGACGTACTAAAGGGATTCTACTGTAATAAACATCAACAAACTTAAGGATTAGGGTTTTATAACTGTGAAGAGACTTACATCATTTTTTCTGTTCCAAGTCGCAGAGGCTTTGTTGCAATTTTCAAGTGCTTTCACATAGTTGATTTCAGTCTGATCAAGATTTGTTGCCTTTCGAAACAAAGAATATTTCTTCTTTGCGTCAGAGGCATGAAAACTCCTTGCATCATCTTGGTTCAGGACAGAGATTGGGTTGTCTACTTGTATGTCATGTGCTAATATTATTGAGTTGACCTCTTCAAACTTGGTTGATATGACCTCTCCTGGATAATGAATTGTATGTTATATTTTAATTAACACAGTTTATCAAGAAAATATAAAATAAATGTTTTTAAACAATAATATATTAAGATCTACTAAAAGACCATCTTATGATGACTGTCTAACTTTCAGACATCATAGAGAACAAGAGAATTAACCCACCTGTAGCCGACTTGACTTTGTAGCTGGAACCTCCAGAAGCATTGATGTTTCTGACAATAGTGATGAAATCTCCATATACATTGTGCTTGTATGCTTTTGGACTGTTGTTTTTTATTTTTATCTCTACTGTAGCGGAATTAGCCCCTTTTTTAATAAATGCTGGAATATAATTATTGTACAGTGAGACACATAACCTTTTTTTACATGGCTAGGAAAGCTGTAGGTACCAGACAAGGGATAAGAAACATATGTAATTAATGTTTTTGTCACAATATAGGTAATTATGGTAAATTTTGCATGAACACAAAGTTGCATGGTATTTAAAATAAGTAGTAACAAGCCAATATCTACAGGGTGACTTTTAAATTGTTGGCATCCTTTTAAACTAAGACTACTCATAGTACATAGTAGATTCCCTAAATATGAGACAAATCTGATGAGTTGATCAGACCCAATATTATGATACAAAAGTTTCAAACGTTTGTTTGCAAATACAAAGCAACAGTTTGATACATAACTTCTTTAATGGAACACAGAAAAGGTAAACATAACTTACAATGTAAATTATTCCCACGGTTTGTAGCAGAGGCTCTGCCGCCCAACCCCACAACCAAAGCCGTTAAAATTGCACTTTTACCACTACCATTACGACCAACAATAAAGTTTACATTTCTATTCAAATTTATTTCCAAATTATCGTGGCAAAAGAAATTACGGACATGTATACTGTGTATACACCCGTCTATATCTTCTTCAACGTCTTCTTCTGTCCATTCCATCACGAAAAAAATATATTATGAGCGCGAAACCACAATAAAATTATGAAATTTCAATAAAATTGAACTTGTGCTGTTAGAAGTGGAAAATTGCGCTGAAAACGAATGACAACAATGACACTGACAGACAGTCATAGACAAACTTTGTTGCCAACCTATAGAACTAAAAGCTTCGGTCCAACTAGGTTCTATAAAGTTTTCACATCAACCCTTCCACAGCCTTCGTGAGCTCACTTGAGCTCTACCTAACGTCAGAATACGTTAGATTTTTTATGCTGGCAATATTTTCTCAAACGCCATTTTTACTTGAAAATCACGAGAGTAATTCGATTTGTTGATCATAGTTTTGTTGAATACACCAGTAATTTTGTGATTTTACAAAGAAGATTGTGAAGTTTAGTTAAATCAAATAAAATCCTACCAGTTTGACTAATCCACGAAGTTCAAGGTAAACTACTTTCAACTTGTAAGAACAAAAAGTATGTTTGCTTTTTATTGCTCGTGGTGTGTGGTGTACGGCTGTTACTGATTATTATTTTTCATCTTTTTGAATTCTCTAGTAAGAACATTTCCTTGGGAATTACTGTAAAGTATTTGTGGCATGACTATCTGACGACCTTACAGAGAGGGTAAACTACAAAATACACCTACCTTGTTTTCCATGTTTATCATTTCATTTCTCATTTTGGATTATTTTTCTATAGTGTTCGCTTTATGTACACTTAAGTGTAAACAAAACTTTGAGTGAAGAAACATCTTAATTAGAAATATATAATTATGTCATTGTTTTTCTAAATTATGTAGGTATCTTTGTCATCATGTTCTCAAAAGACTAACATTCAGATGAAAGCTATTTGTTTTAGTTTTAAAGCTTATTATTCCCCACTAAATTGTGATGTATGTAATATCAAAGATCTTTCAAATTACATTAGACTTTTCCTAAATAAAATTGGGTTAAAATGATAATTTGTTTGCATATTGTGACATTGTAAATATAGGTATTGAAGTCCGAAATATTATTGTTTATTTTCAGGCAGCAAAATGAGTGATTCACCAGATCAAAATGACCCACCAAAAGATGTAAGTTACTTTTAATATTTTATTTTAAATAGAAGTAAAGCGAGAAAATTGTACAGAAGTATGTATTTAATTATTGATAAATTTCAGCCAAAAGAATTGGAGAAGCTAGAAGAAGCAAAACTGAAGGCAAAGTTCCCAAATGCAATGCTTGGGAGAGGTCCAGGAGGACACTCGGCTTTCCTGCAGAAAAGACTGGCTAAAGGAGTAAGTTCTCTTAATTTGTTTATAAAATAATACATTTATTTTCATACCATCAGGTAATAAATGCTATACATAATAAACATCACCATCACTTACAACCCTGTTCAATTTTTCAGCAAAAATTCTTTGACTCTGGAGATTATCAAATGGCTAAACAGAGACCTGGAAATCTTGCTGCTCCTTTCAAAGCGCCCGCAGTCCCCGCCAAGCTGCCGACCGGTGATGCCATCCCCACCCCTGAGACTGTGCCAGTGAGGAAAACTTCCATCATCCAGCCTAAATTCCAGCAGTCGAGTCAGACTTCCTAGCCTCGCCCGCCCGCTGCAGGCACGAGGACCTGCAACTAATCACTAATGTTACTATTCCAAACTTAATTTTGCTAATGCATCGCACTTAAGCATCGCTTTTAATTTTAACAATTATAACACCATTTCAGTAGTTTATTTGTGTTAGTTGTTTTCATCACATACACTTGGGCACTGAAACTTTATTTCGATTTGATTTTTTCATCATAATTAAGTAGTGTATGTTGAAATTTATCAAAACTTTTTAAGAACAACTGTTATTGTATAAAGCAATTAGGTGTAATATTGCATGTTGGGTATGTGTGTTTATGTTATTCTTGCAATGTTGCAGTTGTGTTAGTTGAGGAACTTTGTTGTTGGCTGTCATCAGCATAGATTTCGTGAAGTCTCAATGTGCTTGCCATTGATAGCATTGATAATGCACAGCCAGATATTGTAAATTGATTCCAAATTAGAGTTGGTTTGGTATACCATCATACATTTTACAGAAGTTCAATTGTGTAAAACATGTATGCTTACATTAATTTATGGTATCTTCTGTACATAGCCTAAAATTCATACTAATACGGCAGCCAAATGTAGGCACATTCTACGAACATACCACACAATGCCATGTAATTAGATATAGGGTGTATTAAGGGGTTGACATTTTAAACTGGGTCAAATGAATCAATTTCATGCTTTCATAAAATAAATAACAATAGCATAAATAAAAACAATAATTATTATATTACATACATAATTCTTAAGTATACTGGCATAGATCAAAATTTGGTCCCTGTACATAAAAATTGTTGAAGGTGTAAAAATGTATGGATTCTGATAGGTCTGCTCTCTAGTGCGATACCTCGGGATACACTACTAGTTTTATGATAGCTAGTACGTAAACAATAGGTGTAAAGGGAATTTTATTTTTTTATAATGTAATTGTAATAAAAGACAAGTGTCAAATCAAGTGACCTAATATTAGTATGCATCATTAATGATGTATATCATACTTTTCTCGTTTATTGTGATATCTAATAGATTGTCATCCAAATGAAGGTGTTCAAACCAACAAGCCAGCAACTGTGCATCCTAAAGCACAAATATTTATACTACTATCTATCATGTTTACTTGGATATTAATTATCCTTGTTATTTTGCAACACAGCAGTATGACAATCTACTTATAATCACATGGAGTTCAATCTCAAAACTTGTTCTGGAATATATCTTGCAAAAAATATCCCAATAAAAGAAAGCACATAGAAAGACAGTGACGTCATGTACAAACCACGGAGTGTATGTTCACACAAGTGATATAATTATGTGTATGAAACAGATGGAATGTTGAAGAGTTAGCGATTATTAAATTAAATTCTTAATAAAAGCAAAATCTTTTATTTAACTTCCTGCATGTACTTCTACTTTACACTTTAGAGAGCATTCGAGTAACAATATGAGATTATTAATAACTTAAAAATGGCACAATAGATAAACAAAAACTTAAATAACAACTGTGAGTGTGTTCTCCTTTCAACTTCTCTCGTTTTCCTCTTCACTTCCTGGAATACTATTCTTCTCGTTACATCTTAGTCCCAATATTAATCATTTCATCATCTGTTATATTTGACTGCTCTCTGTAAACAAATAAATCGCTTGTTAGTCAATTGATCAGAACTATCACCTTGCAAGTGAGAATATTCAGAAGTATTAGTATTTGTAGGTTACAAAAGTAACACATGAGTTTATAATAAATTGGATCTCCATCGGTCGGCACCATGTTGCTGCCGGTCGCTGGGGTACAACTCGTTTGTAGCTTCAAATTGTATGGATCCACCATAAAACTAAAATATCTACTGGATTGATTGGACTGATATCAATTTTCTGGATCCTAAATCAGTGATAGTTTAATATGGGGGCGTAATGTGAGTTTACGTCAAACGCCTTCAATATAAACTGCGTAAAAAAGTGACGTTAGATGTATGATGGATTGTACAACGCCCCTAGCGGAAACTTTCAAGAACTAAAATCTACATTTATATATTTTTAAATCTACATTAATAAATAAAATAAAATTAACGCAGTCGATATCGAATGTTCGACGTAATCTCACACTACGCTCCCAGTGGCCTAATTCACGTATTTTGATTGAAAAACAGTTCTAAATCCGTATAAAGTCCGGTCGCTGAGCACGACAGCAATATAATTACGCGCGAGCGATAAGGATGGGTAGCTTGGGGTCATTGGACGAAATTCTACGTGCTCGGCGACCGGACTTTACATAAGGGTCATTTCGATAGAACGATTACTAGATAGGATCGCAACTCAGCGATTTGTTGTCGTTGAAGTTTTGTTACGTGAATCAAGGCTTCGGCAGACCAAACGCAGGGCAGTAGCAGCGCTGTTTGAATGCGGGCCCGCGCAAGTTGTAATACAAGAAACTCTTTGAAGTGTGTCACAAAAAATTTGAACGCGGGCCCGCGCTCCAATCGTGCTGCACTGCAACTGCCGAACGACAAACCAGGCGGCGCGGGAGCGTGACAGAAGCGGCGCGAGCTCGGGCCCGCGCTGTTGTATTACTATGGCGGCCATATTAGCATGACTCACCGGAGGCAGGGCGGTAGTAATGCAGCGCAGCGCGTTGAAAGCGGTTGACGAATGTATTTTTTACAACTGCCGCGCTGCAACTGACCCGCACTGCTTCTGACCCGCGTTTGATCTGCCGAAGCTATAAGGCTACAGCTGTTGCACTCACCCGGGTTCCAATGCACATATTCGGGCGTGGCGGCGGCTTGGTATTCGCGCACGAGGTCGTCGACGACGGCGCGCGACTCGTCGAACTCCTCCAGCGACTCGCGGAACATCGGCTCCTTGCGGAACACCTCCAGGAACGCCTCGCGCTTGCGCAACTTGTCGTACTGTTGTAGGCAGCGGTCGAACAGCTGGAAATAAGGATTTTAGGGACCTTAGTAGTGGATATGAAACTTTTGACGTCATGTAGATGTCTACTGGCGAGTGGATGCGTCGTGATGAATTTTCTCTTTTTCTCCATGATACGACAGTGCAATCGACCGGAAGACTGAATAGATAGAGATGAGAGCAGAATCTCTTCATGGTTAACTCTGGCCCTCCATGTCGAGGAGAATTTGCCGTTGTTTTAGTCGTCTCATAGCGTCTAGGATGCACAGCAAGGCGGTTGGGACGGTTAGTCAGCCTCGTTTTATAGCTTATTGAAAATAAAAATCCAGATAATGCGTGGCTCGATTAATGCTGAGCGGGCGCCTTTTTGGCACAAAAATAATATGCGTGTATTNCCTAGTACTTCGCACCCAGCGAATAGATAAAGTGTAGAAAAAGAGTAGCATAATTTCCCCAGCTCCACAACAACTTACCGAGCAAATATTCGTGTGGTTAGCGAGCAGCAGGCCCGAAACTTTGTGCGAGGCGTGCACGTACGGTGAACGACGCGACAGGGCCACCTGGATGGAGGCCGGGCCCCACGGGATGAACGAGGCAAGTTTCCGCTCGCGAATCCGCTGTAACGACTTGTGCACTTGCGATGGGTCCACCTCGCCCTGGAGAAGAGAGAATACATTCAAATAAATACTTATTAATTGAAATAAACTAAGTATATTAGCCAAAGCTGTGTGTACCTGTTATTGGCATGCATACACACTAAACATCTATATGTAAGATTTTCATGTAATTACTTTGTATGTAATGTTGTTGGTATACCGTAATAAATAAAATAAAACAAAGCAATAACACTATTTTTTTTACTAAAATGAATGACCTCAATAAACATGGTTCTTCGAGCCGGATTTTTTTAAAAGCGGCAACAGAAAATGTCTTAGTTAATACTAGTCTTTTTGTACCTGTATAATATTCAGTATTGATATGTAGCAGTGCTGATTTGTTCTGTCAGGACTTAGGGACACCATCATGTTCTTTGGCTGTAGCAGTCTCTGCATCACATCGAGGACAGTGGTTTTTCGAATTTTCGGCGCCTAAAAGAAAATACATTACAAAAATATTTGAAAAATAATTACAGTCTAGACTCTAGACATAATGCAAAAGAGAAGCGTTCAATATAACATACAGTATTTAATTCGTGGTCTGCTGTAAGAGGAGTGTAGCCCGTCATCAGGAAATGCAGCCGCGGTGTTGGGATCAGCGGCGCGACCAGACTGATGAGGTCGTTGTTCATGTATGATGGATACCTATGAAGCAATCATGTAAATGATTATGTGACATTTTCGTTTCAGCCAAATGACGTCCAGTGCTGGACAAAGGCCTCTCCCAGGTTTTCCATAATGAACGATCCTGCGCTGCCCGCATCCAGGCTCTTCCCGCGACATTATGTGACATACTTATTAGTAAAAGGTCAGAAATAATTTGATCGTCGCTGGCGCTGCGCGGCACGGCACACGCGTCTAATATTCTAACACATATTGTATGGTGTGTCGCATTAAGGTCATAGCAGACTTATCAACTCAGATAGGGGTCAACATCGTATAGCCTTTCACGAGCTGACATCGCCTTTCGCGCGCTGTTAACCACGAGGCGAGGCGGTTAAGTGCGGATAAGTTATACTATCTCATTGGATCTTACCAGTCATGACGGCGTAAATGTGTGGAATAAATAAATAAAGTGTGTATAAATCTTTTGGTGTATCGATTCTTTCATCATTGAGATTTGTAGACTTTTTCTCGTACACTTACCTTAATGTGGCGGTACTGGCGCTCATGATCGTAGACACCAATGTGTTGATCTGAGCGAACGAGGGGTTCTGTATGTGCAAGCGGTCGCTGGCGATACGGTTCAGCGCTGTATTGTCCAGCACCATCACGCAGTCGGCGCTTTCCGTCAGCCGCTTCAGGGTGAGAAGCGAGTTGTATGGTTGGACTACTACGTCACTGCAAACGTTTAGAAAATAAGTTAGCCACCATTTGTTGTTTAGTGTGCTGCCACACTGGCGGATTGCAAGATTTGCAAGCGGTTTCAAAACGGAGCGGCGAAGACGCGAACACAAGGCGAAAACTCTAAGTGGAAACGTAGCGCAGCTGCGTCGCCGCTCCGCTTTGAAAACGCTTATAATCCCCCAGTGTGGCAAGGCCCTTATGCATGAAAGTCATTGGCATTCTAAACTAAGTAAATGAAGTCAAATTTTAATTGACTTATTAATCTTTGTTCCTCCATCATGGAATAACTACTGGAAGGATTTTGATGAATCTTTACAATTAATAAAATAAAATAGTTTATTCAATACATAGGCCCTTTCCAGGGCATTACAATGACAATATAGCTTATACAACATCAATAGCACATAAGCAATTTAATTTTAATTTTATTAAAAAAAGCTTATCAAATCTATCTCACCTTATTTCATCCAAATTAGGAAACACACTGTACGTCTGCACAAGTTTCTTCGGAAACCTGTCCGACAAGTGTTCCAGGATGTACGAGCCCATGCCTGACCCTGTACCACCAGCTATCGAGTGACACAGCACAAAACCCTAGCAACAAAAGAATGATTATTGATACAAAAACTCCCTGATAACTTGAGCGTCAATAAGAACTAGGGATCATTAAAAGGTAGGGCTGATTTTCTTTTCTTTCGTACGGTTTTTTTCAATAGTGTCAATTACAATTGGTAATATTTTGGGTTTTTCTTAGGCATTAATCACAAAAATTTATATTATTTTAAAATTCAAGAGCTATTTATTGAAAGAATGTCATAGGTAGTTAAATAATCACCTCCAAATTATCACTGCCATCAGCTTCTCTGTTGATAATATCAAAAACCTCTTCATTGAGTTTCTCTCCCTGAGCAAAACCAGATGCCCAGTTGTTTCCTGCTCCTCCACCATGTTTTGATAAGTAAACATTCTCAGGATTGTAGAGCTAAAGAATAAAGACACAAAGTATAGTACAATTCTTTGTCTTGGCCAAAAACATGATAGTTATGTTCCAAAAGCAGTCATTTGTAGGCTTAATCTCATTTTTTAGAAACTTTGGTAATACTAAATGTACCTTTGCGTATGGAGAGTTCATGATAGTGTGTATAACACGAGGTTCCAGGTCCAGCAACACAGCCCTTGGGATGTAGTGGTCATCGTCGGCTTGATAGAAAAACACATCTTTGCGATCGGATCCTGCCGATGCAAACTCCTCAAGGATTCCTTCAGGCGATATACCGTGCTCTATACATAGTTGTTTCCAAAATTCAAAGCCAACTGCAAATGAAACATATGATTTAGAGCTCGAAATGGAATTAATTAAATGGTTAGGTGGGTAGGTCAAAACTTACTCTGATTGCCACATTGGCCCAGCTGCAATGTTATCATTTCACTCGGCATTATGATTGTATATTTTATATCTGCTTTCACGTACTAATTGGCCGGTGTTATTCTTAATTTCTATTTCTCAAAATAAACAAACAAACGCACAACATTCAACCGCCTTCCATTGACAAATATGTTTTCCATTTCATGATATTTGACATCTAGAGAAATTAAACGTGATTGGACTTTTTCATGTAGTGAAAAAGTGATCACCAATGAAATCTTGTACTATTTCTTTGAATTGACCAATCAGCATCGAACAGAAATTTATTACTGAAAGAAATAAGCAAAGAGAACAGGATTAAATTATGGTCGCGTTCACAAGGCTTTAAAATCGCCAACATCCATTAAATAAAAATTAGACCATTCACGTAAATGCAAACGAATTGACCTATGCTATGCGTGAATGATTTTTAACCGACTTCAAAAAAGGAGGAGGTTCTCAATTCGACCCATGNCTTATGTGGAGTACCCTTGCTCAGTCACAGTGTTAAGCTTCACTCTGGTATTGTGCTTGACTGATTTGCTCACCACAGGGCCAACCCGCAGACAGATAAGTCACCATATCTAAAACTCAAGTCAAATCTAAAAATATGCACACACAACATGCTACAACCAGTAACCTTTTTATTAAGCAGCTAATAAATAACCTCAAGATTAAAATCATTTTTACCATGTGGGAAGAATAACCAACAATAATGGCTGGTACACAAGAATACTCTTTAAGTGAAATGTACCACATTCTATATCTTTTTTTAGATTATAATAATTATAAAAATTAAAAATTGGATAAATTTTAATCACCCACACTAATTTTCAATTTTAGTGATACAACCCAAATCACTACTGGCAGCAGAAATTAATTGATAAGTTGGAGAAACTTAATAACTTATTAACATTATTGTTACTCAAATATAGCATTATGGTGTAATATAATGTGTCTTACATCTACAGTAACCAGGAGTACACAATAATTATGTTTAACAATAATTGTAGTATCAATCATTATAAGAATGCCAAAAATATACCACATGTTCAATNGTTACTCAAATATAGCATTATGGTGTAATATAATGTGTCTTACAGTAACCATGAGTACACAATAATTATGTTTAACAATAATAATTAATTGAAGTATCAATCATTATAAGAATACCAAAAATATACCACATTCTCAACTGCATAACTGGCTGCTTTACTTAATTTCAATTACTCAATAATTAAGCACAATATTCGATGTTATCTCATCTTGTAGTACTCAATATCATGAAAGAAACATCATGATACTAAAACTGATTTACACAACACAGATCTTAACTTCAATTTACTTGGATAAAACTAATTATTAATTTTTCTCCAAAATAATGCCAAGAGGTTACTCGGGCATGATCACCAAACTTATTTAATTTATCTGACCATATTCTATCTATTCTTTATTGATTTTAAATCTCAACAGGTTATTCTTCGCAGAATGCAAACATGAACAAATGAACACCGTTCAATTTAATTTGCTTTACTAAAATAACTTANGCACCCATAACACAAGCATTAAGTTGCTTACTTTGGGGCTAGCTGGCGCTGTGTGAAATTGTCCAAAGATTTATTTATTATTATTATTAAAAGATAGGGCTGATTTTCTTTTCTTTCGTATGTTTTTTTTTTCAATAGTGTCAGGGACAATTTGCAATATTTTGGGTTTATCTTAGGCACCACCCAATTTTTTAATGGAAGGGGAATGGACTGAATGAAGATGGTTACTAATGGTAATCAATCAGTACTCATTTTTAGTTTGGAGAGCATAATCACAGAAATTTATATTATTTTAAAATTCAAGAGCTTAGTAATAATTAAAAGAATTTCATAGGTACATAGTTAATTAATCACCTCCAAATTATCACTGCCATCAGCTTCTCTGTTGATAATGTCAAAAACCTCTTCGTTGAGTTTCTCTCCCTGAGCAAAACCGGATGCCCAGTTGTTTCCTGCTCCTCCTCCATGTTTTGATAAGTAAACATTCTCTGGATTATATAGCTAAACAATAAAAACACAAAGTAAGTATAGTAATTCCTTTGTCTTAGCAAAAAACATGATAGTTATGTTCCAAAAGCAGTCAATTTGTAGGCTTAATCCCATTTTTTAGAAACTTTGGTAATACTAAATGTACCTTGGCGTATGGAGAGTTCATGATAGTGTGTATAACACGAGGTTCCAGGTCCAGCAGCACAGCCCTTGGGATGTAGTGGTCATCGTCGGCTTGATAGAAAAACACATCTTTGCGGTCGGATCCTGCCGATGCAAACTCCTCAAGGATTCCTTCAGGCGATATACCGTGCTCTATACATAGTTGCTTCCAAAATTCAAAGCCAACTGCAAATTAAACACATGAATTAGGGCTCGAAGTAAGGAATTGATTAAATGGTTAGGTGGGTAGGTCAAAACTTACTCTGATTGCCACATTGGCCCAGCTGCAATGTTATCATTTCACTCGGCATTGTGATTGTCTATTTTATTTCTGCTTTCACGTACTAATTAGCCGGTGTTATTCTTAATTTCTATTTCTCAAAATAAACAAATAAACGCACAACATTCAACCGCCTTCCATTGACAAATATGTTTTCCTTTTCATGATATTTGACATCTAGAGAAATTAAACGTCATTGGACTTTTTCATGTAGTGAAAAAGTGATCACCAATGAAATCTTGTGTTAATTTACTATTTCTTTGGATTGACCAATCAGCGTCGAACAGAAATTTATTACTGAAAGGAAATTAATGGAATAACCAAAGAGAACAGGATTAAATTAAGGTCGCGTTCATGAGGCTTAAAACATCACCAACATCCATTAAATAAAAATTAGACCATCCACGTAAATGCAAACGCAATGACTTATGCATGAATGTTTTTTATGGAATTATTAAGAATCACATAATTCATAATTACTTAATTAACGTTTGCAAAACAATTATTTTTATTCAGAATGCTTTCTAATGAGTGACACTGACAGCTGGCAATTATAAATGTCAAAAAAGTTTCTTCCTCGAACTTGACGAAGTTTTTTATTTCTAGATAAAATGAATAAATAAAATTAATAACGTATTTCATTACAGGAGAATTTTGATGAATAAATAATAAAGGTTATTATCTTTTATTTGAGGTATGTAGTAGTTTTTAGAAATATTTAATAATGTGGTTCGTAACTTGGAGCTAACTTGGCATGTTGATGGCCTTCGATTTGCATATTTCTCAACTTTGTCGTCCACTGCCTACGACGTGAGAAGTTTTGAGGATAATATCATCGTGGGCGTATCTTTCGTAATTGCAAGGCTCCCCATTAACTCCAGCTTGAGCAGTTTTAAAGTTTTTATTCAGATTTTGTAAAACACAGGTAGGGACAAAGTGTGCTGATTGCTCACGTTTTTAATTACATAATTCAATAAATATTAGCATAAATAAACATTTCATATGTGTTTTGTAGGAAGTCCATGCTGTCGTGTGGTTACATTGTTCATGTGTAATTGTTTGTGAAGTGGCTGGCCGTTCGCGTCGACAGCAAGAATGCCGAGGAAACTGTTGAAATTCCTTATCGTATTCGATAACACGTCGTTACTTTACTTCCCTGGGCAGTTCCTGTCCGGGAAAGTGTTGATGGAACTGCAGGATGATACTCCAGTATTAGGTAAGAGGGAAACAATGATTTTTTTTTTAAAAACTCGAAAAGATGGAACTGCCTAAGATCTAACTCTTAACGCCAGATTTTTTTAAATAATAATGAAAAGTTACTTACTATTAATCTGTTTCTTATGCTTAAGAATGCTAATAAGTGAAATTCAAACTTATGAAAAATACATTGATGTAGGCAATTAACATCAATGATTGACAACTAAAAAACAAACTTTCTTTCCTTTAAACAATTTGTACTTCTTTCCAGGTCTACATTTCCATGTGGTTGGTGAAGGAGTGGTGAGAGTGGGCTCCGGCCGACATGAAAGGTTGTTTGATAAAGAAAATTACATCGACTTTCGAATGAGACTGCTTGGAGAACCAGGTAAAATTACTTTAAAGTTTTTGCAATATTCTGCTCTACTTTTGGGACCTGGAGGCCTGAAATACAGGGTGGCCCTAGTTTAGGCTCCAGATCAACAAATATTGTTAACTTCCAAAAATTTTTGATGTACTAGAATGAGTGTGATAGAATAAACAATTTTTATTTATTTATTATTTTTTTACCCTAAACTAAGCTTTTTTGTTTAAAGCAAATAAAATTACTTATTTACAATAATTGTTTTACAGGCCATGGCACCTCAGTACTCTCCCCAGGCATCCATAGCTTCCCATTCAAGCTGGGTTTGCCCATGGGCCTGCCTTCAACATTCCTGGGCACACACGGATGGGTTCAGTACTACTGTAAGGCAGCCTTGAGGGAGCCCAATGGCTTGACACATAAGAACCAACAGGTCTTCATTGTGATGAACCCTATAGACTTGAATTTGGAGCCACCAGTATTAGCTGTAAGTATTTATTTACTATGATTGTGTATTTTTGCATCTAAGAGAATTTTTAAATCTAGGACATAATACAATTATGTCACCAGAAATTATAATATTATGTACTTGATTTCAAATTCTTTATTAGTATATGGACCCTCTTCAGAGCACTTGGCACAATGTGGAGAGAAATATGATATGAGTATTACGTTTCAAGGTGTTCATATGATCCTTGAAGGTTGCATGATGATATCACTTGTATGTAAAGTCTATTGTTCTATTATCTGTTTAGAAAATGTGATAAATGGTATATAAATGAATGATAAAGTTGTTAGAACTGAACTGTCTGGTTTTCAATTTATGTGACTGCTATGTTACTTAAATAGAAATAGGTGAAAAATATTAGCTAGCTGATATTTACGAAAGTGGTAAAGTACACAGCTATTTCCATGTGTTTAGCTTAGTTATGTGTGTTTATTCACAGCTGTGTTTGTATATTACCCAAACTTTGTGACCATTCATTATTTTATTAGACAATATTTCTCAATGCTTCAATTAGAACAAAACTATTAGCAAACTCACTAATGAACTAACTGGAATATGTGTAAGTTTTAGTGAAAAAGAATTGAATTATCCTTCATTATTTGGTTAGCCAAGTATAGTTTCCTGCTTTTTAAAAATTCCATTAGTTTTGTATACCATATTATTTATTTTCTGTTGGTATTTGCGAGTAAATGTTCATTATTAAAAAGACCATAAGGTGAGATTGAGAACACAACATATAAATCGAAAGAACAATCGTAAATCGCGATATCGTAGTTAGACCTCCTCCTCCTCGCGCCCTCACTTAGAAAGTGCATGAGTTCCCCACGGCTGTCACGATTTGCAATACATATTCCTTATCAATGCGGCTCGTCATCGGATGCAGAGTGCCGACAGCCAACTGCGTTTTGAGCGGCTGACGCCGTGTTTCTGACTAGCAGATTAAAGGCCCGTTATTTCCAATACATTAACTTTCACAGCTGAGTTACTATCTTAATCGCATTGAGCGGAATTTCCCAGTTCGTTTTTACATTTAATTTCTTACCCGCACCTTATCTCTTGTCGTGCAATTCATATTGTTCCCTATTAGTTAAATTTTGAAACGAATTGATCGCAAGACGTTACGCACTATCGGCTATCGGCCACAGTTCCAGCTACCCATTTCCAGTCATGTAGTCTCTTTTTATCGCAAAGAACCACCATTTGACAAGGACAAAAAAAACGGAAAAGGGTAGCTGAAACTGTGGCCGATAGTACAGTCAGCGTCAAATAGTTCGTGACACCCAAAGTGGCCAAAAAGTTGTCAACTCAATGTTATTCCAATGAGGGCTATCGTTTTTATACTTAACAGTTGGCACCCCTGGCGATTGACAGGACCTTACTCTACAGTGGCGCTATCTTGATGAGTGCAAATGCGATAGTCCTCCTACCACTTTAGCCGTTCACCAGTAATTGGTGCCACTGTCTTCGCTACTAGCAAGTGACAGGACCTTACTCTACAGTGGCGTTAACTGGTGAGCGCTAAAACGATAGCCCTCATTATAACAAGACGTGTTGTGGAACTTTTTGGCTACTTGAGTGTCACGAACAATTTGACGCTGACTGTGCGTAGTTTGCGTTAATCGATAGATAATAAATCGTCATTGTCCACCTTCAATTTCCAGCAAGAGTTCGAGTGCAGTATCGAGCACCGGTTAGGCGTGGGCTGCGTGGGCGGCGGCGCCATCGCCTGCCGCGTGGTGCTGGACCGCGGCGCCTACGTCCCGGGCGAGAGCGTGGCGCTGTCGGCGCACCTCGTCAACAACTCCAAGACCACGCTTAAGGCCACCAGGGCGGCTCTTACTGAGGTAACGACTAACAAACAACGACCAATAGAATGAGGGCAGCACTAGCGAGTGACGTGGTGTAATCGCAATTATTCGCGCACACAAACCTGGAAGTTCGCGGCAGCATTAGCATGTGATGTGGTGTGACCGTGATGCGCACACATATATTTGAACATTCTCAGATGTGTCAAACGCGTGAGTACATAATGTAACTCATTAATAAACGTCGAGTTAAGACCCTTGTCTTACTATTTTAGTTCAGTAGGATGAGTCGCGAAAGAATTTCGAGACCGTCTAGCTCCAGGCAGTTTCGTCCGAATACTCCGAAAGACACCGACAAATTTTAGATGGTATAGGCCCCGCCCTTCTGGCATGGGGAACCCCACCCCACTCTTGCCATAAAGATAAAGGTGTTCTAAAAATCTTTCCAAACCACATATTTGCTTGTTTCCAGACGATCCAATATTCCGCCCACGGCAAGGTAGCGGCTAAAGAGGTGCGTGAACTAGCGTCGCGCGCTCACGGAAAANCGTTTAGGAATCACAAACCTTCCGCTCTACAGATTTATACAGATAACATAATATTAAGATTGGTACTATTAATCATCAATAATCATTTGCAGCATCTGTGTCCGGCGCCGACAAGTATAAAAACGATAGCCCTCATTCCACAACCGCCGCGGGCGCGGGTGAAAATCGCGCCGTGAGTTCTTAGCCTTAGAACCGGTTATAATTTAAGGGCTACAATGAAAACTACTTGCTTGGCCGATAGATTGAAATTTAAATTTGGCAAGTAGGTTCGAGCGAAACTCTGCACTTATAGTTCCAAAATACTGAACTGTCCTATCCCTGACATTGACAGTGGGGCGCCACCGTCAATATAGGTGTACCAGAATCTCATGGCAAATAGGGAAAATAAACTTTGTTGAGAGCAATACTGGGGAAATTGGAATAAACGATCTTGATACTGTTTAATTTTTTACTTTTATGACTTTAATATTAATGAACATGAAGTACGAATTTCAGGTAGGTATGTGTATGAAGAATGTTGTTATACATCGGGAAAGTGTCTTGAAAAATAAATAAATCGTATTTTTAATTTAAGTAAATAATTTTATTATGCATCATACTTTTAACTTATCACTTCATTCAGAACTAGAAAACGATTCTAAGAACTCCACTTGCAATTTCTTGTTCTTCAATAGATGATCAAAATAAAGAGATAAAATCTTTTTCAATTTTCTTTACATGGTCATAACATTATGACCATTCCCCTGCACCAATTTGTGAGATATACCTGAAAACCCCGATAAAGCAGCTATTAAGAATAATATAAAAAAACATAACCCTCCTTGTGACGTAATTGGGTAATAAACTAAATGTATCAAAATATTTCAGTCCAACTTACTGTCAACTCGACGACGCGCTTTAGAATCAAAGATTGACTTTGAATTATGCCTTATTTTACAATTCACATTGAAAACAATATGACTTGCTTGAGCTTTTTCGATTTTTTCACAAAAATAACAAAAAGTCAAGAAGAGATTACAAATTTTTTGCAGCGGCTGACAGATTTCATAATTTTCTTTGACAGGTGACAATTAAACCATAGACAATTGCCATATGAAAAACACACTTTTCCAATATTTTTGTTTGCCATGAGATTCTGGCATAGCTGGGCATTAACTCGTTAATCCGTTAATCGTTAATTAACGAAGTTAACATTTCTATTAACGGATTAACTTTTAAGTTAACTTTAAAAAATGTTAACGGACTCGTTAACTTCCGTTAAATTATCCTAAGTCCGTTAATCGTTAATCCAGTACCTACTATTTACAAAAAAGATAGAGCAGGCACGCTGAAAAACGCTAGAAAAACGCGTTCTGACAAGTATGTTCGTAAGTAATGTTTCCAGAACTTCCAGAACCCAAAACAGTAACAGTTTTTGTAACCAGATCACTAACGCAACGATATAAAAAATGCTCTTTTTTTATTTATTTACAAGCCTTCACTTGTTAGTATGTGTGGGACAAATCTTGCAACTGAATTTAAGACCAGTTCTCCCCAACCGATTGAGCTGAAATTTGGTATACTTATCGTTATTAAAATTTATAAGCGAATTGAGTTGCTTCTCAAACTAAATTTTAAATAAACAACTTGAGAAAATCGAACTGCCTAATACATAAGTCTGGTAGATAAGTTAATTTCTGTAACACATTTGCACAGTAGATAAATCAAACAGTACGGAAGCTTCATACAAACGCTCGAAATCAGACTCACGCACACAGACGCACGCTTTACACGAGCTCTAAGCGAACCTCGCAGTCCATCCGTCGCGGGTGTCGGTCGCGCGCGCTTTGTTTTTAATAATAATTTTATTGCATGCGCTGTCCGCTGTATTTTTAAAAACATGCCACGAGTGTATTGCGTAGTATACGGCTGCTTGAACTCGGCATCTTCAAAACCAGAACTTTCATTTTTTAAACTTCGTAATAATTCTGAATTGTAAAAATGATTAAATATTACTTTTTAAATAAAGTGCTTACACCTGATTTTGTAATAGTTCTTTTTAAATTACGTAATTACACTTTTTAACAATTTATGTGTTCTATTTGATAAAGTAATTTGCTCCGCGCGCTTTTGTACTAAGTGTTGAACTGTATTTAAAATGAGGCAATAGGTATGTGAAAGTAAGTATCCGGTATTTTATTTATGAGAATAGATCTTCTACCGGCCTCAATAGCACTTAATCAATTTATTCGATTATGTATTCGAACATTATAGAACCTAATTAACGTTTTATTTTTTTGTTAACTACTTAGTCAATTAATTTATTCCATTAGGTATTTAATAATTAAAAAACCTAAATAAACGTTTTAATAAATAAGTAAGTAAGAACCTTAATTTTATAAAGATTAAGAGTCACTCAGTTGAAGTGTAGGTATTTAAATCGCCAAAAGGGCTAAGTTTCCGTACTGCTTTAGCTCATAATATACTGTGACATTTGTTTGTAATTACTAAAAATAAATAAATAAATAAAAAAAAAAAAACAGCAGGAGGTGGCCATAGGAATTCGTAAACGAAACGGTGGAAACTTATCGAGTTTGGGTTTGTTGGATTTTTCGAGCACTTTGGTGCTAAATTGTATTGTAATTGTACCAAGGCAAAGCTCTGAGATTGAGATACGACTAAAAAATGTAAAATAAAATTATAATAAAAAAATTCTTTAAAAACAAGCTTTTATTCTGAAATGCAGTTGTCCTAAAACGAAAAAATAATTATACTTATGCAAGGTTCAAATAGTTTCGAAAGCTTGAAGCGCAAACATATAAGAGGAATAAATTCCATGCGCGATACAAGCTTTCGAAATTATTTGAACCTTGCATACAATTTTTTTTTGTTTTATTATCACGTGTTAACGGATTAACGATTAACGTTAACTTGCGTTAAATCTTCCGAAATGTAACGTTTTAACGTTTAACGAAGTTAATTTTTTTAGTTACGGTTTAACGATTAACGAAGTTAACTATTTGATTAACGGTGCCCAGCTATGGATTCTGGTACACCTATACCGGATCGCTGGTTCCGATTTTTGCCATGTTGGAAACCATAAAGTTGAACGATGGTAGCGCCCCCCTGTCATTGAGTTTGGCGGGACAGTTCAACGTGGGTCATCTATACGCGAATATAGTTCCAAAATACTGGATTGTCCTGTCGATGACATTGACAGTGGGGCGCCACCGTCAATACCGGATCGCTGATTCAGATTTTTGACATGTTGGAAACCATATAGTTGAACGATGGTAGCGCCCCCCTGTCATTGAGTTTGGCGGGACAGTTCAGCGTGGGTCATCTATAGACATGTTGACAACACCAATCAATTGACGTACTTTTTAAAACTGTCAAAACGAAACTCTCCCACATAGAGAAAAGTAATACATCTCTCCCATAGATTTTGTATGGCACTACAAGCAAGTGACGTCACTATTTTGTCAACTCAAACTACTTTTTTCAATTACAACGCGACCAAAAATCGTAATTTACAGGTAATATTTTAAAATTAATGAAGTTTTTAAGACCAGAATGAAGTGTCTTTTTAGAAAATTTGTTATTTCGAATTATTGGAGAATGGTGTCAAATTGTCCATTCCCGCGCTTTTTCAATGTCCATTTTTGTGGTCTTACGTAAGAACTATCGAGACTTCCTTCTTTGCGCTCCCACCCCTTTGTAAGAAAAAATAAGACATGGTCGACCCCCCTCCCCCCTAAATCGTCTTACGTAAAAAAATAAAATGGCCCCAATAATATGTACGGGCGACATCACACCAAGGTAAACACTGTGGCATCTGTTAGTTGTAATAAATAGGGGCGATTTTGCAATAATAAATTATACTCAATATTATTTTACAACTTTATTGGTATCATACAGTGTAATAAAACTTATTGTAATAAAAATAACAAAACAATATTGTTCAGCAATAAAAAATAAAACAAAAATATTTGAATTTCTATGTTTCAATTACTTTACTATACGTTAAATATTATCTAAATAAACTACGAACGACACATAATATTTTACATGTTTGCATTTACATAGATTACAAGGCCATAACAATCTAAATTGAGTCCTCACAAAGGCATTTTGCATTAGTTATAAAAAAATAATGATCAGACGATAAATTTAGAGGAAAAATTGTTATTTTGTGTATTAGCATTAAATTAAATATTTGTGACTAAATGTGGCAAAAGAAAGACTCTAGCTCAATGTGAGGAACATTCCATTATAGCTAAAAAGTATCATAGAAAATGAATGAAATATTAATATCTGTGATGTAGTCATATCCAAAGAAGTTTTGCCAAACAGTAGGTACTTAGATAATGTTAATTTCTAGAAGATGGCAGAGTACCGACACATTCAGTTATTTCGAGACATCAAGGCACCAATAACTTTTGCTGTCTAAATAAAATTCTTTGGATGCTGTCATTATGCGATTCAAACATTATTCTACAGTTAATCGGTATATACTTTTAAATATTATAAAATTGTTATTATTCACCAAAATTACACGAAAATATTTTGGTTAAAACTCGCACATCTAAGTGCGTATTATTGCAACTTTTTTTACTTAACATCAAACATGAAGCTGGTCATTTAATAAATACATATCTCCATAATATTATTCACGTACGGGATTTCAGTCGAAACTGATCAGCTCCGCTGTGTTGTTATTGTGTTCCGATTTGACAGGGGTCTGAACTTGTTGGGAGGTCTGGCTAGGGTTAGGCGGTTGTGGGCCAGGAGGGGGCCCGTTGAAATTCTGTTGCTGCATTTTCATGGGTTGACCTGGCATATTTTGCTGCATGGGTTGTCCCTGAGGCATACCCTGCCCTGGCGGCATCTGGGGTCCCTGAGGCATCGACTGCCCTTGATGCATAGGCTGACCTTGTTGCATTTGCGGCGCCTGCTGAGGCGGCTGGGCTTGGGGGACCTGGCCTTGCAGATGAGGTGGAATCTGGTGCGGCATCTGCTGTCCTTGGACCATCTGTTGTCCGGGGACCATTTGACCTTGCTGCGGAATGTTCTGACCGTGAGGCATTTGTCCGTGCATCATCATTTGTCCAGGCTGATTTGGCATCGGCATCGGCTGATTTTGCGTCACTTGACCCTGCTGCGGGGGCGGTTGTTGAGTTTGGGCCTGCGGCATTTGCTGGCCTTGAAGCGGAGCGTTCTGGCCTTGGTTCGGAATGTGGTTGGGCAAGGCCATGCCGGGATGTTGACCTTGCATCATCTGTCCCTGGAGCGACATCGGCTGACCGGGCATGGGTTGCCCGGGTTGCTGCATACTCGGCCCTTGACTCCCGATTTGATTATTCTGCTGATTGGGAACGGAGTAAGCGGAAACGGGGACTTGACTAGCGTTTTGGTTTCCTGGCATCATGGACATTCTCATGTTCTGCATCTGCATCCCGAGGGCGGGGTTGGCGTTCATGATGTTCTGCGGCATATTGGGCTGGCCGGTCGACATCGGCATCATATTCTGTTGCTGGGGCTGATTCAGGTTCTGTTTCAGCTGCGCCTGGCTGGGCTGGGCGTTGGGCGCGGTCATTCCGTTGGGGATATTCTGCATCATCATCTGGTGTACTCCGGCTTGCATGGGCATTCGCATCTGGTGCATCTGTTGCATCATCATCTGCTGCTGGAGAGGGGTCTGGTTGATGGGTTGACGGACGTTGGCGGTGGCGGAGGGTTGTGCGGTGACGGGAGCCTGGCTGATGGCGACGCCGGAGGTGGACATGGCGAAGGCGTTGGTCATTTGGGGCATTGGCTGGGGGAGTTGGACGTTGGGCTGGGACATCTGGGGTTGTCCGGGCATGGACAGGGCCTGGTCGGGCTGGGGCATCATCTGCGGATGGTAGGGCCCGGCGTAGAGCGGCGCCGGGAAGGCGGGCTGGTACTGCGGCGCGCTGACGCCGGGCATGTAGTAGCCGCTGTTGGTCGACATCATGTACTGGTGCTTCTGCTGTTCCTGCCTCATTTGCATTTCTCTTTCTTGCTCCTGGAATAGAAAATGTAGGAATTAGTAAAAGTAAAAAAAAGTAAAAAGTATTTTATTTGCCAACAAAAAGTTTACAATCTGTATATCTAGCGGCTGCTGAACTAAGCTGTGCTTGTGTCGCGGCAGCCATAAGTAACACAGGTTAACAATATTGATAATAGTTAATTTGAACCAGTAGCTGTTTATTTGTCGTACAGTTATGATTGCGATTGAACAAGCGACATATTACACTTTGACCTCGCCGCCATTACTCTTTATTAGCTCAGTGAACTATATTAGCTTGCAGCTTGTCCTTTTGCGCAGTGTTCACGCGATGATCTCTCATGCCGTGAAATCTCTGGACTCAAGTGTGAAACGGGTATAAAGCAACGTTACCTGAACTCTCTGTACAGCCAACTGCTGCTGGTACTACAGTTTTGCCGCTGTCTGCATCTGGCGTTGGCGCTCGCACGTATTCCGCTAGAAGCGTGTCAACTTACTTGGACTCTCTGCAGAGCCAACTGGCGCTGGTACTGCAAGTACTCGTGCTTCTTCTTGCGCTTGGCCTGCAGCTTGGCCGCTATCTGAATCTGGCGCTGGCGCTTCGCGGCCTCGGCCGAGTCGCACCACGTATTCCGCTAGAAGCGTGTCTACTTACTTGGACTCTCTGCAGAGCCAACTGGCGCTGGTACTGGTGCTTCTTCTTGCGCATGGCCTGTAGCTTGGCAGCCATCTGCATCTGGCGCTGGCGCTCGCACCACGTATTCAGCTAGAAGCGTGTTTACTTGGACTCCCTGCAGCACCAACTGCCGCTGGTACTAGAGTTTGGCCGCTAGTACTAGAGTTTGGCCGCTATCTGCATATGGCGCTCCGCGGCTTGTGCTTGAACTGCGAGTCGCACCACATATTCAGCTAGAAGCGTGTCTACTTACTTGGACTCTCTGCAGAGCCAACTGCCGCTGGTACTGCAAGTACTCGTGCTTCTTCTTGCGCATGGCCTGCAGCTTGGCCGCCATCTGCATCTGGCGCTGGCGCTCGCACCACGTATTCAGCTAAAGCCCAGTCTGTGAGTACGTAGAATTTTGTTCAATGACCCCAAGCTACCCATCCTTATCGCTCGCGCGTAATTATATTGCTGTCGCGACTGTGCGACGGGCGCCCGCAGTCAGTATGCGAGCGCGACAGAAACATAATTATGCGTGATCGATAAGGATGGGTAGCTTGGGGTCATTGGACAAAATTCCGTGCTCGCAGACCAAACTATAGAAGCGTGTCTACTTACTTGGACTCTCTGCAGAGCCAACTGCCGCTGGTACTGCAAGTATTCGTGCTTCTTCTTGCGCATGGCCTGCAGCTTGGCCGCCATTTGCATCTGGCGCTGGCGCTCGGCGGCTTCAGCTTGGGCCGCGAGACGCGCCGCGTGTTCCGCCCGAAGCGTGTCCAAGGCATTACGACTGTCACTGTCATTAAGGCTACACGCTAAAAGCGTGTCAACTTACTTGCAGAGCCAACTGCCGCTGGTACTACTGACGCTCGCGCTCGGAACCTAGTATTCCGCTAGAAGCGTGTCTAGAACTTACCTGGACTCTCTGCAGAGCCAACTACCGCTGATACTACAGTTTAGCCGCTATCCACATCTGGCGTTGGCGCTCGGCACCTAGTATTCCGCTAGAAGCGTGTCTACTTACTTGGACTCTCTGCAGAGCCAACTGCCGCTGGTACTACAGTTTAGCCGCTATCCACATCTGGCGCTGGCGCTCGCACCACGTATTCCGCTAGAAGCGTGTCTACTTACTTGGACTCTCTGCAGAGCCAACTGGCGCTGGTACTGCAAGTACTCGTGCTTCTTCTTGCGCATGGCCAGCAGCTTGGCAGCCATCTGCATCTGGCGCTGGCGCTGGCGCTCGCACCACGTATTCAGCTAGAAGCGTGTTTAACTGCCGCTTACCAACTGCCGCTGGTACTAGAGTTTGGCCGCTAGTACTAGAGTTTGGCCGCTATCTGCATTTGGCGCTCCGCGGCTTCTGCTTGAACTGCGAGTCGCACCACATATTCAGCTAGAAGCGTCTCTACTTACTTGGACTCTCTGCAGAGCCAACTGCCGCTGGTACTGCAAGTACTCGTGCTTCTTCTTGCGCATGGCCTGCAGCTTGGCCGCCATCTGCATCTGGCGCTGGCGCTCGCACCACGTATTCAGCTAAAGCCCAGTCTGTGAGCACGTAGAATTTTGTCCAATGACCCCAAGCTACCCATCCTTATCGCTCGCGCGTAATTATATTGCTGTCGCGACTGTGCGACGGGCGCCCGCAGTCAGTGTGTGAGCGCGACAGCAACATAATTATGCGTGAGCGATAAGGATGGGTAGCTTGGGGTCATTGGACAATATTCAACGTGCTCGCAGACCAGACTATAGAAGCGTGTCTACTTACTTGGACTCTCTGCAGAGCCAACTGGCGCTGGTACTGCAAGTACTCGTGCTTCTTGCGCATGGCCTGCAGCTTGGCCGCCATCTGCATCTGGCGCTGGCGCTCGGCGGCTTCAGCTTGGGCCGCGAGACGCGCCGCGTGTTCCGCCCGAAGCGTGTCCAAGGCATTACGACTGTCACTGTCATTAAGGCTACACGGTCTGAATTCTCTGCAGAGCCAACTGGCGTTGGTACTACAGTTGAGTTGCTATCTGCATCTGGCGCTGGCGGTTTCTGCTTGGGCTGCGAGACGCACTACGTATTCCGCTAGAAGCGTGTCTAATTACTTGGACTCTCTGCAGAGCCAACTGCCGCTGGTACTACAGTTTAGCCGCTATCCACATCTGGCGCTGGCGCTCGCACCACGTATTCCGCTAGAAGCGTGTCTACTTACTTGGACTCTCTGCAGAGCCAACTGGCGCTGGTACTGCAAGTACTCGTGCTTCTTCTTGCGCATGGCCTGCAGCTTGGCGCCATCTGCATCTGGCGCTGGCGCTCGCACCACGTATTCAGCTAAAGCCCAGTCTGTGAGCACGTAGAATTTTGTCCAATGACCCCAAGCTACCCATCCTTATCGCTCGCGCGTAATTATATTGCTGTCGCGACTGCGCGACGGGCGCCCGCAGTGAGTGTGCGAGCGCGACAGCAACATAATTATGCGTGAGCGATAAGGATGGGTAGCTTGGGGTCATTGGACAAAATTCCGTGCTCGCAGACCAGACTATAGAAGCGTGTCTACTTACTTGGACTCTCTGCAGAGCCAACTGCCGCTGGTACTGCAGGTACTCGTGCTTCTTCTTGCGCATGGCCTGCAGCTTGGCCGCCATCTGCATCTGGCGCTGGCGCTCGGCGGCTTCAGCTTGGGCCGCGAGACGCGCCGCGTGTTCCGCCCGAAGCGTGTCCAAGGCCGCGCGGCTGTCGCGCACTTGGGTTACTTTGTCCTGTAATAAAAGTTTAACAATGAGGGATCGAATAATCAGGGTAAGTACCCAAAAAGTTTGCAACACAACCTTATACCAATGAGGGCTATCGTTTTAGCGCTCACCAGTTAGCGCCACTGTAGAGTAAGGTCCTGTCACTTGCTAGTAGCGAAGACAGTGGCGCCAACTTGTGAGCGCTAAAGTGGTAGGAGGACTATCGCATTTGCACTCATCAAGATGGCGCCACTGTAGAGTAAGGTCCTGTCAATCGCCAGGGGTGCCAACTGTTAAGTATAAAAACGATAGCCCTCATTGTAACAAAGACGTGTTGCAAACTTTTTGGCTACTTTGGATGTCACGAACTATTTGACGCTGACTGGAGAAAAAAGTTTTAACCAACAACAGAGGATCGTACAGTATCACCAGTTAGTGCCACTGGCGCGTAAGGTCCTGTCACTAGCTTTGTGGCTAAAACAGTAGCGCCAAATGGTAAGGGGGCGTCCATAAATTACGTGAGACAATTTTGGCCATTTTTCTACCCCCCCGCCCCCCTTGGTGAGATTTGGTGAGATTTTGCCTGACCCCCTCCCCCACCCCCCTAATCTCACGTGATATTTAATAAAATGCCTATTTTGCAATGTCTATGCTTCGAGTATATTAGATTTATATGAAACTAGCTTTCCGCCCGCGGCTTCGCCCGCGTGGAATTTTGTCTGTCACAGAAAAACTTTATCGCGCGCGTTCCTGTTTCAAAAACCGGGATAAAAACTATCCTATGTTCTTTCCCGGGACTCAAACTATCTTTATGCCAAATTTCATCAAAATCGGTTGCGAGGTTTAAGCGGGAAAGCGTAACAGACAGTCAGACAGACAGACAGAGTTACTTTCGCATTTATAATATTAGTTGGGATAATCAGTAACCCAGTGTCGTGCCACGCGCAGTGCAGGGTTCCGTAGCTTCCCGTCGTTTAGTAAGACAAGCAATTGCTTTAAGGCCGGGTAACAGAGAAAATGGCGAAAATGAGGTTTTCATTTTTCATTTTTGAGGTACTAAACAGTAAAATAAAAGGCTAAGATTTTTTTTGAGCATAGTTGAGGATATTTTCTAGGGCTATTAACGGATGGAAACACGATTTGATGAAGTTGACTCGATAGAATAAATTCCCAAAGTTACCTCTATTCGTTTTCTAATAATGGTTTTATTTTTAAAATAAGCGATTTGAGATTCTGAATCTNATATATGGCCGCCTGAATAAACTTGAGTGAAAAAGTGTTTCCACTGTCTCAATTGCATCAAAAGCTCCAAACAAATCATTAAATTCAGTTTCCATTTTGCCGAATAGGCGTGATTGACAATATGCGTGACAGTTGTGGTGACAGTGACAACCTGCACGCACAGTGATCGCCATCGCGGTCGCGGCAGTGTGAAACAACTTTTGCACGCGCAGTGGTCGCCATCGCCATCGCCATCGCTGCACGCGTTGGTTTGTCCGAACCTTGAATGTACAGTGACATTGTCATATTGACAGCTATCGTTGCTGAAAAAGACTCCATCAGTTAAGACCTAAACTTCATACTTTATGAGCTGCTCAAAACGTCTGGTAGTTCCTTGATTAGACCGGCACATATCCATAAGTAACCGACATAGCTCGCAGAATTGCTAAAATCAAGTGGCAGTGGGCGGGGCACATAGCTCGTAGAGACGATGGCCGTTGGGGCAGGAAAGTTCTCGAGTGGCGACCACGGGCTGGAAGACGTAGCGTGGGCAGGCCTCCTACTAGGTGGACCGACGATCTGGTTAAGGTCGCGGGAAGAGCCTGGATGCGGGCAGCGCAGGACCGTTCATTGCGGAAAACCTCGGGGGAGGCCTTTGTCCAGCAGTGGACGTCATTTGGCTGAAACGAACGAACGAACGATATCCACAACTAGGTAAATACTCCGTTCATATTCTAGTGTTATTATAATGGAAATAAACAAGATTTCCCCTGCAGCAATATTTTTTCCACAACTCCGCTGAAACTACTAAAACATTCTAACAAAATAATCTCAGGAAATCTACGTTACAATTAGTATTCTTACCGCGCGTTGACTACATCTGACTGTGTTCCTATTAACGCTAAACGTATAACGAAATTAGACTCTATGCTCATGAAAATTAGGTAAAATCCTCATTGTATTCCTGCTCTGGTTAAGGCTTTGTTTATAGCGGTCGCGCGAGTACAATGACGTAAATGAGTTATAACATACAAAGAAATACCAACCTTGAGGTTAAAGGTTAAGATTCATTTTTAACTGTGTTGTGTAGGAAAGAAAAGAAACAGGGAAGCTAAACATTTTATTTTCGCGCACCCTTTTTGCCCGAATTAATTTGCTTCGTATAAAGGTGCTAAACAAAAATAATTGTTTACGAATCCATTTAATGAAATCGCAGGTCTTAATTAACGGGTCTAATTGTAAGGAAAGCTTGGGTTATTAATGCGGGGCTTGTTTTGTTTGCTTTTTCTTGGGATTTTGATTTGTCGCAAATACGTAAACGTTTTCTCTGAGTAGATTAGCTTGACAGTCGAATGGCCTGGTGGTTCAAGTATGTTTTTTTGGTTTTGGGATCAATCTCGAAACCAAAAAAAATCCAGCTGGAATAAATGCTACCACCATAATGCGGGTGGGTAAGAAAATTCATCGCGCTCGAGCAGACGACGCCGCATCTTTTCAGTTTGCCCGCGACCGTGACTCGTGTAACCGAGTCGAAACGTCGGGAAGGTAAAATACCTTTTTATCTTTTTAAAAGTGTTTGTGTTTCGTGTAGTGAGATTAAGAGTGAAATAGGTATGAAAACATCAGGCCTCCGTAACCCGTCTGACCTGGGAGTGTAGGCCAAATCCTCCATTTGCCCCTGGTAAGTTCGAGATGGTCGTATTCCTGCAGTGAAAACTAAGGTAGTTGTCATTTTTATTTCAACGCAGTTGTCATACAATTATCTGCGTGCTGTGAGTGCTGTCCTGCAAACCAGGGATGTTATTATGCAATTTCGGTTATGGACACGGTTACGGATATTAGAATATTATACCGGTTTTGGTTACGGTTACGAATATGATAATCATTTCAGATTATCCGAAAAATCGGATAATTTCTTACGGATATAGAATTTAAAAAATGTAAAATTCAAATAGCAAGATGCTGCGCAACTCACATAGCCACTTTATGTACTATGGAGGTACCTATGATGAAGGTAAAACAGCCAAGGATACCAGATGGTGCCAGGGGATGCCAGACAAGTAACGAATATTATGATTTAGACTCCGCCTTTATCCGAAACTTTTGAATCGGTTTCGGTTACGGTTACGGATATTTTTTTATTTCGGATATCCAATAGTTTTGGTTACGGTTAAGGATATCCTCATCCCTGATTTAAACAGACGACTAGCTACTGACTCAAAGCCCCATATTTATTTTCTTAATTCTTAGACTAATAGTATTTATTTTGATCTGAACTAAGTTTACTCTAGGTACTCTCTATACCCAATTACTCAATCACACGAGCTTGTACATACCCTGATTGGATACACAATTCCGTACTTAATTGCCCTCCATCAATATTACATGTAATATCTTCGGTAATACGTTCCCCCAAACGCCTTCGGCTTTCCGTAATTACGGAATTAATTCATTTATTCCTTTTGATAATTAGTATTCGGGTCGAAACAGCTGGTCTTTATTAATGTCACGAAGTTTCTGGATTGATCGTGGTCAGGTATAGGTAATAGTATATAGGTATATTAGGTAATTGGTATGTACGTGATTAAGGGTGGCTTTGGAAGTGATGATTATGCTGTATGGATTATTTTCTGCCTGTGGCTTAGGTAGTTCGTGTTAATTTTAGTCAAACACAGGGAATCTGAAATAAATTTAGCTTATATTCCATAATTCTTTAATTAGGTCCTCTTTCAAAAGGAAGGAGTTACTTTCGCATTCTTCTTCTTATCGTGTCGACAACAAACCTACACAGTGTCAGCCCAAAACTCCGCTACAAGAGTGGCGTTGTCAGCAGCATTCATTAAATCCTCCTGCGTGCAGTTGCTCGGGCACTCAGGGCACGACATCATGTGCTTCATCGACTGGGGAACAAAGCCGCACCTGCACTCCATGTTTGAGCCATCCAAGAATCCCCACCTGAACAGATTGTCCTTATTACGGCCGACCAGCGTCCGAAGTCTATTTAAAGACTTCCAGGTAAGACAGGGGAGCTCATGTCCAGGTGGAGAATTCTCAGACATAGGGACAAAAGGGCAGGGGAGATCAGCTCTCTCGCGCCATAACCTGCATCTCTCTTTAGACCGATCGTCATGAAGAAGAGGGGACACACTTTCGCATTAAAATATACCAAGCAAAAAAAATGAAATATACTCGTAGTNCAATTAGTTATTTCATAAAGTAAAAATGATATTTAAAAAATAATTACACATATGTATAGCTACTGTGATACTTATTACATTTGATCAAAAAACTATAATTCGTCTTATAGTAACATACGTGTTTGTTCTACGGACCCGTCGAAATAGTCATTATTACAATAACATCGATAAACTTTATGTTAATATTTAGCTATGGCTAGTACGTCCAGGTGTTGTATTAACGATCCTGATCCATTTTGATAAGTTTGTGGTGAATACTACTGAAATATCAGCGTGAAACCATAAAAAACACGGCGAATTTTTTGTATTTTGCTTACTTCGGTATTGAAATTCAATACAAGGGCAAGGTGTAGGCGCCTCAAATTGTATGTATAATGTGCGTTGAACATCTGCGAAGATACTAGAAAGGCACACGTAAGTTTTTGAAGCTTGGAGTGCCTATGATATGGCGAAAATGGCCAATATTTCCAGTTAATTTAACAGAAATTTCCAAGTTTAAGTACTGAAAAACTAAAAGCAGGTATATTTGATGGACTTCAAATAACTGTATTAATAAAAGACTTCACTAAATTTAAGATTTCTATGAACGATGTGGAATGGTTTGGGTGGAAATCTTTTGTAGCAGTTGTACAAAATTTCCTGGGAAAGCATAAGGCTGACAACTATGTAGAATAAGTTTAGGATGTGCTGGTTCAATTCAAAGATTTAAGCTGTTATATAGGTATAAAATTACACAATTTTAACAGTAAACTAGATCAATTCCAACAAAATTTAGGAGAACTAAGCGAAGAACAAGGAAAACGTTTTCACCAAGACATAAAAACAATGGAGAATAGTTACCAAGGAAGATGGGACGCTCATATGATGACCGACTACTGTTGGAGAATCATGCGAGATTGCCCAAGTAAGTTTCATTCGAAAAAATCACTCAAAAGACAATTTCTTGATGTTTAATGCTAAAAAAAATATATATTTATTGTGAAAATTGTTTTTTAGTTATCTCGGGAACTAGAGCTGATAGAGAAAAACTGATTACATTTTTGATATCGCCATGCAAGACATACTTAAAATCAGGTCTTAAATCCCCGGCACCAAAATGGCTGTAGGCCAGTGTAATGCGTTAAATTGCAATCATTATGTTACGGTTCACAATTTTTCGACAGTTTACAATCTCACGAGATAGATTGTAATCAAACGATGTTTATAATCTTACGGTGACATATACATAAACTCATTTTCGCGCGAGTTTTGGCGGAGGCCCTTGAGGTAGTGGGAGTAGTCTTGAGGAAAAGCTCCTTCTCCCACGGCCAGTGGCATGCTGGAAGCTTGGTGATTCTAGCACCCGTAGGANGAGCACTTTAGTGCTAGATGATGTCCAGGGTCCTGATGATGAAGTCAATTATAATTTTAAAACGAAGTCAAGCTTGTTTTTAAAAAAGTTTTTTTTATTACAACTTTATTTTAAACTTTTTAGTTGTTTCTCAATCTCATGGCCTAAGTGCTCGGGAAGACAAATCCAACGAACCCAAACTCGATAAGCTTCCGCCGTTTCGTTTAGGACTTCCTATGGCCAGCTCCTGCCACCTCTTGACTTCATCATCAGGACCCTGGACATCATCTAGCACTAAAGTGCTCAAAAAGACAAGTCCAACGAACCCAAACTAGATGCATTTCCGCCGTTTCGTTAAGAGTTCCTATCTCAATGTCTCTCTAACTCTGACTCCATCCAGCTCAATGGTACCATAATATTGCATTGTCATCGTACTTACACAAGTATACCAAATTTCAGCTCAATTGATTAAGGAGAACTGGTTTTAAATTCAGTTGTAAGATTTATCCCATACTAACTTACAAGCGAAGTGCTTGTAAAAATGGTACGCATATCTTTTTTGCGACTAGGTTTCTTAGAGTACCATTTTGGAATCTTGGATAGTTGCTTCAACTTTAAAAAAACTTGCCGCAGTAGTGTTCATACTTTTTTTTTACAAAACGATGAGTCAAAGTGGAGTGAAAGTAAAAATCGTTCAAAATTTTAAGGATATAAAATATTTTGATTAACTTTTGTGTAAAAACTGCAAGGTTTCTGGGGGTTTTAAGAGTTGGGGTGAACAGCAGCACTGCTTAAGTTGCCGATATAAACAGAAAACCAGGAATAATTGAAAAATTGTGGTCGTGGTAATGTAAAATATCATAAGGGGTGTCAATTTTCCTTGAATTTCATAATTTATTGTGTAAGTAAAAAAATAATTGAGATAGATTTTTTTCCTCATTTTCAACCGACTTCAAAAAAGGAGGAGGTTCTCAATTCGACCCGTATGTTTTTTTTTTTTTTTCTATGTTTGTTACGCGATAACTCCGCCAATTATGAGCCGATTTGAACAAATCTTTTTTCGGCGTATAGGTAATACCTCAAGGGTGGTCCCATTTAAATTTAATAATAAAAAAAAACCCCCAAGGGTGGAAAATTGGGGATGAACTTTTTTATACGCAATATCTCCGCCCATTATAAACCAATTTGAACGATTATTTTTTTGTTGAATAGGTATTATCAAAAGGGTGGGTTCATGCGAATTTGAAGAAAATATTTCGCCCCCAAGGGTGGAAAATTGGGGATGAACTTTTTTATACGCAATATCTCCGCCGATTATGAACAAATTTTTTTTGGTCTCAGTGTACTGCCTACCTTCAGTGGTAACATCAAGGTAATAATTAGTTAACTAAAAAGCAAGAAATAAGTAAAATTTTATTAAAAAAAATAAAACCGACTCCAAAAAACCTACCCTAAAACGTAGAAAAATAATTACTAATTACCTACTTATTTATTAGGACGAATTATTAATATTTATGTAGGTATACCATGATTGATACTTTTGGAGTCGGTGCAGGCAAACTTTACCTACATGTTTCATAATCTTGGCACCAACTCCAGAAGTATCAATCATGGTATACCTACATAAATATTAATAATTCGTCCTAATAAATAAGTAGGTAATTAGTAATTATTTTTCTACGTTTTAGGGTAGGTTTTTTGGAGTCGGTTTTATTTTTTTTTATAAAATTTTTCCTAAAGTAGTCATGACTATGTCCATCCTGTAGCGTCGGCTTATCCTTGAATTTTGGGACACGTTGTATACATAGTTGGTCAGGGAATTTTGAAAAAATTGTCAGGGAAAGTCAGGGAAAAGTCAGGGAATTTTTTCGAACATTTGCAGTGGACACCCTGATAAACATGACACAACTTTATCATCAAGATTTCCTACCTTTGTACTTGAATTAGCCGTTGTACCTTCCGCCCGCATGGCAGAATTGACGCCCTTCGTCGAGTTATCCCCCATAGATTGCGATAAATCGCTGGGATGCAACAATGTATTATGACGCTTTTTGCAAATATGGCATCTGAAAGTAGTTTTGCAAGCCTTGGCAGGGTGATTATTGTATAAACAAATAAAACACAAACCTTTCTCCTGAGCAAAACACCGGCGAGTTTCGTTACTTTCCTGTGCAAACTTTTTACACTTCGTAATTTTATGGCTATCTTTACAATAACTGCAAGTTATACTATAGGTATTATTTTGTGCATGATACGAATGTGAGCTTTTACTTACAGCCCTATCAGAACTGGTCCTGTCTTGTAAGTTTTCTAAACAACGGAATCGGCTAGTTAAAAACTGAGAAAACTTATCATAAGTTGGCAATTCATCAGTTCCGACTGATGAAACATTTAACTCCCAGGCCTTTCTAGTTTCTTTATCAAGTTTTCCGCTGATTAAATGTATGATAAATATATCCCAAGAGGAGATATCGACCCCTAAGTTTTTCATTGATTCTAAACAATCAGAAGTTGTGCTTAATAATTGTTTGATTTCTTGAGCCGATTCTGTGTTTAGACATTTTTGATTGAACAACCGTTTCAGTATATTGTTAGCTAAATATTTTTTATTATTATACATACTCTCAAGCTTTTCCCAGCTGCTCAAGTAGTTTTCAGCTGTAACTGAAATATTTTTTAAGAGTTGAGCAGCATCTCCCACAAGATAAGCTTTCAAGTAGTATAATTTTTGTGCTGAATCTAAAGTGTTATTATTGTGGACCAGTCCTGTGAACAAATCTCTGAAAGTTTGCCACTCTAAGTACCTACCTGAAAATGTAGGTATTTTTATTTCAGGTAATTTGAACTGCGTTGACTGTGGAGCTGATTCTTTATGTGATTTGAAAGCAGACAATGAAACTAACATGTTTAATTTCTCCTTAATATGTGACTTGTAATCCATGTATAATTCCTCTACCTCGTCAAACACATTGTCTTTGTAATAATCAGACTCTTGCAGTTCATCCTCGTCAATGCTACTGACAATCTCTTGTTGAGTTTTAAAAAAGACTGCCCAGTGCTGTTCTAATGTCTCCAACCTAGTTTCAAGATAAGCTTGACTTAACCTATCTTTTGGACACTTTTTGAAATTAGTAAAAGCTCTTTCGATTGCGGCCTTAGTGGCCTCTTGAACCTTAGCTAATGGTTCCATAGTTGACAAATAAATCAACAAAATACACAACAAGTAAGCTAAAATAAAAATACAAAAATACACACGCACAGCAGCAAAATATACAGTTAATAAAACAAAAAACAAGTAAACATGAAAAAATGCAACGTTAGTAATGTAAATGTTCAAAGTTAATTTTCTAATAATATCTTCTTTTCGTTTCCAAGTAAATAATGTTTAAACTACTCACGATTGCACTCTCACAACACACACTATGAAGATGATATTACGTGCACCATCAGCTGCTAGGCTCGTACTTCTTACTCACGCTCGCTTTGCTCGTTCGAATTTAGCGCTCCCTAGCGCTCCTTGGCTGCCGCCAACCGTTGCCAATGACTTAACTGCTCCTCCCGTACGCTTATTATCCAGTCNCTTCGGTACTGGAACTTCATAGAACCAGAATAGCCGCTCTACGAAAAAAAAAACTTTCACCTGCGGCAAGGAACGGCCAAGGAGGTGCGTGCCAGCGTTACGGCAAGGAGCCTCCGGGCGAGAGCGACGTGTGGCGCAGTTTTAAACGCCGTGTTTTTCGAACCACCATTTCACCAGTTCAAGGCAAAAATTAAACCGGTGGAGTGTCGTCAGTGGATCCTAAAGGTTTAAAGTATAATTACGAGCTAACTGCGCACCTCGCTGAAATGCGACGCTCCTTACCAGAGCGTCGATGTGACGTCATGGCCACCAGTTGCGCAGTTATCTTGACCGGGTAGTTTAACTGAAACATATTTTCACTTGAAATCGCATTTGTAAAAATTTAAAACCGTTGCGCAATATTAAACCTTAACCCACCCATTCACAGTTCATAATCGAGCCGAAGAGCATGGAAAAGGACGTCAAGCTCCAGCTGCCCGTACTGATCGGCACGTACCCGCTGCGCGAGCCCGGCGCCGCGCCGCCGCCAGCCATCTACCCGTCCACGCTGCCAATCTTCCGGCCCTGGCTACAAGACAAGCCTGCGCACTGACGCGGGAAGTAAGGAAGCGGTCTGGGCCCCGATTGCGCTATTTGTAATGTCTCCGTTCAGTCACGCTTCATTTACATTCCAGCTGATGTGCAATTCGGTATCAAATTAAAGTTCACGCGCAAACAATGACGAAACAACGGATTTATGCACTTTCCATTAAAAATCCAAACACCTTATTTTTAAACTAAAATTACTAAAACAACAAATGTTCATGAAGCTTTAGAATTGCGTTTGAGAAAAAGTAGCTTACAGTCAGCCCCCCTAGACAAAACGCACTTTTTGATCGAATCGAAAATCGAATCTGTCAAAACTCCATACAAAAAAGGGGCTTTTCGACTGGTTTGCGATCATAATTTGCACTTTGTCTAGACCCACAGGTTTGTTTTGCATCGTTTGAACTAGCTGTCAAAACGGCACCGCGCGCGATACAGATTTGTCAAAACAGCTGAAGTCCGTTAGTGGGCCAGACGCATTGCAGTTGAAAAATTTTTAGCGCAATCGGGGCCCAGGTAACAACAACGGCAACACCTGAACATCTCCGAGACACATCTTGCACTTAACAAGACATGACAAGACCGAATTATGTCTTTAAATGCCGCTCGCTGACGCGACCAGTAAAATATCCGAGCAAACAAGTAACAGCGGAAACATCTAAATTTTCGTGATGCATCTTCCGCTAGTTACACGACATTCTCTGCTTATAAATCTGCATGTTGCGCACACATTCTACATCTCACGCGCCAGTGTACTTTACTGGATGATCCAAACGGTAACATTCAAAATTTTGCCGTTTGGACCAATCTTTTATGTTTATTTTAGCAGATAGTCAGTAAACCCTCATACAAAATGATCATAAAGTAGTTCCAACGTTTACAAGATAGCTTGTGAAGCTAAATATAATCTTAAATGAACACAATTTTTATAGATATTAATCAAAATAGGTACTGCCTTATTATTTTTCTATTTACTAGCATGTAAGTGAATGTATGATTTGAAAAATATTATCTGGACTGGGACCAAGTAAGCTTAGGAATATTGCCTAGCAATATAATTTTATAGCATTTAGTGTTGCCAGTGTTTACAAAAATAAATTATCATTCTGAGCCTTAGTTCAGAATTAAAGCTAATTATTGGTGTTATATTGTACACAAATTACGAGTATGTTTTGTTTTATATTATGTACTTGACGTCATTATCTTATGTGAACAAGCCGCAACTTCCTGATTATTATGAAGGTGCAATCTATTTTAATAATGACTTCAGTATGGCTCAATATAAATTAATACTTGCGTTACATAATAATACACATCTTTTTTAAAATAATTTAATATTCTGTGAGAGAATGGTAAAGGTATTTGGTATTACCAATCTTGTAGTCATTCTTATAATAGGAAAAAATATACTTAGGTTAATTTGGCTTTTTACTGGCATTAGATAATCTAATAAGACCAGTGCTGGTATCAAAACCCACTTATGTTTTTATAGTTGCATTATTTTTGATATTAATACATATTCTTATAGATAGTTACTTATATACTTTTAGGTTTTATTTAAGTATATTTTAATGCAGGAGTAGAGCTTTTTATAGTAACTTTTTGTACTCTTTACAAAATGTAATAAGGAGTCTTTAAGTTTGTTAATAAGTAGATATTTTATGTATTTGGAAAAGTATAATTACTATCGTGCATTGTATTTTAATTTCTTTAACTTTAGTTGAGCGTTATTATGAAAAAGCACAAGTCAGTATTGATATTTATAAAAGAGAGTGAAGTTAGAATCATTTTAATGATTTTTCAAATTGTATTGACTCTGTGAGAATGTGATGAGTGCATGATGAAGTGCTTATGTTAGACATGGGTATGACTTTCCTACTAAGCAAGAAGACCAGTGTTTTATGAGTTATGTTTTATTTAGTTTATTACACACATTTGTGTAATTTTGTGTATGTTAGATGCCTCAAGTGAAAAATCGTCGTGTATCTCTTAAGAGGGATTGTTATTTACAGAAATTCATGTTTTCAATTTAATTCTGCCTTAAATAATTTAATGTAAAAACATTGCTCTCAAAGTAGAATCTCACTTTTACACAGTAAATGCCCCCGACACGCACCTTAATTAGGATTTCAGGGTATTACCACAAAATGTGTTCTCTGGCACATATCAAAAATTAACATGATTAACATTAGTATAATTATATTGTAATGGACTTATATCAGCATCATACTCGTTTTAATACTATGGAGTTATTGTAGTGCCATTTATAACCACTTATTAAACATAATCTTAACATTAATAAAATTGTACTGTACTATTTTTCCGGTAAAAAAGGAATGTACTTTATTTTAAGAATTGTATAAACTAACCTGTGATATTATATCAATCCGTCCATTCTGTACTAGTTTTATAATGGTATTCTAGTTTACTATTTTTAATAATAAATAAAAGAATAATTATATTTAAAATGTTTGTATTTTTCAACCAATTAATTACACTGGGAAGTAAAAATCTTTTCATAATTCATTTCTGTTCAATTGTTACCAAAAAACAAATGTTATTAAATAATTAAGTTTAAGTATGCCTGTGGATTTAGATTTGATATTAGCAAAGAATAGAGTAGGACATACTTTTCGGCCAAACCACTTGAATGCATTTTGCATTATTCTATAAACATTAGGTTTTTTGAGCGTTTTAAGTGATACGTCCAAGTGGGCACTGTATGGCTTGGTCTATCATGGGCTTAAGAGAACTTTCAGTTCAAGGCTTTTTGTTTATAGTAACCAATTTATTGGCGACAAATATTTACATTTACATCAGATAGCTGATAAACAAAACGGCAACTTTCAAAGTAGGTACACAATTTTACCGAAGATTTGGCTTGATTGTACAGTGGCATCTAAAATTATGCCAAAATATTATCCTCTATGTGAAGTGAACATAATGTAAAGTTATACAAAATCATCTCTTAGATTAATTACTAAGTGTTAATTCAATGTTGGTTTACATTTCATTGTAATGATTATAAATAATGTTGTACTATTATATGATGACATTATAGTATCAACATAGAAGAAAATAATTTAATTCAAGACTCAAAATCTATTGTATTATCTACATTATGATTACTTATATCTATTTATATTGAATATAAACAGAAAAATCAATATAAAGATGAATTTTAATGCTGTACTGCTTCAACAATTATCAACAGTATTCTTTTTTATGATTGTATAATCAAGCCAATCCAATTTAAACGCGTTGCATTCTTGTTCACAACATCCGACATCCATTTAATCTTATGTTCCTGTTCCACCTACGTTACTGAACGTTTATGACCGACCATTTAAGGCGCTCGAACTTCTCATATATTGCTACATTAGGCTTGGATTATTAGAGCAAGAAAATCAGATTGATTAATATGCAATGTTCTTATATGGAAAATAGATGGATCGCTCGCGGTCATAAAAGTGGGTAACAGACTTGCAATATAAATTAATATTGCTTGCATTTGTTGAATTGGCGACGCGCGACGTTATAACAGGGCATTATTGTAAGGTGAACTGCATTAGCTATTGTTTAGTGTATTTAATAACCGGGATAGTGTTCAATTGAATATAAAACCTTCAGGAGTATAATGATTACTCTTCAGTCCACTTATCTTTACCATCATTTATTCTGGTAAAATGTCTATGAAGTGAGTATAAAGCCTGCATTCAATTATAAATTGAATTTCATTGCTAAGATCAGTAGTAAACTTGTATCCATTTGCATGGAAGGGACAAGAGAATCGCATGCAAGTAACTAGCATTGATTGATTTTAAAAATACTAAGTGCCAGTTTGTATCATAATTTTGTGTCTTTTAATCTCATGCATGAGAATTTTAGTTCATACACGCAACGTTAATGGCTCGTAAATCAACCAAATGTAACGACCAATAAAGTAGTTAATAAATAGACGTATTAGACGCGTTTCCTATCCTTACTAATGGATGCAAGTTTATGGTGATAAATAGATGTACACG